TAATTTAAGTACCGAGAGGAAGATTTCAAATGTTACAACAGCTGAAAATTTAATCAAGGGTTTAACTTCTACTGACACAAACGTTTGTGATAAAACATATCAACAATACAAGGATAATATTAAGAAATTCAAGGAAAATAAACCCTTGAACCAAAGAATGGCAGAAGCAAGGAAGAAGAAGGAGAAGGGAGGGGAATTGAAGATAGATAACGACCCAGGGCCAAGAGCAGAGAAAGGGAAAACATATTTTGTTCAATTTATGTTATACATATCAAGGCACAAAGACTCGAAAACCATAAAGTCCAAATATGCATTTCAACGCAGACAACATTCATTTTTTCTGAAACAATACGATAATTTTACTTACTGCTACAATTAATGCAAATGCATTTTCTAAATATATCATAGGTAAAAGAATATTTAAATTAATAGGCGACCCCAATACAGAATATGGACTAAGAAGAGATATAATACATGATGAACTAAGAAACGATACAATAAATGATGAGTTTTTTTAATACACCAAAACTATTACAAACTGACACACATTTTAAAGACGATTATGAATTTATGGCGCAATATTATAACGATATAGAATGCATTAAAAATATTACCAGTAGATATTGTAAATAACAGCGGCGAACAGTTTGACATTCTTACAGACAATTCAAGGGATGCTACTAGGATGAGCGAAGACACCGTACAGACGGCAATTAGCAAGGGCAATTATATTGAAAACGAATGCTGGATTAATGCATTAACTGATTTTTACAGTGATGCAATTATGAATGAAAGAACCCGTAACAGACTAACTAGGGAGAAAGTAATTGAAATTATAGGTAGACATAACTTTGGCGAAGCGGGAGCAACTATTCAGGAGATGGAGGCTGTATTTAAACAGTCTAAAATTCCGTGCAGAATTTATGATTGTTGCAATAAATTAATTTACAAATGCGATCCCGATATAAATAGTAGGCCACACCAAACCATTTTATGCAATGGTCAAATCAGTCATATTTACGCACTACATCACGACTTAAAAAGCATTCAGCAGAAACAATTAATAACCAAGATACCAACTGTCAAAGCTTCCACTGACTACTACATTAATGAAAGAGAAGAACCACCGCTGTACAAAATTATGAGAAATATTGACGATATACTAAGTATCAAAGTTGATGAAAAACAAAAGAGACATATTTAGTATCTGAAGACAATAAGTTATCTGAATTATTTTTCAATTTAGTTCGTAGTGGCTACGACCCAAGAATTAGATTTCAAGCTGGTATTATATCAGAAATGAAAATAATTAACAAACAAGATATATACAATAAACACACAAAACTTAATAAAAACTTCTGCAGATGGATGTATTGCAGTATGTGATGAAACTACATATAACAATATGAACAAAGCAATGTTTAATTTTAATAAGTCATTGTTTAACTTATCTCATAAATCGTTTTATAATGACATTGATATTCAATTTTTAGACGAAGCCAGAACAGTTGTTCCATCTGTCTTATTGTGTGAAAGGAGCGATATCGAAAATGAAATCGAAATCGATATATCAAAAGCATTTACTCATGCGTTTATTACTATATCAGAAATACCAGTATTTAATCAATTCGACATATGGCGATCGTTTGATGATACAACTGATATTTATGATCTACACGACTTAACGTTATATTATATAGAAAAGAAAACTACTATACTAAAACGGACAGGAAGATTGTTGTTTAATAAAAAATATTGCTTAATATATGGTGTATTTTTGAAACAACTAGATAACATGACAAGAGAACAAATTATTATTTATACTTTAAACAACCTTCATTTATTCACAAAGTCGATCATAAAAATATTGTTAATGAACTTTGGAACACAAACATTAGCGAAGACAATGAAGAAGATAAATGTATAAGAAAACTGATCGCAAATGTTAATTATGGACTTTTAGAAAAAAGGGGAGCGACTGATCAGAAAAGTACAGTGTTAAAAATCTTAAGGAAGCAATAAGTTATCAAACAGAGTATGGAGGCAACATACATAAATTAACACATTTCACGACAGAACAAATTACAGTAGATGAAGAACAATATACAGCAGAAGAAGAACAGGCGTCATATTATGTACTTATTTTAAAGGATACATCACGCTTAAGGAATAGTTTTAGGTATGTAAAAGAGCTACTGCTTCAATACCATAATTTTAGAATGTGTCAATATTATTCTAAATTATATCAAAATGGCATTAACGTGTTCAGTGTCAAAACAGATGCGTTTACATTACAGCGATCAGATATAACGAACGCAAGAGAGCTTTTAATCTTTAAGAATGAAATAGGAGGTTGGCGAGTTTCAAATGACGAATCTATTAAATTTCCTACTGTAGATTATGAAGTTTCACAAAACGAATTAATACAAATACCAGTTTATGAAAGTAAAACTATTGATATTGTAGATGAATATGACACTGATAACATTATAGAAATTATTGAACAAAATAATCCTATTATGGTTCGTGGAGCACTACCGGGCACAGGAAAATCATATATATTTCAAAAAATGGTGGATAGAAATTATAATGTAATTTTTATTTGTCCTACCAATAAACTATTACAGGCATTCGAAGGCGAAGCAATGACAAAAAAGTTTTTTCGGTATTAATTGTGGAGATGCTAAATTAGAACCATTTGATTTTACAGAATTTGATGTCATAGTATTTGATGAAGTTTATTTTAGTAATTTAAATATATATTGGAGAATAAAGCAACTTGTAGAACAGAATAAGCACAACAAAATTATAATAGCAACAGGAGACACCAAGCAATTAAAACCAGTTCAAGAGATAACAAATACTCGAGACTATGAGTTATATACTGATAATATTTTAGACAGCATTTTTGAAGATAATGTTTTGTTAAAAGAATGTAAGCGACTTAACACACAGGAAGATAAAGATAAATTAAGAACTAGTAAAATTGATATTTTTGAAAATAAATTACCTATGAAAGTTATTGAAAAATTACTTTGAATATACAACTGACATAAGCAAATCTATCAACAACATAGCATTTTTAAATACAACTTGTAAAGATGCATCAAATGAAATTAGAAAATTAGAAAATAAAAAAGATGAATATGAAGTAGGAGAATTTTTAATTTGTAGAGAATATACAACAACTAAAACATCAGTTTTTCATGTAAATTTCATTTATAGAATTGTTCATATTGGAAGCGATGGAATTTTTACGTTGAAAATTGTTAAAACTGAAATGATAAAATAAGAAGTAATTTTATATTTGCATATTGCTCGACTTGTCATTCTGCCCAAGGCAGTAGCATTGACGATACCATAACAATTTTTGATTATAACCACTTTTTGGTAAAGAATTATCCAGAATGGATATGGACAGCAATTACAAGGTGTAGAGATTTAAGCAAAGTCAAATTTTGTAAATATACGAAAGATATTGATGATTTATTTAATCAAAAATGTATTATGAGTTATTTTGAAAGGAACATATTAAATTACAAAGAACAAGACAGGAAAGCCAAAAGAACAATACCTAAAGAAGGTTATGTAAATGCGCAATGATTTTTAAATAGTATCACTAATCAATGTAAGTACTGCGGATGCGGTTTTTCTATGGATATCAGAAACGGTAATATAATGACAAATCTGACAGCGCAACGTAAATCAAACGAGTTGTCGCACGAACTGAATAAAATTATTCCTTACTGTGTTAGGTGCAATTGTAGCTGTAAATGATCATAATTTAAATAATAATTTTAATATTTCTTGAAAAAAGTATTTAAAGAAATAACAACTATATATATATTATAATAGAAATGGTGGAAACCGAAATCAATAATTACATCAATAAGAAATGCTACGACTGTTGCCACTTCAAAAAAATATGGAATTCTATAAATTGAGTTTACCTAATGGAATAGTTAATAATATTATTGATTATTCTTTGGACGAAGAAGATGTATGTAGAACTTGTAGATATTGGAGATATTACCAAGAAGCAATCGAATGTAATTTGGATATTAGAAGGTTTAATGAAAGAAATGTTGAAGATGACATTTTGATATTTTTAACTGTGTATAAAATACCACCTTCTGATTATGTTAAAGCATTTCTTAAAATCAGTAAGAACAAGTATGAAATTATTGACTACATATTGTGGGCATTGATTTATCATAAAAAGGAAGGGTTTGATGTAAAAAAATCATTAAATCATATATTGAAAGTGAAAAGTTTGATGTGAACATATGGTGAGAGATATTAATATTGTTTTTAAAATGGTGTATGAAAGAGGTAAGATATATCAATTAAATTATTATCCTGAACTTAAATTATAACCATACTATGATTATAACAATTATACCCTTATATGTTGTAATTATAATGCAACTATAGCGGTTTATATGTATTGAATAGAGGACCACGCGCAACTTCGGAATATCCAAATGTTGAAAAGTGATTAATTATTCAGTCTTCTCATTGAATTATTGAAAATGTTGTTTCTTATTGAATAATTCTTCTTAAAATGCTATATATATATTTATCCCTTTTGAAAAAATAAATATTTTCTACAATATTTTGGAAAATATGTGTTTTTGAAAATATCAATGTTTAGGTGTATTGATTTTTTCAAAAAGTAATTCAGTTTTCGTTTTGGTATGCTGTACTGAAATTTGTTGTATCAAAATGTGTTTAGACTGTTTCAAAATATGTTTTAAAATGGCTGTTTTGGGGCGCTTATTCAAAACATGCAAAACCTAGGGTGGACCCTAGACTTTTGAGTTCGAAAAAAGTTGCGCATGGCCTCCCCTAACTGTAGTGGGGGTAGTGGGGGTAGTGGGGGTAGTGGGGGTAGTGGGGGTAGTGGGGGTAATGGGGGTAGTGGGGGTAGTGGGGGTAGTGGGGGTAGGTGAGGTAGGTGAGGGTGGGGTGGGGGACTTTGCGGGTTTTCCGAGTGTCAGGCAAAGCGCCCCAGCCGGGTGCTGCCAAAGCCAAAGGTGGTGGAGGCCCCGCGTGCGAGCGAGAGAAAGAGAGAGAGAGAGAGAGAGAGAGAGACTGTGTGGGTCGGGATGCGCGTTGCGGCGATGTCCTTGAACAATATATTTATATTTAAGCTATGTTTGTATCCGTCTATCCTAAGATATTTCCAACATACCAAAGAAGCTGACCATTAACAAACATATTACAGGAGATGTTTTCCCCGATAGCTGAAAGCTAGGGTGAAAGGCTCCTGAGTGGATCGGAGCGGCTCAGGCTAGGGTTCCGGAAAGTTCCGGGAGTTGCTGCTGGGGATATATTGCCAAGGCTTTTTGGTTGTGGGAGTCTTGGAGGTGTAGAATGACTCATGAGGTCCAACATTGTCAACATCATTCGCACGCTTCTATCTCTCCGATGTGATCAATATTGGCAAACTGTGGGTTCATTTGGCAACTTTGGCTTCGGAGGGCTTCGCTAGGCCACACCACGTCCAATGCGCGGCGTGGTTGGTAGGGATCGTCACGACCACTTTCGTAGGCAGTTCAGATAATGATCAGGTTTCCTAGTCACTGACAGAACGGCGACAGTGAAATCACGCAAGGAGAAGGCAGCAGTCGACGCGGCCGTGATGCGCTCAGGAAGTTTCAGTGGAAAGGGCCTCAAGTTATGAAGAGCTGGATGCGCACCTTTCTTCCCATTGAAACGATGTGAGAACATGCCGTGAGGCATGGAGGGGGATCTATAGCCGGTTGTGTTTCTTCGTGGCCATGTGACCCAAGCACGTTCATGCTGCCTCCTCCTTTGAGGCAGTCCAAGGGTACTTTTGGCCCTCAAAAGCGCGGATTTGCCAAGCGCGAGTTGAACCTTGTTGTGATGGGTGGAAAATCAGCCATTTGATTTGGAGTCGCCCTGCCCGGTTCTTACAGCCTTTCTTTGCGGTTTGCACTGAACGAACAGCCGAGGTGAGCAAACCACCTTTCTTTGACTGGGTGCTGCTTGCCTCGGCCCCAGATGCAGCCGGGTTGTGCTGGCAGCAACTGCGGTCCGCGGAGGGCAATGCCGGGAATGTGCCGTCAGGCGAAGATCGACTCCATTTTGTTGGGTTCTGAAAGCAACTTCTTCGTGAACAGAGAAGGCCTGAGCTCGGTCAGAAGAGGGCCACTTGCCCTGGTTTCCATAACAATGGCCATGAGACATGAGTGTGTCTTGTTTTTGAGGGTACCCTTTTCGGCTTGTTTCAAAAAGCAAGCTTGGGGAGCTCCCCACGACCCCGCGTGTGGCTCGCAGAAGATGGGAGCCGCATCCCTGGCAGCAAGTCCGAGCTCTATGAGAGCAGCGGCGCCTCGTCGGGAGCAGCGGTGTTACCCTCCCACCGAGGTTGCCATGGCTTCATGTGGGAGGCTCCATGTTGGGAGGGTAGAGCTTGCTTTTCCAGCCAAGCGTTTTTTTTTTTTTTTTGTGTCATGTGCTTGCATGTTGCAGTGTTCCCAGGATCTGAGGAGGAAGAAGAGGAGGAGGAGGCTCATAGTGTTTGTCGGATCTGATTCAGTGACTATTGATTAAGAGAGCAAGACCGTCTGGCAGGATGACATGCATGAGAGCGAGGAGTCAGATGAGGCCGCCGGGACATTTGCGGGTTCGGTTATGCAGCTTTCCTGGTTGCAGCTTGCATCCAGCCGGAACGCGGCAGGAATCTGATGCTGTCGTGGACCCTGTCAAAATCCTCGATGAAGCAGGAGGATTGGTTTTAGCTTCTGTTGGATATGAGCAGCACGCCAGTTTCATTGTGTGTCGTCATGATTCTTCCGCACTTGTGCCATGGCACGCAACAGCCAGAGGCCAGGCTGCGAAGTTCGTACGTCGGTTCCAGTAGTCTATGGGCGATTTCCCGGAAGAACCAGGGGAGACATTCATTTTCCTATGTCCTTTGCGGAAACGACTGATTAATATTTGACTGCGGCATGTGGGGAGAGGACGTCGGCTCTATGTTTTCCAGACGCTCTTGCAAGGGTGTTGAGCGTTGCAGGACCTGAGCAGGATGACTTGGAGGAAGAAGAGGAGGAAGAGGAGGAGCGGAGACGCAGTCAAGTTTTGTTCACACGTCCACCAGCGGTCGTGTTGTCTTTAAGGTATCCTCTTTGGAGATGGAATCAAAGGAAACCAACGGAAACCGCGATATTCAGTGTCCCCCCGATTTTGACACGTACCCACTTTGAGGGAAGAACTCACACGGAGTAGTGGGAGTTTTACATGTTTCAAAATTGAAGGCTCCCTCTGCTTTGGAGCCAGAGTCAAAGCATCACCTGTTTACCAGCTGATTTGCATAGAGGATCCGGGGGTTTTCGGATGTATCCCAAAGTCCGCTGAAAACAGCGGCCCTGATTTTAGACCAGCGCCCCGGAGATGTTTCAGGAGGAGGACGTTGAAGATGACCAGGAGCGCAGAGCAGGGGCCCGAGCTGCCAGCCTGGCGTGAATGGCTTCGCGGCCACTTGTGTGGTCAAAAGCAAACACAGCCCTTGCTATTGGTAGGTGGCCATCAACCCCTTCAAAGGAATTCGGCTAGTCAGAGCAAGGATTTCTAGCAAGGGAACCATGGCCATGGAAAGATGAGCAGATTTCCTCCAACCATCCAGTACAAAAGCGAGGTTCAATTGTCCTGGCCCGTGGTGTGTTTAGACACCTTGTTGCCTCCAATGTTCCCTACAAGTATGCCAGGGCAGTGATTGTCTCAGACAGGTGCAGCTAAACCGCCAGTTTTGATTCTCCATGGGCTTCGTGGGCAGGCCAATTCAATTCCAGGTTGACTTGGGTTTGTCTCAATTTGAAATCACCGAAATAATGTTGGCTCCCCAGGAAACAGAGTTCCTTAAAGGTAGCATTTCACCATATTGACAGCCGCCTTAACCAGCTGTTTCAACATGTTTCTGCCCATAAGTTATTCTTTGGTGTATCTCAGGGAACCAATGAAGGGCACTCCCCCAAAAACAAAACTATATCATCAAGGGTACCCTCACTTTTGATGCCCTCATTTAAAACAGCAAGAACACATGTGGAGCGCTCACACGGGGTCCGTGAGCTGAGCCACTCGCATCACAGGTTGAGGAGGCCGCGGCCGCCGCGACCACCAGGCCGAAGGCCAAGGCCGGCAGGGTGACGGGCTCAGCCGAGAGAGAGAGGCGGAGGAGTGATGTGGCTGGGTCAAAACCAATGGTACCATTTTGGGGTAGGTGCACCGCCCATTTAAGTCTATTTTAGTGGGGATTATATAGGATGTTCACTGCTGCAGGTACGGCCTTACACCCATGGCCACTTTGGGTGTTCGTGATTTTTGGAGAGTCGGTCTTTTAGGTGTACAGGGAAACCAAGCTGTGAAAACCAGAAAACAAAGACCCACAATCTGCTCCCCCTGCAAATCAACATGAAACCCAAGAAAACATCAATCTCTAGTCTTCATTTTGGGGGACCCCTTTGTGGGTTCCATGTTTATTTGCAAGGGGGTGAAGGACTTTGCGACCGCACCCTTGGGAAATTTGATGGGGAAGTTGCCTTTATATGGACTCCGAACCGCAAGGCGAAAAGCCTGATGCGCTATGTCGATGACCCACCCGGCTTCAACCGGATTTTTTTTTTAGACCAAAGTGAGTGTGCTTGGCTGTGTTCGTGGTTACGGTTTTCAGCTGCGCTTAACGCAAATCCAAAGGACATAAGTCTGAGAGAGGGCCATGTGCGGTTGCTTGGATTGGCTCATTGAGGCTCCCAGCGGGCCGCCGCCTCCCAAGGCGGGGCTGAAGTCCAGATCCAAAGACCCGGTGGGTGACCCCCGTTTTTGGCATTTGAAGGGAGCCAAGCAGCTTAGTTGATTACAGGGCACCATGTTGAGAAACACTCCTATGAGCAACTTCATCACAGCGCGTCTCAAAATAAGGAGCTCTCACAAACTGTTCGTGGGTGGATCCCTTTACTCCCAGGTGAGCAACTGACAAAGTTATTGGTTCACTGTTTGGTGAGGTTGAATCAGCGCGGACGACCCAATTTGGAAGTTGGTAGGGATTGTCATCAACCCGTCAACATGGCCAGACTCAGCTAGTTAACCATTTTGATTTTTCACATTTTTGGTTTCCTGAATCTTGCCTTCAACTCGCGAAACGCCAAGGGTGATTAAGCGCCCAGTTAAGAGGGATTTTTGGACGTCCGCCACATGCCTCTTGCTCTTTTGTTTCGCCAGGTCCCTCCAAAGCCGCCTCCCCCGCCGAGACGGGAGGGACGGGAGGCGCGACGCCGATTCGAGTCTCGGGTAAGACTAATGGCGGAGGGTGATGGATGCTTGGTTTCTTTTCTCCACCTTTTTCCTGGTGTTTTTTCTTTGAAAAAGGAGGAACATTGCCAGGGAGCTTGTCAGCCCAAATGACGCCGATGTCCACCGTGGGGGGAGGGGTTGAGGCGGTTGAGGTCGGGGTGGGGGTCTTCTTTGGGTGGGATGTACCCTTTGAAACCTGGGAGCCCCGTGCGTGCGTTTCCAGGCGAAGCCGCCCGCCCAGGAGGAGTGGCGGGCTGGCTGGGGTTTAGGAGACTTGCCCACTTCAACTTTTAGATTGCCTTTGCCCACTTGGCCTCTATGCGCACTTTGACCATGGCCGCAATTTCAGCCAGACCCAAGATTATTCCCTTTCCTGTTGACATTGGGCAGCTTCAAGCGCTGTGCAGCCAAAGTTGTTTCCCAAGAGGCTCAGTCCATGAAGTGATTCTGCGCAGGATGTGCCTGTGACGCTGGTGCCAGCGGCGGAACGGCGAGAGGTGGGCAGATGCGCATTCGCAGTGTGCTGGAACCTGCTTCGTTCCGGCTTTACTTTGTTGCTTGTGCCACGAGTTCCGAGCGTTTTTTTCAGCCCATGGCATTTAAGTGGCAGTTCTCGTCATGTTTATCCAAAGGCACCCAGACCACCCAGACCTCTTGCTTCCCATTTTGACGCCTTGCAGGACAGCGGCCACGAGGAGGCCGCGCGCCCGGGACCAGCCAGGTTGTTCGAACATCGATCTATCATGTGCTCTGCAAGAAGGCATTTGCTCAGGCGAACCGGACACAATGTGTGACGTGTGTCTGGGTGTGTGTGTGTGTGCATTTGTTGAGGGCACCCTTTCTTGGATAGTTTCAAAGGGAAAACAAAAGAAGGTGAGACATGCCCATGTGTATCCTTTTCTTAGCCAGGAGGAGGACTTCAACGATGAGGAGATGATGGCCACCTTTGCTGCCAAGCTTCAGGTCCGGATGTGGCGATTGTTTGGGCAACTGACACAATTACTGGTAGTATATTGGTAGTTTGGAGGACATGGGGGGCCACCCGCCAAATTTCCCGGTAGTTTAATTCGAAAAGAAGGGCAACAGAAACGATGAGGCTGAAACGGCGATGCTAAAAAACCCGTGACTGGGAGCCCTGGGTTGACTGGCACGTCATGAGGTTCATGCACCCCAAACAAACCGCGGAAGGAAAGGTTTGGCACAGGAGCCGTTGTCGGGGTTGACTTCGAAGTCTTAGCAGGTGGTTAGCCCTGGTTCCCTACCGAAGCCATGGTTGTAAGGCCCCGTGGATTAAGGTTATTTAAACGCATAGCGAGACTCGAATCGAACTTGCACCAGGAGCCGCTAGAGGCAAGACCTGAAGGCAGGGGGAGGTTAGCTTGAGTGACCATGGCCAACTTTGAGTGCGTTTGAAAATCGGGGCCTGATGTTTGAACAAATTCGTCCAACCTGGAGCAAGCCATTCGCGGAGATTCAGCAGCTATGTGATGTGCACACTGTACACGATCCAAAATGTCAGAAACTGTGTAGCTCGCTGGTTGACATGTCTTGCATGTGCCATGGTCAAAGCACCTCACTTGGGACTAGGTATGATCATGAATTGTTGAACTGGGGGTTCATCAACCAGCACTATGACCAGGGTGCAGAGTTGGAGTGATTCTAATATACCAAGCAGAGGGAACCTTCAAAAGCTAAAAGGGAAGTTGGAATCGAGTGGGATAGATCGGTTTGCAGTTCTGTTGCAGGCAGCCCGGGGCAGGCGCGCTAGCTGCGTGGTGAGCCGGCGCCGGCGCTGGTAGCCTTAGTCCAATTCATGTTGTGCAAGGATTACGATTGGTACACATCTTTTTTCAGGTGTTGTCTACTTCTAAGACCTTCATGATGGTTCATTGCCATGATTCGGTTGTTGGGATTAGTACCTGCATTCTGTATTGCACAGATCGTTCAAGGAGCGGGCGTCGCGGAAGTTCGCCAGGAGCCGGGCCCCAACATCGCGACCAGAGCCAAGGAGGGGCCCAGGGAGCGAGAGGGCAGGGTAGGACCTGGCAAGTCGGACGGGCGCCATGTTTCGGGGTTTGAAAGGGAGGTCAACAGGAGCCGAGATATCATTTTGGGATCTTGAAACACGGCCTTGCCTGACCTCGAAGCACAGGCGAAGCCGAAGCCGAAGGCCTGGGGAGCGCCGCCGCCCCTGTCGGGCAAGAAGAAGGAAGCCTCCCGGCGGCAATAAGAAGCATCCGTTTTGGGGGTGTATTTTCATACCTGGGGGTCATGTTAAAAGGACGCATTTCAGGAAGCCCTTTCAAGCCAAGATTCTTTGGGTTGACTAGTTGGAAGCCCTGCTGAAAATGTGGTTGCGCCCCCCTGCTTATTTGGGAAGCGTTTTCGCTCTCGCGAACGGTGGGGGCAGCTGGGTGATTGAGGTGGAAGTGAAGCCAGAGGCTGAAGAAGAGGTGAAGGCGGAGGACATCAAATTCGTTTCCCGCTTTCCCTGTTGGGGGGTGTTCTTTCGGATCGCACGAATTAGAGTTTCGAAGCGTGTCGAGTCGCACGGGGATCCGCAAAAGGACGTTCTTTGAGGAAGCCCATCTATGCTCTTTGTAGGCCACGGTTTGTCCTGTGCAGTTTCAATGTTTGGTCAATATTCATGATCAATCGTCGGAAGACATGGGGTACACTCAAGGCCATCCGCATTTGAACCTTTCGCAGTGCTCTGCGTCAGGGTGTCATTCGCATTTTTGTGAGGGTAGCCCTTTTTGGGGTTGGTTTTTGTCCCCTGTCTTCGCGTTGACCGCATGTTGTGGAACGCGCTAAGAGAATATGTCACCTGGCAAGAGGAGCCCGAAAAGGAGCAGCCGCCGCCGCCGTTCTTCGCTGCCCCGGCCTGTGTTTGCTCTGCTTGTGCTGAAGGGCCTTCCAAGTTGATACAGCGATCCAGGACTCTTATAGCGCCGTAGTTCTCGCACGTAAAACGTCTGAGCCTTCTTTCTTTCGCATGTTCTGTTCCATCCTCCCCGGTGGCATGCAGGCTGCAGTCTTTTGAGCCAGGATCAGTGGCTGGCTAGTCTCAAGTTCATTGCTGGTTGGAACGACCAGAAGAAGTACGAAGCGTCCCAGGCCTGCACAAGAACACAGGTTTCCATGTGTTGGCTGGGTTTGCGGTCAAACCCTCTTTGCAGCTTCAGGAAAGTCATGCACAGGACAGATCACCCCACAGATCACCAAGAGAAATGGACAATGGGAAAGGAAACAGAATTCCAGCACCCAACATCACTCAATAACCCCTTCACGCGGACCCGCAGGTGAAGGAGGCCTTCAGCCAGCACCTGGCTTCGGAGGCGCGATGGTTCCCGTCCCTTGGTTCATTGGCATTTCACGGCCAGCCATGACCCAGGCTGAGCACCGGTTCTAATAAACAATTGGTTAGGACAGTCGTGTGTGGTGGAGCCCATTTGCCAAAGCCCATTCGGTGTCACAGAAGAAGGTTAGTTCATTTCGGCCGGATTTTCACCTCCGGGAATTTTCTATTGTGGCTCGCATGAGATGACATCTTCGCAGGACATTGTCAGCAAGCACACAGTCGAGCAGCTCTGCAGAACAATCGTCCAGCACTCGGTATGTCAGTTGTGGGTGCCATTCAGTACGCCGGGGCCATCTATACAAATATGTCCCAGTCTTCCTTAGGCCCCCCTTCCCCAGGGATGACACACGAAATGGCAGAGCAAATGAAGTGCGATTTGAAGACGGATAGCGGGTGGAGGACTCTGTGGGCAAGATGCGATTGGCGCAATGAACAACAGCTCAACTCCTGCATCAACGCAGACCTGAATACCTTCAAGGACGACTGGGAGGAGGATCTCAGAAAGATAGTTACAGACCACCTTAGACTGTCAAGTCATCGTGCGGGTATTTATGTCAGGGCAATTGAACGCGCACGAGCTAGTTTTCGGTCATTGAGGCGAACAAGGTCATTTGAGACAAAAAAGGCTTTCTGGCGCCTGATAGCTCCGCCTGGGATAGAGAGATGCAGACTGTGTCGGGTCGGCACAGGTTCCACTGTTGTTGGACCTCGAGCGAGTCGACTCAATGGTGGTCGCGAACTTGAAAAAGGAGGCCTGGAGTCAGCCAATCCTGAGCCAGTCGCTTTGGGAATGTGTTTGATCCCTTGATCGATTTCGCAAAAATCCAAGAGCCAATGCCTCTTGGACACGTCTCCTGATATGCGCAAGCTTGGCCGCCAGGTTTTGCGGACGCTCAAGATTGTGCAGGCTGACTGCATGTGCTCGTTTAACGCTTCCCTGGGGACCGGGCAAGACCTGCCCCACAAGCAACTGCTCATGTCACAAAGCTTCTTTCTCTGACCGCCCCCCGCAACACTGGATGAGCTTTGTCTCAAAAAAGGGGACCGTCAATCCTTAGCGGTTTTGCCTTGTTACCCTTTAAAGCCACCACAACAAGGGTATCACGGCACAAAAAGACAACAAGAGGTTTAGGCTGGTGCAGGTCTGTATTCTGCGCATCGTCACCTTCGAGCTGCTCAGGGAGCAGGCAGCAAAGGCATCTGCGACGTGGGTCAAACGGTCAAGCAAAACGCGACCTTCATATGTGTCCGAATAAAATTGGGTCAAGCTATGGGGTAGCTTGTGGTCGATTTGGGATGGCTAGTTTTCCCACAACACCCAGAGCTCTCTAATTTACCCGTGTCCACGAGCACATGCCGAGTTTTTTGACCGTGGCGCACGTGGGTATGTTTTTGTTGAGGGTACCAAATCTGGGGTTGGCTCGAGGCACCAGAAAAGGGTCCCCAATCCGCATTTGGGGCGTTTTTCCCTCTGTCTCCGTAGGCCCTTCGGAAGGGCAAGGGCAAGAAGGCGGAGGTTCCGCAGGAAGGGGTCACCTACTTGGCGAGCGATATCACGTCGCTGGCAAAGGCAGGGACGAGTCACTTGAGCAGAGAGGGAGCCAAGCAAATCTGCGCGATGAAGGTGATCCAGCACTTTCGTTTTGATCAAACTTTTACAAAGGGAGTGCGCTGAACTTAGCTGCTTGGTGCGCTGAGACACGAGAGGAGTGCAGAAGCGACGGGAAATTGCCATCTGGCTGTGGCTCAAAAAACCGGTACCAAAATGGAACTCTGGTAAGTGGAAACATGGACCAAAACCAGCGTCACCCCTCCGGTTTAATTTTGAGCCACACCCATCTCCCAACACGGAACACAGACCCAAAGGGATGGGCTGAGGCATGAGCTCATCGTTTCCTTCCGCAAGCAAAAGGCAGAGAAGCCCAAGCCGGCCAAAGGCGACGCGAGAGTCCGAGGGTGTGAGGAGGGACCCGTGTCAACTTGCGTCATGGAGAGGCTCAGGCCTTGCTTTCGGGGTTTCGGAAGATGCACCCGAGGCTGGTTTGCAGGGGATCCTTCCTTCTTTTTTCTTTTTTTAAATGGCACACACACACACACACACCGAACGACATTGGTCTTCCATTGCATATCCTGTGTCTGTATATCTCAAAATGTACAACCACCCCTAAGACAGCCATTCAGGACCAGAGCACACACCTTCCCCCCCCCCCGGCCTTCTCCGGCGGCGGCCTCAACTCCATCCTTTGTGTTTTCTGGCTGTTTTTCCTGTCTTCCCCGGTTACGAAGCGAGATTCGCGTCCCCTCCAAGAAAGATTCACAGAACCCCGAGCACCTTTTTCAAGCGAGATTTCTACCAACCACCAAAAAGGGTTCCCCCCACGACCCAACTTTTTTATGGTCCAAGCCGTTCCAAGAGCTAACAAGGCTCTGAGAACACGAGGCCCCCCCCCCGGGAGCGGGAGCCCTCCGCGAGGCGCTGCGCCGCCCCGAAAGCGGCCCGCGGACTCCGGGCCGGAGCCGGCGGAGCCGCCGCCGGGAGCCGGAGGCGGCGAATGTTGTTTTTCTTCTTCTTTTCTTTTTTTCCCCCGATTTTTTCTCCCTTTTTTTCCCGTTTTTCCGTGGCCTTTTCGGGCACTGAGTGCCCAAAGTTGGGCATAGGAGGCGGGAATGGCTGGTCTTATGGTTGTAAGGCATCTTGGTGGAACCAAAAGGAAATGGATCTCGGGCACTGAGTGTTTAGCACCTTGACACCCAAGCGAGCGTTGCAACCTTCATTGGAGACTCCAGTGTTTTACAGGCAAGTGTCTGCCCAAAAAATGCCAGCCTTCCAGTTTGCTTTCAAGCGTGATGCCGCAGGAGAGGAGACTCAGGCAGCTGAGAACGGGGACGCAGATCAGGCTTCACCGAAGGAGGATTTGCAGGCCTGGTTCAAGCTCATGGATGAGCTTTGGGGCATGGACACATTTGTTTCATGTGAGGTTCGGTCAACATATCTATTAGTCTATGCTCAAGTTGGGCGCGGGCCATGTGCGAAACTGCAAACCTACCGAAAGAGGTTGGAGTTGCAGACGGAGCAAGGGAGGCAAGGCACAAAGGATGTGATTTCAGAGGCCGGTGCGTTGACGGTACTTTTTTGTTTTCTTTTGTGGGGTCGGGTTCATCTATCTCACATTCATTTGGGCAGTGGCCAAGGCCGCCGAGGGCACGGACGCCGATGCCGGGGAGGGGCAGCTCTGGCCTCGGATCGCGGCTCTGGGTTTTGAAGCGAAGCAAATTGGACGGAAAGGTTCTCAATCGGTTCCGGCTTGCACAGGACAGTCATGTGTGTAGCTGAGGTAGACTTCATTGGTCATCCAATTTCTCGTGGCTCTAGAGTTGTGCAGTCCATGGGACTGAGCCCTGAGCACCAGGATAGGTCGGCGAAGGATCACGGCCAGAAAGCATGACCCTGTCTATCCAATTTGGCGCCAGAGCCAACGCATGAAATGCAGCCAGCACGGACCCAACGAGGCATGCGCATGTTGGCTTGAGGTAAGTCTGTCATGGTACTCAAACTCAAGCCCAAAGGGGGAATCTACCATTGCTTGGCCATGGGCCAGGTCTTTTAATTTGGAGATCCCTCTGTTTTACAAAATACGGTTCGCCCGAATCGGCACACGGAGGGGGGCATGCCATGTCGGGCCTGGCGGCGGCGCTGGGCCTGCAACTGCGGCAGCCGCCGCTGCGGCTCGGGGAGCTGGGGCCAGTCCGCGAGCGGCTCGGAAGATTGGGTCGGGGGGGGGGGGGGGCTCCAGGCGCACATGGCGGACTGAGTCATTACAAATGGAGGCCAGTCCAGCCGAGTCGGCACGGCTTAAGTCGAGTTGTCTCAAAATAAGGGAACCACCAGTTTCAATGGGTGGATTGTTTCTGGTTTCCGCTTGAAACAAACTACCCTCAAAAAGACCTGCTGGGTTTGCGTGGAGGGCAGCGGATCGAAGCGATTCGTTCCGTGCACCACGGGTTTTGTTTTCCCCCCGAGGCTGCTGGAGGAGCACAGCGATGTGAGACCGGCCTTCACCTCCAGAGGTGATCTCGGTGGCTCGGGCCGCATGACTCGCCATGGTTCTGTCTTTCGACTGTCGGCTGTACGGGAAAACGCAGAGCCGTCGATTTCAGGGGTTTGCATGTGGGAAGGGATGGAGTGTGTGCAACATTTACCTGTCCTGCTCGCAGCACTGCGTGCAAGGAATGGTGGCCTTGCGGCCACTGCCTGCGGACACAGTACTTCTGCGAGAGGACGGTCTTTTTTTGAAGTCCACTGCACGGTCAATATTTGCTACTTGTGAACGGAATGGGGCCTTGTCAGCAAAGGCAGCATGTATGAACCTTTGGGAACCGTTGGGAACCATTGAATCATCAGGATCCATCACAAACCAATAGACACCATTGCAAATCATTGAGCACCATGAACAACTATGAAAGGCAATGGAAAGCCATTGCAGTAAAAGCCAGGAAACATATGACGAACCAATACGCTGGAAATATTTCGGGTGGTCAAAGTCCTTGATCTCGCGGTGCCGCAGGAGCCGCTGGCTGTGTCGCGCTGCGATTGCCAGGAGGGCCCGTGGGGGTTGATTTTGGGTGCGCAGACCCATAATTTTGAGGGTTCCCAAAAGGAAATCAATATCGGCGAGCCTTCCCCCAGCGAGGATTTTCGATCATGGCCAAAGGCTGTGAACAATGTTTGTTGGGTTCTATGAATGGCCTCGTCAGATGATCGCTTCACAGGACTCTTCCTACAATATGCTGTTGCTTCTGTCGGCTACGGTCAGGAGCTCATTGATTCCATGTGACGCATTCCACGTCTTCCCCGCGCGGATCGTAGGCGAAGAACTTCGATTTCCTGAAGGAGGCCACCTTTGGGCTTCTCAGCGGGAAAAAGTCGAGGGAGCCCTCCCTGGGCACGGAGAGACTACACCAGAGTCGAGTTCTCGAGGCTCATGCCACGCGGCAGTCTGCGAGATTTGGAGGCCCACGCAGCTTGGACTACTTGGAGTCGCTTGATGTTTTGTTGGCAGCTTCTGGGATGTGTGTGAGTGCGAGTGATGTTTTTGAGGCACCTTGGTTTGAAGGGAAGCCAAGGGGAAATACCACCATTTGTCGGGTCTGCCTATTTTGACATGCCCATGTGGAGTGTCTTGAGGGTGCGGGCCTTCTCAGACTGCTGTTGGTCCTGGCGGCCTGGTAGTTTCGTTTCGAAAGGGAGTGGACACCAACCCTTCTGTTGAGTTTGTCCTGAACTACCCCGGCACCCTCTCGCTGGTTTCAAAGAGGAGCAAGAGCAAATCACCATCCATGAGGAGATTTCTTTTCATTTTTCGGGCACCTTTGGGGGGGGGGTTGGACCATTGATGGAAGTCCCCCACTTCGATTTCCCAATCGGCGCAAAACGGGGGGGTTGGTCGTTTTGGTCGTTTTGGTCGCTTCGAAGTCGAGGCGGTGTTTGTGGCTATCCTCGAGGGCCTGCGGGAGCTTGTCGCCCTGGTGGCCGCCACGCCGCTTGGTTTTGTCGGCGGAGTGCGCCGGTTGGCTCGGGTTTTTCAGTGGGGGAGGTTTGCGTCGGGTAGGGGTGGGGGGTTGCTGAAATGGGTATCGACAAACAAGCGGCAAACAATAACCATATAACCCGCGCCATTCATGTATTTGCCCCTGGCTTTTCAGGTCATCCACAATCAGAACCCGGGTAATTGAAGGAGGACCAGCCACAAGCAGGTGCAGCAACTGCGCCGTGCTCATAGACTACCATGAGTGCTGAGCGTCCCCGGTAGGACCAGGTTTTCATTGCGACCCAGTTTATTCGGAAGAACGGCTCGCCCTTTGTCCTTGCTATTTGAGCATCGGTCAAAATATCCAGTAGTCTGTGGTGAACTTGGGCCATGGGGGACTCCAACTTTCTATTTCCTAGTTCCCCATGTCCACTAGGGTGATGGCACATTTTGACCGTTCATTTCAGGTCTTTAGAGCGGTCCTCAGCCGCGCTTCTCGCGGCCTTTGAGGGTCTGAAGGAGGCTGGGATGGGAAATGGACATGATCGCACATCCGCCATGGCAAAGCAAAAGTTGTCAGCAAGTGGCATGATCATGGGTTTAGGAGCGGAGCCTAATCAGAGCATACACATTGACTTTGCCAACACTTTTTGTTTCAACATAGGCATAGCTTCAACATGTTTTTCAGATTTGATCTGCCATCCGGGCAAATTCCTCCTGAGCGCTTGCTACGCGGAGGAGGATGCTCGAGACATCGCTTCGACGCTTGGCGCATTCTGTCATCGTCAGCCAGACGAGGAGGCTGTGATGTGCAAATGCGCGGTGCCTGCAATCAGTTTGGAGGTGGCACTGCTTTAAATAAACGAAATGGGCTAGCAATGTGTTTGCGAGCACAAAAGAAGATCCCTTGTTTCTAAGTGTCATGGCGTGCATGTGCGACGGAATCATTCCTTGAGCCTGCGCCAGGCAAAGGAAGAGCTAATGCGTTTGACGGTGTGTTTCCTTCTCAACTCCTTCGGCTCCAGCGATGAAGTAAGGCCGGCGTCATGTGCAACGTGGTTGGTGACGCAGAGCTAGCAACTGGTTGGTTCTTCACAGGATGGTTGCCTGAACATTGATATTTGCGAGGCTGTGTCGCTTTTGCGCCCTATTCAACCATTCTTGCAGCTCGGTGGGCGATTTATTGGGGGCGATTCGATCCATGACCCTTTGAGGAGTTGGTAAGAGGGCACCGCCTCAAACAAGGAGGGTCCCTAAATCCAACTCATACCCATATATCACTTTTTTTGTGTAACTTACGTGGGATCAACAAACAACCAAGTTGTTTTGTCCAGTCGGACAACAACAACCAAAGGGAATTCCGAGTGTCACGCTGCCCAGGCGAGCCCTCCGCAACCCCAGAGGTGGTGGGCCGGAGTGTGGCCATGAGGCTTCTCAGGCGACGGGGGCATTTTTTGGGTTGAGCGTTTCAGGGTGAGGTTCCCTATATGGCTGTAGGTCAAAAATAGGTACCCAAAATGGAACCTTGGTAAATGGAACCAAAGACTAAAACCTGCGGTCCCCTGGTTGCCTCATTTTGACCCCCCACCCATATTTCCTCTTGTGGCTTCAAACATCAACGTGGGGAACCCACAACGGGACAATTTGAAAAGGGTGCCGCAGAAGAGCACGGCATGCACAGCTTCACGGTGCTGCGATCGCCCATTGGTTTGCTGTTCAGTAGTTCTGTAGGGGATCGTGCTTGTGCCTCAGCACACACATACGTGCATGCATGCAGACAGACAGAGACAGAGACAGCGTCAGAGACAGAGAGAGAGAGAGAGAGAGAGACAGAGACAGACACAGCCACAGACACGGACACGGACACAGACACGGAGAAAGGGAGAGAGAGAGAGAGAGAGCGAGAGAGACAGACGCAGACAAACAGACCGACAGACAGACAGACCGACAGACAGACAGACAGACAACAGACAGACAGCCAGACAGAGAGAGTGAGAGAGAGACAGAGACAGAGAGAGAGAGAGAGAGAGGCAGAGACAGAGGCAGAGACAGAGACAGAGACAGAGACAGAGATAGAGACAGAGATAGAGACACAGACAGACAGACAGACAGACAGACAGACAGACAGACAGACGGACGGACAGACAGACAGACAGACAGGCAGGCAGGCAGGCAGGCAGGCAGGCAGACAGACAGACAGACAGACAGACACGGGCATACCCCTGTATTTCTTAACCTAACGTGCGGACATAGGTACTCACACCTTTTACCTATATTCCTCTTTCTATGTACCTACATTATCCTTTTTGAATTCCTAGTCTTTCCTAGTATATCCGAATGTCCTACTATATTACTTTGACATCCTACTCTATTCCTATGATTCCCATGTAGTTTTGTTCTACAAGGATTGAAATCTAAATTTTGGCACCTTGGTCGGAGTTTCTCAATATGAATACACAGCCTTGTGAGTGTTGTTTGTTATCGGCCCATTGGTTGTAGAAGCTGCTCCACACGAGCGGCTTGCGGGTGTTCTTTGCTTCTATTGAAGGTCTTCAATATAAAAATGAAGCCACTCCTGGATGGCCTTCCACACAAACACCCCAATTCAAGGAACCTGTGGCTATGGCCATTGTTTCCAGGCCGGTGGTGGCTGGCGAGGAGATCACGTTTTGCTACGTGCCGCTGAAACAGGACGCTGTGGTTTGAAAGCTGATACTTCACTGGTCCCGGTTTGGTTGGGCTCGGGTTCTGTTCATCTTTAGTGGGGGCTGCCAAGCACATGACATGAGATTCGGATCAACATGTTCAGTGGCAGTAGTCTATGGTTGATTTGGGAGGGCCATGTTCAATTTTTTTGGGTTGTATGGATTGTCGTGAACCCTTTTAGAAGAGAACTTCGACCAGCGGAATTCTACAGCTTCCTATAACGGGAAGCGCAACCATGGACTAAGTGTTGACCATTGATCGATGATGTGAATCTTGAACTCAATCGTGAAAACAACAATGCATGATTCCAGTCGCAAACAGTTACGTCGAACACAAAACTAGCACAGATGAGTGCCAGTATCCTACGATGTGTTTCAAAGTTCTGAAAGGAGAGTTATAAATGAGTTCCCTGTTTTTGTTGCTTTCGTAGCTTTGGTGGCTTTGGAAGGCTTTTTGTGACTTTCCGTGGCCTCAGCAACCTGGAACAAGGGGATTCAGATGATTTAGGTGGGGTTTAGGTTTGGTTTGAGGTGAGTTTCCTTTCAACTTGTGGAATCTAAAGGCGTGCAGAATTTAGAAGCCGCGAAGCTGGTCTTAGTCTGGATGGACAAAGTCCACTTCGCATCGGTTGGAATGGATGAACCCGATTTGAATGCTGGTTGAACCACACTTTCTCTTTGTTTTCCCTTGAGCCCAACCTTAGGGTTCCCTCAACAGGCTTTGAGAGGCCGCAGCGGGCTGACCATTCTGTTTGAGGATCCCGCTGCGTGGCCAGTTGAAAGGCGGCAGGACCGATGCGGACGTCGGTTGCTTTTCCGCCGGACGAACAAGTTGGGACTGGGTCAAAAGCCAATCTCCCAAGGACATTTCGGTTTGAAGAGACATCCTTGACATTTCGGTTTCACCACTGAGCGCCTGGCTCCGTGTTGGACTGCGACTGTGTCTTCGCTTTGCCAAGCACCACAACGACATAGGTGTCGCAAACTAGCAAAGAGCACTGTTCTTTCAAGCCAACAAACAGCATGCTCAATAGGGATTTGTCAACCAACGATTTGAGGCAAGCTTTCGATTGGCTCCTTTCAGACTAAGTCTTTGCAGGCGGTCCCTGTGTTGAGACATTCCCTTTGGCATGGACTTTTTTTGAATCTCCCCTTTGCCGGTGACCAACTAGTTGATGGGAACAACCCTGTGACTGAGGAGTTCCTCTCCAAGACCTTCGGCTTCAGCTGCAACTGCCCGCGCTGCCTTCGGGAGTCGGCGGAAATACCGGCGCCAGGCGCTTGGGAGCCCAAAAAGCTGGTCGTGGTGGGGGTCCTTTCTGTTTTCAATTTTTGGTTCAGATTTGGTTGTGCTAGTTTTGGATCCAACGAAAACTAGCAGCTTAAAACATGTCCTCCTTGTTAGCGCTTGATTGGTCTAAACACAGTGGCCGACCACTTTTCAACATGACCGCCATTAGATGTTTGTTGTCACGCAGATCCACAATGTATGGAAGGTTGGGGGTTGGGGAGCCGCCACAAACCTTCCGCGTTCATCCGATTTGCGGGTGTGGAACATGCAACATTGATTAAGGGACATATCTATGCTGGGGTACCCCCCCCCCCAACTTGCACTCCGTTCGAGGAAGCCCCCTCAATTTATATGAGTTGAGTCTGCAATCTTATTCGAATCCAAGATGTTGATGGGGCAACCTGTCAACATGTCCATACCAATTTGTTAGGTGAGTCGTGCAGTCGGGTGATTCGAGCAGACATTCGGAAGGCCATCCGCTTAGTTCCGGCTGGCAGCCAGCCGTGACCATGCGCTGGGAGTTGGACAGCAGGCTCGGAGATTTGCCAAAGAGCTGTGGGGAGTCGGCATCATGTGCCGCTTTTTCCTCCTTACGGGAGAAGCCCGAGGGAGGGCTGCGCTTTTGAGGATTATTGGCTGTTTGAAAGGCTTGGTGTTGGGTGAGACCAGGCGAGAGCCGCTGCTGTTGCTGACCGTGGACATCTCAGAGGCATCTGGGTCTTACGCGCAGAGGAGCGGTCGAGGTCCTTTATGACTCAGAGCGGTCGAACATCGATGGCACTGGTTTCAGTTTGGTTTCAGTCTGGCTATGACGAACCAGTGTCAACCATTTTCTGGAAAGGACACCTAGGCAGAAGAGATGCCTGCCAAGAGGTGGGGGATAATGCTCGAGCTGAATTCACAAGTGAGCGCCCGAAAAGCTATAAGTTGGCTGTAATCAGCAGGTATGGCCGCTGGCGGCTGGTGAGCTGGAGTGCGATGTGGCCGACGTGCTGCGCCTGCGGGCGCGGGAGAAGGAGGCAGGGCCTGTTTGGCGGGTGCGCGGTCACTCTTCAACTATCCTGGCAGTTGAAACACCCAGACTTGTGGGCAACCACCGAGTTTGCTTCGTCCCAACTTTGGTTTCCACGAGTTTGGTTCTTAAGTTTAGGTTGCCGCATGGGGGCGACTTCTTCGAGCTTTCCAACTGCGGCCACCCGCGCTGCACCGCAGGCCGAGGTGCCGCTGCCCTGCCGCTGCGTGGATGCCGCTCCGGCGCGGCTCACCAAGCGGCGCCTGGTGCTGATGCTGCAGGTCGTCGGTACGGTCCGAGGCTATGGGTTTTCTTGGGCGAACAACTCCTCAAAATAAAGCGGTCCCCGAGAATGGTTTTCCTTTGGTTTCTTATGGGCACAAAGGGTGTGCAAAAAGGAGCCCGATCTCTGTTGGGGGCGTCTTTTCTTTTTTTTTTGTGTGTAAGGATTTGTTTAAAGGAGAACCCACACGTTTCATTTTGTGGGTCCCCGCCCATTTGGAGACAAATCCAGATGGCCATGCTTTTTAGTGGGGTGCCCTGAGAAGTGATTAGTGGATATAATATCCCATGTTTCATGTAGTGGCAGGTACTCAACTATCAACAAAAACGATGTCTTCGACCACAACAATTCATGTCAAATTTAGCCAGGTCCCCCGACATCGACCTGTAATGTAGAGAAGGTTTTTGTTGGAGAAATGGACGATCAATTGGGGTCAGATTTCCCCCGATCGCTGCATCATAGCGTTGCGCGGACGGGCTTAGGAGGGCTCAACAATTTTTAACAGCCCAACCTGGAACAATCATCGGTGCAATTTAAAGATAGGGGTGTGAAGGTCCTTTTGGACCCAGGCCTGTAGTTTTTAAAACGCGATTGTGCCGGGTTCGCTTTGATAGAGTGGTGGTCAGTGGTCTCTGCAGTTTTTTTGCCCAGATGCAGTGCTGACCTTCACTATGAGCACAGACGCCTATTGTTTTATGATGACCCCAATTCCGAGTTGTTCCCCAACCCTCAAAAGGTAAGCCAGACGCAAAAGTGAGCATTTCGCACAACGAGGGAAGCTTTGCTGCCACATTCAACCCCTTCTAAGGGAGTTTGAGACAAAGCTGTCGGAGGCTTGGAGCTGCTGGGTTTTAGGCTTGCAGGGCTAGTAGCTAATTAAACCATTCCCAATGCGCAAATCACAACTCTCTATGTCCCTGACCAACCTGGGTCGCGCTTCGACGGGGCCTTGTGTCGCGAGGAGGCTGCGGGTGAGAGCCATGGCGCCCGACAAAAAGCGCTCCGCCGCACTCGCGCGCGCGCTTCCGCACGCCACGAAGCCGCTTTTGCTGGAGAGTTGGTCCGGACGTCTTGAGCCGCAGATTTCGGGCTGGATCTCAAATTCTGCCTGAGGCCTTCCAAGAAGAAGCCGCGGATTGTGTCGTAGATCCGGGTGCAGCTGCAGAGCCTTGGCGAGCACTCACTTGTGAGGGTGGGGGCAGGTCGGAAAAAAAACTAGTTTGCGCATTTTGATAATTTGCACAAATTGGCGACCCCATGCCCAGCAAGATCAGGAGCCGAAGTGTGCAACTTTCCTTTGACCCAAGGATCATGCTCGTCCTCAGGGGCACCCTCCAAAGTCTCGGCGGTGCAGGTGGGGCGAGGAATCTGGGATTGCAAGTGGCAAACTTCTAGGTGTTTGCTTGTTTGTTTGCTTGTTTGTTTTCTTGCCTGCTTGCGTTGCTTTGGTTTCTCTGCTTTGCTTTGCTTTGCTTCTGTTTTTCATTGCTTTGCACCGCCTTGCTTTGTTTACTTTTGACGTTTTGTTTGTTTGTTTGTTTGTTTGTTTGTTTGTTTGTTTGTTTTCGTTTGTTTGTTTGTTTTGGTTTGTTTGTCTGTCTGTCTGTCTGTTTGTTTGTTTGTTTGTTTAGGCTTGTTTGTTTAGGTTTGTTTGTTTAGGTTTGTGTGTTTGTTTGTTTGTTTGTTTGCTTGTTTGTTTGTTTTCTTGCCTGCTTGCGTTGCTTTGGTTTCTCTGCTTTGCTTTTGCTTTGCTTCTGTTTTTTATTGCTTTGCACCGCCTTGCTTTTTTACTTTTCACGTTTTGCTTGTTTGCTTGCTTGTTTGTTTGTTTTCGTTTGTTTGTTTGTTTGTTTGTTTGTTTGTTTTCGTTTGTTTGTTTGTTTTGGATTGTTTGTCTGTCTGTCTGTCTGTCTGTCTGTCTGTCTGTCTGTCTGTCTGTTTGTTTGTTTGTTTGTTTGTTTGTTTGTTTAGGTTTGTTTGTTTAGGTTTGTTTGTTTGTTTTGGTTTGTTTGTTTTGGTCGTTTTTTTTCCCTTGTCTTGTCTTGTTTTTGTTTGATTTTGTGTGTTTGTGTTTGTTTGTTTGTTTTTGTTTGTTTCCTTAAAGGTGCTCGTGATGGGAACATCCAAACGGGAGGCAAACCCAGTGTCCTTAAATACCCTGTCGAGACAGTCCACTTGTTCTGCGAAGGAAGAAGCACCAAGCACCGTGAATCAACTGGCCTCAGAGCGTCGCTTTGACCAGGCCCAGAACATGGCAGAAGTCGTGCCATGGAAAATGCCCGGCCGTTGCGTTCCAAGTGAGCAGCTGACAATATTACCGGTGGCCTACTGACCGTTCGGGGAGGACATGGAGGGTTTTCTGATCTCTGCAGGGAAGCGTTCGTAAGTTTGTCCGGAGCTCACAGGTTGCCTGACATGAGAGATGGCGTCATGCTGCTCGAGTTTGGGAGTCGGCTGGTCCCTTCCAGCGACATTTGGCGGCGTCTTGTTGTGAGGTTGCCGTTCTGGGTTTTAAGCCAAACCAAAACCAACAGGAAACTGCAAACTTCGGGGGGGTGTCTTGTTTTGAGGGTACCATTGTTAGGGTTGCCTTGTTGCCTTGAAGGGACACCAAGGGGAAGCCACCCATTTTGGATTCCTCGATTCTACTAGACGGACATTTGAAGGCAAACCATCTCGCCTGATGCCTCCTTGCCGCAGCTGCTGTGATCAAATTTGCTACGCACGTGGATTTGCAGTCCGAGGCTGGGTGGGATGCTTCAGCTGTGTAGCAGGGGATAGTCCCAGCCATGAATTCTGAATAAGTGAAAATACACTTATTTTCTTTTGTTGGCCACCCTTTTGATTCGGAGGCTATGTTTTCTTTTGCTAGGAGTGGCTCGCAGCTTAGCAAGAGCTCGTTGGTTGGTTTGTTTGTTGGTTGGGTTGGTGGTTGGCAGACAGTCCCTAAGCCCCATGCGGCGTTGCAGGGCTGGTTTTAAGCCGCCTAAGTTCTTGCGGCAGGAATATGGTGGGCTTCAACCGGTTTTAGAGCTTTGTCGGGGTTGATGTTTGGCTCGTTTTGGTCTAGCTGGGGCTTGACCACCGCTTGGGGGGGTGTTATTTGTATTGTTGCTGGCTTGCGCCTGGTTTTGGCGCGTTGCCCCAACCATCAAACCAACAAGTAAGACCCCTTTCAGCAAGAGTAAGCACTGGTGAAGCCCTGTGCACAATTCTGGGTAGACGCCTTGATGCCAAGGTTTGAGTGTTGCTCATTCTTGCGATGGCGCTAGCCACGCAGGTGGGTTTGGCCTTCGTCATGTCCCAACCCGACAGCAGCCGACGTGCCAAGTCCATTGGTCACTACATCCTAGGCCGGGCCGCGGGTTCGGGGTAGACATACGGGGTTGTGTGTTTTAAGGTTCTCCTATTGGGGTTGCTTTAAAGGGAAACCAATTCACACAGACAGTCGCTATTTTGAACGCCCATATGACATGAGCAAAAGCAGTACGTATTGAGCCCCCCCTCCCCTCCCGGTGCGCAAACCCCGCTTTTGAGAAGCCTACAGGTGGGATATCTAAATTTCGACATCCGCTGTGAATAGTGCTGTGTGTTGGGAGGAATTGCGCTTTCATGCTTCTTCCTGGTGTACTGGCCCGAAGGTGACTCTCTTCCTCCTCCTAGTGACAGCTTCTATCCAACCCTTCAATGCAGCTTGGGGCAGCCATTACAAGCGCCCCAGCAATGTGCTACAGAAAGCATGATTCGCAGATTTGTCCGACACGTGTACTGAACAGCAGCCAAAGCCACCTAGTCACCAAGGGAACAGAACTGGTTTCATAGCTCCTTTTTACCTGCCTGCGGCCTGTGCACAGGCAAGACGATTGGAGAGGGCACCTTCGGGAAGGCGTCTTGGCTTGCGCCGTCAACGCTGATATTAGGTTGAAATGTCCAGGTGCGCTATGGTCTGTATCGGGGAACACCAAATTCCCCCCAAAGATCGGGGGACTAGCAAACAAACATTGGATCTACAAGCCAAAAAGTCTGGAAGGGTCCTTATTCTGAGGCAAGCTCGAGCATGCTGCGCGATCCCATCGCATTGAATACTGCAAGCCTTGGTTGCAAAATGGCAGGGCTGCACAAACTGCCAAGCTTCCAACACTGCCAGGGTTTGCAACACTAAGGCCCAGCTTCAACGCTGCAAGGCCAACCTCCAAAGTTTCAACACTGCAGGCTTCCAACACTGCCAACAAGGGCTGCCACTTTTAACAGCGCAGTGTTGAAGCAGGTTGGCAGGGGCTGCAGATTTGCAACGTCTTGCAGCCCTGCCAAGACCTGTATTGCCCCTGCCATTTCAACACTGCCCAAACAAGGCTAATCTCAACCTACAAGCCAGTTCGTTGGATTTCGCTGAGTAGCAACAACCCCCAAAAAAAAACACGGACCAGGGTGGACTCGAGCCACCATTTTCATGGTTCTGCAAACTCCACGAGTTCGAGACGATGACGCCTTATCCATTAGGCGACTGGTCCTGTTAACATTTGTGTTTTGTTGTTTTAGTTAGTGTGTCTTTAATGAATTATCAACATCACACAAGACCCCAAACAAAGATCACAACTTGGCAACTTCTCCCCTTAGGTCAAGCTTGGCACGCACATCTTGACCTCGGAGCGTGTTGCCGTGAAGGCGCGACTCGGATTCGGATCGGGCTTGGCGCTTGACTGTGGCCAAGGGCTCCAATCAAACAAGAAGCCCAAAGTCTCAGTCCCATCGTTGTTGCATGGTTATTGCCGGCGATCAATCTGTTTCAATTAGGTTCAGATTGCAAGCTGCAATGCGCCAGATCCTCGAGAAGGAGAGGATTGTTGAAGTTGCAGACGTGGAGCGGGTTGCCCGTGAGGCAGGGTTCTCTGCATCGGCCCGGCTTGGGCACTCTGCAGGAGTGATGATGCACAGTCCATTTATTGGTTGGCTTGCTTCGTCCACATGGGTTCAGTCGCACCCGCATGTGGAAAGCTGTTCCGCAGGTACACATTTTGAAGCTCATCCGGCACCCTCACATTGCTTGTGGCTCAGAGAGGGATTCTTAGAGGGATACTACAGGGGCTGCAGGGTCTTCGGCACATGGTCTTTGGCTGCCAGTTTAGCTTAATTCGAAACAAAGCGCTTGCTTGCTGGCCAGCGAGAAGCAACATAGTTATCGGGCGTGTTGGCCCATGTTCCGGTTGCAAGGTGCAACTCTACGAGATCATTGAGACGCGGAGGCAGCTCTACCTCATCATGGAGTGCCCCTGCTTGCTACCCCTACTGAGTCTGTCAGCCCGCGCACTGGTGATGGTGATGTTGATCGTGATGGTGGTGGAGTGGCGGTGGCGGTGTTGGTGGCGTGGTGGTGGTGGTGGTGGTGCTGCTGCTGCTGCTGCTGCTGCTGCTGCGCTGATGTTGATGCTGATGCTGATGCTGATGCTCATGTTGCCGATGATGATGGTGACGACGATGACGATGATGCCACAGTGAAGGTTAATTTTGCCAATAATGCTCTTCCCGCAGGTACGCCAGTGGTGGGGAGCTGTTCGATTACATTGTCGCGAAGGGCCGTGTGCCCGAACCGGAGGACCGCAGCATGAGTTTCCGTGCCTTGCGAGACTTGTGAGAAAGACATGTCCTTTCAAGGCCAAGTTTTTGACCTTCCACTTTCTCAGTTTTGGTCTCTTGCAATGGTCTCAATGAGCAGCCGTTAGCGGGCCTCTCGGACAAGTGAGATAACCTTCAGGTGCTTGGATGTCCAAACCTTCTGGGCGTCGCATTTTTTCTTCCAAGGGATTCCTGTGCAGGCATGCCGCTTCTTCCACCAGATTATTGCCGGACTGGAGAAGGCGGAATGAAGTTGAAATTGGTCTGCAACAGCCTTGCTACTCTTGCAATTGTGCTTTCCCTTTTTCCCATGTTGCTGCCATGCTTTCCTGGCTCTGAGCATCGCAAGTGGCGCCCCAAACCCTGATCAACCCTTGGTCAAATCTCATCCAACATCATTACAATGCCACCTTAAATCAACAAGCCCGTCCTATTGCAACTCTTGCGCTGAATTACATCAATTCAAGCCCTGAAAGGATCCCAAGCATTTCGTCGAGCTGGGAAGGAAAGCCATTTAATGGCTACGGTTGGTCAACGGTCAATGACTGCTTGAAAGCTAAGCCCACCATTATTTCCTGTTTTTTTTTTTGGGGGGGGGCGGTTAAGTCAATTTTCAGGTGAATCAGCTCAGAATCCACAAAAGTTCCCGTGGATCTGGGTCCCAGCGACGTGTAGAGTTCCTTTGGGATCTGTTGTTTGGTCGCGTGTGTTTGCGACTTGAACCTAGGAGCGGCTTTGGTTTCATTGTTTTGTTTTGGTTTCGCCAGGTTCATGCCATGAACATCGTGCACCGGGATCTCAAGCCAGGGGCCCCAAAAGGAACGGCAATGCATCTGACGAACTTTCTCACTTCCGCTTGTGCGGCACAAATCACCGACACACACGCACACACACACACACACACACACACACACACACACACACACACACACACACACACACACACACACACACACACACACACACACACACACACACACACACACACACACACACACACACACACACACACACACACACACACACACACACACACACACACACACACACACACACACACACACACACACACACACACACACACACACACACACACACACACACACACACACACACACACACACACACACACACACACACACACACACACACACACACACACACACACACACACACACACACACACACACACACACACACACACACACACACACACACACACACACACACACACACACACACACACACACACACACACACACACACACACACACACACACACACACACACACACACACACACACACACACACACACACACACACACACACACACACACACACACACACACACACACACACACACACACACACACACACACACACACACACACACACACACACACACACACACACACACACACACACACACACACACACACACACACACACACACACACACACACACACACACACACACACACACACACACACACACACACACACACACACACACACACACACACACACACACACACACACACACACACACACACACAGATCACACCTGTGCTTTGCTTTGCTAAGCAAATGAGGGGTTGAGTTTTTTTTTTTTTTTTTTTTTTTTTTTTTAATAATAATAATAATAATTATTGTGAGGATACTCGTTTTGGTTTGGTTGAAAAGGAAACCACACATGGGGTCCCTATTTTGATTCCCAAGTGAGGGGCTCTCAAATACTTTTAGGGGTGGGAAAGCCTTCAACGACCACTAAGAGAGATTTGAACACGTCTCTTCCATGGGCCCAGTTTGTGCGGCTTGTTTCTTGGTGGCCAGAAAGAAGATAGAGCCCATTTGTGACCCCCCACCCAGGTATGTAGTCCATCTCGGAAAGGTATTGAAAAGCAATGATGAGGCCCCGACTGAGGGAACGGCCCCCGGAAAAGACCATGGCGCATCGCATGCTTGAGTTTTAACTGACAATGTATACTGAACTGATAACGATAGTGTGCTACTGTTCCACACTTGCTGGTTATTGTTGTTGGACATCCATCCTGAGGCGTCCAAATACCTCCTTGATTCCCCAACCTCTTTCTTGCTCCAGTTTTCTCAAACTCGCTTGCCCAGCCTTGCTCAGTTTTGCTCGGCTATTTTTTTCGCACTCTGGCACTGGGAGACTTGAGGCCCGAGAACCTCCTTCTGGACGAGCACAATAATATCAAGATTGTTGACTTCGGCCTGAGCAACGTTTTCAGGCCCGAGAGAGCGAGAGAGAGAGAGAGAGAGAGAGAGTCGGCAAGGCGCATGCTGTCTTGATGGCATGTGATTTAACCGTTGGGGCCCTTGGTAGGCACCGAATGAAGAACTTTTGAGCAAGCACCTGCATGGCATGGGACCATCATTTTTGCACTATGAGGTCATGGCTGTGAATGCTCCAGCCACTACGCTTTTCGCTTAGGCAGGGTCAGCTTCTGAAGACTGCCTGCGGCTCTCCGTGCTACGCCGCACCTGAGATGATTGCAGGCGGGCCGTTCCAGGGGGAATGCAGCAGGTTGCCTCATGTGGGAATGTGTGGATGGCCTCGCGAGCTCAATTTGTTTTTGTTAGTTGCCTTTTCACATGATTGACTATAAATAGATCCTGGAATGAAGACCTTGAGGTGCCCAGACCTGTCAAATTGTATTGCCTGCCTGAACCAGGCCACAGCTACGTGCCGACCTTAGCAATTATTGGGCAGGTGGGAAAGCAGGTCGTCGTCGTTGTCGTCCAACATTTTATGCGCGCACGCCGAGTCTGCCGGGGCAACGCATCATAGCCCGCGGATCGACAGATCAACGGGGAAGTTGCCATCGTTACATGCAACATGCCGTTTTGGCAACTGGGATTTGTTGCTTTGGGCCTCGACTGAGGATGTTTTTCTGTTTCAACTTTGAGGTGCCGCACCTTTGCGACATGTGGAGCTGTGGGGTGATTCTCTTCGCCCTGGTCTGTGGGTACCTGCCCTTTGAGGACGCCGTGCAAGGAAGGAAGGTGTTGGAGTTTCGTGGGTCCTTTACTCTGGTAACCTTAGTTGGTGGTTTGGATTGGTGGTTTCGGGGGCCTACACCCCAGTTCCTTTTAACACCAAATTATATGAGGAAGGAGCACACACCCAGCCAAATGACCAAATTTTGGTGTAAGATGATTTACGGTTACAGGCTTGCGTGACGGTATAAGACCCGGAGGCCTGAAAGTGAGGCGGCAAGAATTGGATGCGGACTGCCCACCGTTTGTTTGCTCGTGGACTTGGAGTCACACACTTTGCCAGGACCAAAACACATCTGCATTGTACAAGAAGATCCTGGCTGCAGAGTACAAAACGCCAAAGTTTATCAGCGAGGCGGCACCGGTCACTTCACCCCACCCCTCCATTTCCAGGAGTCGGTAGTCCATTTGGGAGGACATGTGGGAGACTCTAAATTCCCCACAAAGGGGCCATGTCGCAATGTTTTGATTGAAAGCGCTTCCGCTCAGTCGGTGCGCGACCTGATCTCCAAGCTCCTCACCACGGAGCCCTCACGCCGCTTCGGCGTGCAGGACGTGCGCATGCACGCCTGGCGCGGGGGCCCAGAAAAAGGACACGGATGACTCGCGAAACGTGGCGTCTTGGGGCGAAAAGAGGGGAACAAAGGAAAGTTGGAAGGAAAGTTGAAAGTTGGACAGGTGAAAGGAGGACGAGGCACAATGCTCCAGGGGCCGAGGGGTGCTTGACGGCAGGTACCGCCAGATCCCGGAGGCTTCGACCCCTGTTCCGGAGGGCACTCCGGGCCAAGGCGGGCGCGGGCGGGAAAGAGGGACGGTTTGAAGGTGTGCAAAGGGACCCGATCCTGACAATAAGATCATTCATTTTATTCATTGTTGCCCCTGGCCACACATGCCAAGAGAGAGGCAACAGCCATCCCCTACAGATCATGAATGGTGCATTCCGCCTCGACAGTGGTCTTGTGAACAAACCCGGGAGCCCTGTCACAATGAAAGGCTCAAGGCCATGTCATTTCCAAGACCATGCTTTGTCAGGTATGCCACTTCCTTGTGCCTTGGCCAGGTGAGAGGCAAGATCAAAAGCTGGAGGAGGACACTGGGCGTCCCGTCAGATTTACTGGCTGTCCACGAGAGAGGAGGATTTCTGGGCACCAAAGGGGAGAGGAAACTCTTCTTTGGAATTGACAGGCTTGATGTTTCCTGGGTTCCCAGTATATGCACGGTGCCATTGCAGCAAGGCACTCCTTGGTCGTGCGAATCGCTTGTACCTTTCAAGCTTCCGTGCAGACACTGCACAGCGAGGATGCAAGCCCACATCCGCAAAAGCACAGCCCACCGATCACCTGGTGCGCATGACACGAGCAAATGTCTCGACGATCCATGAGCAGGGGTGCACGGGAAGGAAGGTGATTGACACGAGCCTTGGCAATGGAACGCGTTTTGGGAACACTTTTTCATCAGGCGCTTGACGGCACTCGCCATTCAGAGCTGCAGCCATCAGCACATGGGTGCAGTGAAGCTCACTCCGGCTGAGCCTCTCATGTCGACTGATGGCCGAGTACGAGAAGCCGGTCGAGGCGCCTGCGAATGGGGTTGACCTGGTGCCGGTGGGTAAACCCACAAATGGCTGAATTTGTGTGAATCCTCAACCTGCAGGTGTCAGAAGCAGCAGAGGATGGCGAGGCGAGTCAACTCAACGCAAGCCAAGAGATGAGTCAAAGTCTTCATGATGCGTGACCCGCTTACTCAGGGTTAGTAAGGATGGTCATGGACCCCGTCATGGAGAACTATTTTTACAAATAAAGGCAATCACGAACGTGGCTTACAGAAGTAGTTTGATCGCGGCGCACATGTTTGTGGGCAACCTTTGCCAACCTGAAAAGATCTGACAACTGCCCCAAATGCTAATAGGTGCTGTGGTCAAACCACCCTTTTGCTTGTTGGTGGGGATGGTCAGTAGGACCCACAGGAGTTTGCCCATGGCTCACAGTGTTGGATGTGTCGTTGGTTTTCTTTGTGGTCTTCTTGAAGTCTTGTTGAGCCAACCTGAAACGGATACCCTCAAACAAACACAAAACGATATGTATGTCTGGGAAGGCTCGCCTTGTTTAGGCTGCAGAGCTCAAGAGCCGGGGCAATGCGGCCTATGCGCAAGGTTATATCGAGGCTGGGCCATAGATGACAAGGAATGGGACCCGGGAATGGCGCAAAGCCTTTGGGCCCCCCCTGGGAAAATGCAGCGACGCCCTCTAGCATCATATACCCTGATCAGACAGCTCCATAAGAGATTCTTGCAAGCATCATATACCCTCAGACAGCTCCATCCAAGAGATCAATCTGGATTTGGGGTTGAGTAACCATTCTCGTATAGCGTTCGAGCCGAGCCGTGTGCTGGGAAAGCAAACAGTGGGACCGCGCCCGAGCGTAAGATGTTTCTCACAAGGGCTTGTTTTCTTCCTTGGCAAAGGAGTCTCCATTTCCACAAGCCAGCCATCTGGACCCCGTTTGCCGTTGTCTCCCCCCCCCCCAAAGAGCCTTTCAGAAAGAGGCTGTGGTCCCTTCCGTGCGCTAGGAGGCAGTGCGACTCTGGAATAGGGCCATACGACGCCACGTCCAGGCAGGTTGCGTGGACACGGGCGGGCGAAGCTGCATGCATTTTTTTGGAGGGTGCCTTGCTTGGGTTGGTTTACAGGGAAACCGACAGGACACCACCACTTTTTGTGTTTGGGGGGTCCCCTATTTTGGTACTTGGAGCCTCAAAAAGGTGGTGGAACCCAGAAGGAGATAGCTCTGAAGACGACATTGTTTATTGGGTTCCCATTTTAATCAGGAGAGTAGCTCCAAAAGCCGGCGTAGGAGCTCTCGGACGGCAAGTCCTGCGATGAGGAGTCCATCGTGTGAGGTTTTTTTGGCGCTGGACGCCCAAGCAACAGGTTGGGAAGGTGCCAAGGTTGGCAACTCTTCTGATTTGCTCGTTTGGGTTGGTTTACCCTCCCGCCGATTGGCATGGATCCTGGCAGGTGGTTCCTTTAAAAGTAACGGAACATGGTCCAAACCAGGACCCCCTGTCAGGTTCCATGTAAATGCGAGGGTACTTTAAGGACCTTTCGCTATGGGATTTGTGGGGGTGGGGGCGATGGCAGCCTATGTGGCACCAGGAGGCGATGGTGCTGGAGCGGTCCATCTACCTGAACCTCGCAACTGGGACCGTTGTTTCATGGGAACCCCGAAAGAAACCTATCCTACTTTTGTGAGGGTGTCGGGCCCCACGAAAAAGTGCCGGATTCAACCACTCAAAGGGCACCCGATTTTTCAACTAGGGGTCTATCCGGGGTTGACAGCACAAGAAAATGCTGTAAGCCTTCTCAGCCTTGCAATTCCGGCATCAACCAGTTTTCGGGACACCCCACTTGCAGCTTGCTTCGCTGTAGTTTTTGGCCGGCCGCTTGCGACTGGGCTGAGGCGCAAGGCTACCTCAAGCTTGGAGATGCAGAGCGCGCTCTGCGGGCATGTAAGGCGCGTTCGTCAGGTCAAGCGCTGTCAATCGTAAGTGATATGTTAAAGAGTAAGTCCACTCGTGAGGCATATACGTCCCAGCCTGTTGGTTTTGTCTTCGCACAACGAGCAGGGGTTCAACTCAATGCTCCGCAGAAAATGTGAGCGTGCTTCTTAAATGCGTCGTTCTACTGCCCAACTCGGGCAGAGTGTGCGGTGAAAGCCCACCAATGCTGTTTTATGGCTGAACAAGAGTTTCCATGCAAGCTTCCCTTCTCAACTTTTCGCCACTTCCGTTTCCCTTCATTTTCTCATTCTCCCAACTGAAAAGTCCGCCTTCCCAGCAAAACCGTGGCCTTTTCCCGACCAAAGCCCAAAGCGCCCCAGTCGGATCCCTTCCAGTCGCCCGTCTCCTTTCGCTCCGAAGAGGTGGTGCTCTTCGGGGAGGCCAAGAACCCCAAGGCGCGGTACCGCGCGGCGGAGGCCTGCGCACAGCCGGGGGGCCCAAGGCCCAACGAGGCAGGCGGGAGGGAGGGAGAAGGGGATTAGACGCCTTCAAAGAGTGGAACTTGGGTACCTGTCCCTTCTCGTTTTTTCGAACAGTTGCTTGGTACAAGTCACTGAGTCGGTTTTCCTCGAAACTTTGTGGATGTTCCTAGACGGGCAACAAATACACAGGATGTGGAGTATGCACTTGTCCCTTGTTTTTTGGCGGCGAGACCCAAAAGGAGAGGCTTTGGAACTTTGAGTGGCGGAGCTTGGCCGGCTATGTGTTAAGTGATGCTTTCCACGGTGGCCTTCTTTGATCTTTTTGCGCATCACACGAGTGTTCCAGGTGACATACTCCCCAGCCTGGGTTCTGAACCACATTCTGGGCATCGGTTTGGGGTGTCTTGAGATTTGAGCCCGTACCGCTCCCTTGCAAGCCGCAAAACAGGGGGCCCATTCAACAGGAAACCAACTGTCGCTCTCAAATACATGACCAAGATGATGTGAAGCATGTCTTTTAATGGTCTGCCGCGAAAGAATTCACCATCAAGAAAGGCTGGCGATTGGGACGAGAAGAGCAGTAAACACAAGGAATGAGTGGCAGTGGCACTAGTGTATGACCCGCTGATATCATTTTTTTATTGACAGCTAGTTGATTGTGGCTCGCTTGTGGGAAACCTCGAAATTCTCCATGTGAGACTGCAGTAGGCGGACTGAATGCTTGCGAGCTGTCCGCACTGAGGCTTGGCCGCTTCGATGAGGCTGAACAGCTTCTGGGAGCGCTGGATCCTTCAGAGGCAGAGATTCGGTTGGGCCATGCCTGTTTGAGCAATTGAATTGTTTTGTCCCTCTGCCTCTCTTGTCTCTCTCCCTCTCTCCCTCCTCTGTTTTTTGTTCTTCTTCTTTTTTTCTTCTCTCTCTCTCTCTCTCACTCTCTCTCTCTCTCTCTCTCTCTCTCTCTCTCTCTCTCTCTCTGTCTCTCTCTCTCGCTCTCGCTGTCTCTCTAGCTTGTCTCCATCTATCTCCCTCCCTCTGTCGCTCTACTGACTGAGTGACACTCTCTCTCTCTCTCTCTGTCTCTGTCTGTTTGTCTCTGTCGCTTTTGCTCTCTCTTTCTCTCTCTCTCTCACTTTCTCTCTCTCTCTCTCTCTCTCTCTCTGTCTTTCTTTCTTTCTTTCTTTCTTTCTTTCTTGCTTGCTTGCTTTCTTTCTTTCTTTCTTTCTTTCCTTCTGTCTCTCTCTCTCTCTCTCTCTTTCTTTCTTTCTTTCTTTCTTTCTTTCTTTCTTTCTTTCATTCCCCCTGTTCATCGAGCGCATGCGAGGCATCCAGGCTGCTTCAGCGTGTCAAAGCTGAGCAGCGGAGACAGGCGCGGCGAAGTGAATGTGAATGGGGTGGAGGCTGCTGAATGGAGGGAAGCGGGAAGCTCAGTAAAACGCGGAGGGCCATTTTTTTTTCCTTTTTTTTTAGGAATTATTTTGTTTTTCAGGGTGGGTGGCTTTTCGGCTTTTTGGCTTTTGTGGCTTTTACGTGGGTTTTTGTGGCTTTTGTGGCTTTTCATTTCGCATCCTCTGCATTCACAGTTCCTCTCTTTCGCATCCTCTGCATTGCCAGTGCCGCTGGCTTTTTGGATTTGTGGCTTTTGGCGGCTTTCTGGCTGTGGCTTTTAGCATCCTCTGCTTTCCCAGTTGGTTTTTGGCCTTGGCTTCCTGCATCCTCAGCATCGCAAGTTCCTCTCTGGTGCCCCCCGCCACCCCCCTTTCGATTAAAATACACGCCTAATTGAATCATCACTTTTTCGATCATCATGCGACAGCTGCTTTTTAGATTCTTTGGCTGCCGTTTTACAGGGATTAGTTTGCCCGTGATTGAATCCTCACTTGTACCATGAGGCCTTGCCGCAGAGGAACTGATGACCCCCCCGCTGCTTTTTTATATATTTTTTTTGGCCCTAATTGAATCATCACTTTTTCAATCATCGTGGGGGGGCTGCCGCCCCCCCAACCCCCCCGCTATTTTTTGGACTTTTTGCCCCTATTTGAATCATCACTTTTTCGATCATCATGCGACCGCTACTTTTTAGATTCTTTGCCCCTAATTGTTCGATCATCATGGGGGGGGCTGCCGCCCCCCCCAACCCCCCCGCTATTTTTTAGACTTTTTGCCCCTGATTGAATCATCACTTTTTCGATCTGCAGGGATTAGTTTGCCCGTATTTGAACCCTCACTTGTACCATGAGGCCTTGGCGCAGAGGCACTGATGCCCCCCCCGCTGCTTTTTTATATTTTTTTGGCCCATTGAATCATCACTTTTTTCAATCATCATCCCCCCCGACTTTTTGCCCCTGATTGAATCATCACTTTTTCGATCATCATGGGGGGGCTGCCGCCCCCCCCAACCCCCCCGCGCCTTTAATTGAATCATCACTTTTTCAATCATCATGGGGGGAATTGCCGCCCCCCCACCCCCGCTACGTTTTAGGTGTTTTACAGGGATTAGTTTGCCCGTGATTGAATCCTCACTTGTACCATGAGGCCTTGCCGCAGAGGAACTGATGACCCCCCGCTGCTTTTTTATTTTTTTGGCCCTAATTGAATCATCACTTTTTCAATCATCGTGGGGGGGGCTGCCGCCCCCCCCAACCCCCCCGCTATTTTTTGGACTTTTTGCCCCTATTTGAATCATGATCATCATGCCCCCCCAACCCCCCCGCAATTTTTTAGACTGTTTGCCCCTGATTGAATCATCACTTTTTAGATCATCATGGGGGGGGCTGCCGCCCGCCCCAACCCCCCCGCGCCTTTAATTGAATCATCACTTTTTCAATCATCATGGGGGGGCTGCCGCCCCCAGCCCCCCCCAACCCCCCCGCTATTTTTGGACTTTTCGATCATCATGCGACCGTTACTTTTTAGATTCTTTGCCCCTAATTTTTCGATCATTGGGGGGCTGCCGCCCCCCCCAACTGCGGGAAGCCAATTTGCTGGTGATGCTGGCGATGTTGGCTGGACATGCGGGGGATGTTGAAAACGATGCTGATGATGTTGACGGACGCATAAAATACGTACATTTCGCAAGAAAATGCTGTAAATTACAGCATTTTAGTCGCCAGGACGGAAAACAAAAACAAATCCTAAAATTAAAAAAAAAACATAAATATCCAAAATTAAATCTCGACCCATAAAACGCTCTTGCCGCTTTGCTGCCCTGGTTGCTTCCAGGCTCCCAGCTGATGTAGCAATCATACCCCGACCTCAAAACCAACCAACAGAAGCAACATCTTAATCAACCAAGCGGCCAACCACAGCACTGTTTTGCCCAGCCCCTGCGATGCGGGATCTCTTCAATAAACGTGAATCAACCACCGCGCAGTCTTGACAGCCAGAGTGGCAGCCCAATATTCATGAATTTAGTGAGTGAGGGGTGTCGCATTTCAGAGTTCAGCGGCAATCCCCGCAAATTACGCGTATGAGTTTCCCTTCAAACCGGTGAAAAGGGAACCCTGAAAAGCACATGAGGCGTCCGCGAGTCCAGGCGGTCGAGAGTCGCAAGCAGGAGGCTGCCGCCAGCAAGAAGCTGGCCGAGCGCATGAGCGCCTGCGGCTCAGCGTGACACGGGATTCAGTCAAATGATCCAGGGAATTTGGGTAGAACATGTTTTTAGAGAACTTCAAAAGAGAAGCCAAAGTAGAACTGCCATTTGTTTTTTGTTTTTTGTTTGGGGGGGGGTCCCATCATGTTTGAAGATAAGTCCATGCGCGCGAAAACGCGAAAACGAGAAGGGCCTCTTTGTGACTGGATTTCTTGTTGGTTCTTCAAGTCTGCAGGGCCATTGCCGAGGTCGGGCTGTCAGGCTTCTCAGAGGAGAAGCCGGAGCCTGTGCCGGAGGCCCCTAGGTTCATGACGGCTGAAGAGCCGCCTTGGTGTTGACGGTGCCAGGAACAGCGGCCCAGAGCCCCCATGGCAGTGCGGAGCCCGGGTGATCCTGAGTGCTGGGACTGTGGGAAGTGAGAGTGGCCGAAGGATCTTGACACGGTCTCCAACATGACGGATGTGTCCTCGCAGGCAGCGCAGGACGGGCGAAGAAGCAGTGGACATGAGCGGAAAAAGCGGCGCTGAGAAACTTGAAGGCAGCGAAGGCTCGCTTGGCGCGCATGGAGGCGGCTTCTTCAGGCGAGTTGGAACCGATGCTTGCTTTGCCGGAGCAGTTTTCGATATCCTACCAAGGGGAGCCGCCTTTGCCCGAGCCGACCTACACAGACTTTGAGTCGTTCCGAGCCAAGGCGAGCTTGATAGCGATGTGTGCTGCATGAGTTGCGGATGGCCAGGCGATGAAACGATCGCAGAGCCCCTGGCTCGAGTTACAGAAGGGAACTTGGCTCCATCCTTGTTGCTTGCATGGTTCTGTTTGTTTGATGGGTGTTTTAGCAAATCTACCCTTTTGGCCCTACGTTCCGAAACCAAACCCACTGGATCCTACTTGTCTAATTAGAAGACAACCAGCCTTCCTCGTCTAGGGTGGTTCCATGTCAAGGTGTAGCCTGTGTGGGGCGAAGAGGTATTGTAAGCATCGTGCTCTCTCAGTGCGATATGCTTGGAAGTAGATGCTGTACCCCTGCCAAACCCATTGAAGGTGGAACCATTGCTTACCCGCTTGCCTACCAGATTTGAGTCATGGGTGTGGTTCAAAACCGCCAGGGGACCATGTTTCCACTTACTAGGGTTCCACTTGACCTCATTAAAGGAAAGCGAGTCATCGGCTCCGCTTGGCAACCGCCAGGCGGTACACGGCGGCCACGGAGCGGAGCCGCAGGCAGACGGAGGCGGCGAAACGCTCAGTGCGCCTGGACTGGCTGCGCCAGAACTGGTCCGGGGAGCTGGAGGACCGCCCCCAAGCCACTGGGACGGGGTTTCATGGGATGTTTGGTTTGGTTGGGTTTTGCTTTGCTTTGCTTGCTGTTCTTTGCTTTGCTTGCTGTTCTTTGCTTTGCTTTGCTTGCTTGCTTTGCTTGCTTTTCTTTGCTTTGCTTGTCTTTCTTTGCTTTGCTGGCTTTTCTTTGCTTTGCTTGTCTTTCTTTGCGTTGCTTGCTTTTCTTTGCTTTGCTTGCCTTTCTTTGCTTTGCTTGCTTTGCTTTGCTTTGCTTGCTGTTCTTTGCTTTGCTTGCTTTTCTTTGCTTTGCTTGCTTTTCTTTGTTTGCTTGCCTTTCTTTGCTTTGCTTGCCTTTCTTTGCTTTGCTTGCTTTTCTTTGCTTTGCTTGCCTTTCTTTGCTTTGCTTGCTTTGCTTTGCGTTGCTTGCTGTTCTTTGCTTTGCTTGCTGTTCTTTGCATTGCTTGCCTTTCTTTGCTTTGCTTGCTTTGCTTTGCTTTGCTTGCTGTTCTTTGCTTTGCTTGCTTTTCTTTGCTTTGCTTTCTTTTCTTTGCTTTGCTTTCCTTTCTTTGCTTTGCTTGCCTTTCTTTGCTTTGCTTGCTTTGCTTTGCTTTGCTTGCTGTTCTTTGCTTTGCTTGCCTTTCTTTGCTTTGCTTGCTTTGCTTTGCTTTGCTTGCTGTTCTTTGCTTTGCTTGCCTTTCTTTGCTTTGCTTGCTTTGCTTTGCTTTGCTTGCCTTTCTTTGCTTTGCTTGCTTTGCTTTGCGTTGCTTGCTGTTGTTTGCTTTGCTTGCCTTTCTTTGCTTTGCTTGCTGTTCTTTGCTTTGCTTGCTTTTCTTTGCTTTGCTTGCTTTAATTGCTTTGCTTGCTTTTCTTTGCTTTGCTTGCCTTTCTTTGCTTTGCTTTGCTTTGCTTTGCTTGCTTTTCTTTGCTTTGCTTGCTGTTCTTTGCATTGCTTGCTTTTCTTTGCTTTGCTTGCCTTTCTTTGCTTTGCTTTCTTTTCTTTGCTTTGCTTTCCTTTCTTTGCTTTGCTTGCCTTTCTTTGCTTTGCTTGCTTTGCTTTGCTTTGCTTGCTGTTCTTTGCTTTGCTTGCCTTTCTTTGCTTTGCTTGCTTTGCTTTGCTTTGCTTGCCTTTCTTTGCTTTGCTTGCTTTGCTTTGCGCTGCTTGCTGTTCTTTGCTTTGCTTGCCTTTCTTTGCTTTGCTTTCTTTAATTGCTTTGCTTGCTTTTCTTTGCTTTGCTTGCTGTTCTTTGCATTGCTTGCTTTTCTTTGCTTTGCTTGCCTTTCTTTGGTTTGCTTGCTTTTCTTTGCTTTGCTTGCCTTTCTTTGCTTGCTTTGCTTTGCTTTGCTTGTCTTTCTTTGCTTTGCTTGCTTTTCTTTGCTTTGCTTGCTTTTCTTTGCTTTGCTTGCCTTTCTTTGCTTTGCTTGCTTTTCTTTGCTTTGCTTGCCTTTCTTTGCTTTGCTTGCTTTTCTTTGCTTTGCTTGCTTTAATTGCTTTGCTTGCTTTGCTTTGCTTTGCTTGCTGTTCTTTGCTTTGCTTGCTGTTCTTTGCTTTGCTTTGCTTGCTTGCTTTGCTTGCTTTTCTTTGCTTTGCTTGTCTTTCTTTGCTTTGCTTGCTGTTCTTTGCATTGCTTTTCATTGCTTTGCTTGTCTTTCTTTGCGTTGCTTGCTTTTCTTTGCTTTGCTTGCCTTTCTTTGCTTTGCTTGCTTTGCTTTGCTTTGCTTGCTGTTCTTTGCTTTGCTTGCTTTTCTTTGCTTTGCTTGCTGTTCTTTGCTTTGCTTGCCTTTCTTTGCTTTGCTTGCCTTTCTTTGCTTTGCTTGCTTTTCTTTGCGTTGCTTGCTTTTCTTTGCTTTGCTTGCCTTTCTTTGCTTTGCTTGGTTTGCTTTGCTTTGCTTGCTTTGATTTGCTTTGCTTGCTTTTCTTTGCTTTGCTTGCTTTTCTTTGTTTGCTTGCCTTTCTTTGCTTTGCTTGCCTTTCTTTGCTTTGCTTGCTTGCTTTGCTTGCCTTTCTTTGCTTTGCTTGCTTTGCTTTGCTTTGCTTGCCTTTCTTTGCTTTGCTTGCCTTTCTTTGCTTTGCTTGCTTTTCTTGGCATTGCTTGCCTTTCTTTGCTTTGCTTGCTTTGCTTTGCGTTGCTTGCTGTTCTTTGCCTTGCTTGCTGTTCTTTGCATTGCTTTTCTTTGCTTTGCTTGTCTTTCTTTGCGTTGCTTGCTTTTCTTTGCTTTGCTTGCCTTTCTTTGCTTTGCTTGCTTTGCTTTGCTTTGCTTGCTGTTCTTTGCTTTGCTTGCTTTTCTTTGCTTTGCTTGCTTTTCTTTGTTTGCTTGCCTTTCTTTGCTTTGCTTGCCTTTCTTTGCTTTGCTTGCTTTTCTTTGCTTTGCTTGCCTTTCTTTGCTTTGCTTGCTGTTCTTTGCATTGCTTGCTTTTCTTTGCTTTGCTTTGCTTTTCTTTGCTTTGCTTGCTTTTCCTTGCTTTGCTTGCTTGCTTGCGTTCTTTTCTTTTCTTTGCTTTGCTTTGCTTTGCTTTGCTTGCTTGCTTGCTTTGCTTGCTTGCTTGCTTGCTTGCTTGCGTGCAAATTTGCGGTTCAGCAACCAGACCTTGACGCTGATCCGGCATCATAAGGACACCAAAGGGGGCCCTCAAACATGTTTTTTTGTTCAGATTCACATTTGAATATTTGGTTATGTCATACTGCCATATTTTATGATTCATTCTTTATATTCATTATTTGTTTTTATTTTTTGCAGTAGTGGTTTAGTCGTCCGAGGCTTAATCCCAAGGTCCTGAACCGCCAGGACTTCACCGGGCCCTTGCGGCAGGAACTGCAGGGGATCCAGGCGCGGAGCTGGCGGGCAGGTGGTGGCATGTGTGTGTGTGTGTGTGTGTTTTCTGGGTGGGGGTGGGGGAGAGGTGCCAGTTTTCAGGCAATCCCTGCTTGGTGGTGTGAATTGGCGTTTGCGGGGCCAAATTGGTTCTCGTAGAGGGTCAATGACAAACCGGCCCGGAACACCTCCAAACCACCCAATCCACATCCAACAGTTCGAGGGAAGCTGAGTTTGTATGTTTGAGGGGAAAGCCAAAGAGACGACTGCCGGATGGGGTGCATCCTTGAGAGATCTCTGGGGTGTGTGAGGGTGTTGACCCAGGCAGAAGAGCTGGCCCAGCACAGCCCAACGGAAGACGCTGCCTTGGATGCCATGGATTGAGACGTGCCGGGCACCTCCAAAATGGGTGGTTTCCCCTGGCTTTTCTGTTGGAATACCCAACAATAAGGCGGCAACCAGGAAATAGGCGGCTTCCATTTCATGTCTCAAGCCGAATCCCCAAGAATTGCCCTCAAACATCGACGCCCACATCACGCATCAGCCCTGGGCCCACTGGGTCCACTGGGCCCCCCATGGCCAAAAAGAAAAACTTTGCCCGCATCCCGGAGCTCAAAGCAGCTCTTTCGCTTCCGCGAACGGCCAAACGCCGGGTGGGAAAATGCGCCGGGGGGGGTGGCGAGTCTTCTCTCAGGTTGAAAAAAGAGCAAGGAGACCCAACCATTGGGAGGGCCCCCCCAATTTGAGAGCACCTGGCATCCGCATGAGATGCTTTGCTTTGCGATTCGGGGAGCGCCGCGCTGCACTCTGAGATGAGCTTCTGCCTAACAGGACGTGCTCGCTGACCTGGACGCCTTTGGATTCCCTCGTGAGTACGCCGCGCTTGCCTTGGGAAACTGAGCTGTGAGCCGAAGTGGTGCCGTTGCCAGAAGAAGTAAGACCTGGTCTCTTGCATGTCCAGTTTGTGCTCATGAGTCAATCAGAGCTCCTTGTTTTCTCACACTTGCACAGATCTCATTGCGGTATCCATTTGGCCAGCCTCGAGCCGCTTGGATTTTTGCACCGCTCAGGTGCGGTGCTTGCAGCTGAACAAGCACAACCACGTGACAACCACGTGCCCCCGTCTTCACTGAATGGGGGCGGGAGCTGAAATGATGTGAGAATGTGTTGATATTGGGGATCGGGATCCTGTAGCAGCTTTGGAAATCGTCATTTCATCGGGCCCCTTGGCCCCATCCTCAGGGAGTTCTCGTAGCTTTTGCTATGGGACCCTTCCGCAACGAAGACCATGATGGCACGTGTCTGGAATTCGATTCTTCCCTCCAGTGGCAACCGTCAGGTGTCTTTGTGTCTCAAATGCAGCCATCGCAGGGCCATTGGTGCAGTGTTTTGTCCACCTGCCTTGGGCCTCGATGGCCAGGTACTACCTACTAAACGAGAAGAAGCGCCGCATGATGGAGAAGCTCAAGACGCCTTCGGCACGATCCCCCCACGACCGACCGCCATGGGTTGCAAGAGTCGTTTGCCAATGACTTTCCCTTTGTTATGGTCTGCGACCATAGCTGGAGTGCAAGGCATTTGCTTGTTTCCAGTGGGCACCGTTTTTGCAGCTTATCGGGTTTCCTTTGAGACAAAGCGACCAAGGGCATCCTTGTTTTCCATTGGACCTTGCTGGGCAAGCGACACGGCCCGCAGTTTTCAGTCCTGGAGGGCCTTGGTTCCGCTTGCTGGCGTTGCCATGTGAGAGCCCCGCTGCATCAGGAAGTTTGCTCAGACCAGGCGAAAGCTCATTTGTAGGGCTGGTGCAATGTGTAAGTTACAGAAAGCAACCAAAACGCAACGGGTTAGAATGTACTCTCACAGAATGTGGTGGTTTAGAGTCCACCTGCAATGGTTACAAAGCATTGGTTAAGCAGCCAACATAAGCTAAGCACGGTTTCAGCAGCAAGCGGCGAACATTTGAAAGCAGTTGCGGCCTGGCAGCTTGCTTAATTTGGGCGTTGGCGGGAAGATCTACGAAGGCCGACGCCTGTTGCTTACACTTGGGCGATTGAGATGCTGAGTGTATTTGGGTGTGTCTTGAGCTCAGGTACCCTCTTTTGTGGATTTTGGACCCTAGGACAGTCTGTAGCTCCGAGTCCTAATTCAATCTAGATCAATCTAGATCGTGGAGGGATGTATTTATATATTTATTTTGAGGGAACCAAAGCCGAACCAACTGTCCGGAGGACCCAGGTTGGGGATTTAGTCGACTATTTGCGCCGACACTTCCAGGCCGCGATGAAGTGGCACCCTCAGAGCCGCTAGAGAAGGGGTCAAGAAGACCAGATGGAGTCAAACCTCGGTTTTCCTTTGAATGCTCAGCCGAACTGTGTGTTGGATTCAAGAAGGCGCAACACAGTCCAATTACAGTCCAAGTGCGCAGGGTTTCACTTTGTTTCCCGACGGGGGACTCGCAAAGGTGGGCTTCCCTTTGGCCACGCTTTATATCCACCAGACAAAGGCTCCCAAGGCTCCCTTGCAAAACTTTACGTGGCGTCCCCTCCACGCGCTCGAGAGCACGAGCACGCGAGGTTTGCAAAGGTGCTCCGTGGCATGGGCTCCGCGGATAAGGGGAAGGTGTTGATTATGAACCCAGAGGCGGGCGGAGGTTTGCGCGCCTCAGGCTTGAGTGTGAGTGGGATGTGAGTGGGATGTGTGTGTGTGTGTGTGTGTGTGTGTGTGTGTGTGTGTGTGTGTGTGTGTGTGTGTGTGTGTGTGTGTGTGCGTGTCTGCGTGTCTGCGTGTCTGCGTGTCTGCGTGTCTGCGTGTCTGCGTGTCTGCGTGTCTGCGTGTCTGCGTGTCTGCGTGTTTGTGTGTGGGTGTCTGCACGTCTATGTTCCTTTATGTTCCCTTTTTGGGTGGTTCTTCTGCTATTTAGACAACCCGACAAGGCCATCGAAGGAGGCCACCTCACTTAAGTCAGGAGTACGCAGCTGCCGCCGGCGAGCTGTCGCTTGGTTAGCATTGGCCGGTGGGACCATATCGGGTTTTGCCTTGCTGTTCCTCGAGCTGATAGCCACTCCAGATGTCAGGAGAGGTGGAGATTTCTATGAGTACAGATGACCGCCTTGCCAACCATGCTTCTGGGGTCCCCAAATTGAAGGAGCTATCAAGGGCCATGAGATGCAACAGGCAGAGCCTGGCTCTCGCAGAGCCAAGAACCAGCCAAGGCTGGTGATTTCGATCATCATCAGCTGGATCCTGACGTTCCGCGGCCGCACGTGGCCCGAAGGATTTGCTGGGACACAAACATAGGTCTCGTGCTAATGAACATGTACCCGTGCGAGTGTTTGGGGGGGGGGGGGGGTTGGTCAAAAATGGACATGGTCCTTTGGCCATGTTGCTGTGGGCCTGAGCAGGAGGTTTGCGAGCATCGCGCGGCACGTGTTACATACGATTGTGGCGGTGTAGGGCCCACAAAGGCATATTGGCAAATATGACACACACACACACACACACAGATTGTTTGTGGATCTCTACTTGGGGAGCTTTCGCTATCTGCCACTTTGAGTCAAACTTGGCCTGAGGTATTTCTTTGTGTCTTGGCTTGATTGATCCGTCGGCGAACTTGCAGCTGGCAAGCCGAGTTGTTTTGTGTTTTGGTTGGATGAGACATCCCTGGCCTCTTTTAAAGATGGAATAGGAGAGTGGTTTCATTTTCCCTTTGCGGGGAAGGCAACAAAGTGGAATTGGGGCACTCCCCCCCCTCGAAGGTAGGGGGAAGAATGAGACGCCGCGAACCAAGAATTATGGCATCATTGCCGACAACCAGCTGAAGAGGCAGGACTTTTTGTGCTTTGGACATGCTGTTTGATTTGCGCAGGAGCTCAGCCCCTTAGCCTTGACAGAGTTTGGGTGGGGAGGTCAGATGAGAAATCACTCATGTTTGCCGGATGGCCACTGGCATGCCGAGGTGCATGAAGACAAAACGCTCCAACACGCAAGATGCTCAACCAATTCATACCATTGGGTTTTGGAGCAGACCTTGGCTACAGGCGCCTCGGCTACAACAACCTGTGCGTTGGTTGGGACGAGCCGCCAGCCCAACTGGTTGCGGCGCCCATTTTCGTGGCAACTTGGTTATGAGATATGATATGAGCCGGACTCGCTGCTCCGGGAGCGGGAGGGGCGCTTAAACCCTGGACTGGCGGAAACAAAGGCAAGGCCGGCCAAGCTCTGTTTTTACAAGCCATACCTCTAGGTGCACAAAGCATGGCCATATTTTCCATGTTTGTGAACGGATTTAGCTCAACAAGTCGCACCAGTCATACCAGTCTTTCTTTCCCCCGAGCAAGACCTCAGGGAATTATTTGGCTGCAGATGCGCCGCTGGGCTGCATGGGTCAGACGAGCCTTGACGTGGTTCGATGCTTGTCTCTGGACCTTGCCGACTTGAGTGCTGGCTTTTGTTTGGGGTTTCGCAAGAACATAGCCAAGAGGACTTCGGCCACCAGGCATGGTTTGTTGATGTGGACTTGGTTGCGGGGATTAAGGGAGTTCTTGGACTTTCCCTTTTGTTTAGAGCTCAAATCCAAGAGGCTCTCTGATAGCCTAACCAAGTGAAGGCTATTGGGGGCTCGCCAGGAATGGTTTCGGGACGCCACAAACACGTGAAATGGCGACGTTTCCCAAACCAGCGACCCAGTGCGAGATCGTCGGTGAGAGTGACCTCTAGGGGTCCAAAGCACTAGTGGACTTGGCCGTTTTTCCATCCAAAAGAGCGTTATCTACTGCAGTCAGATGGATTTGTTTGTGTACACCAAACTAGCGGTACGACCAGAAAGAAGTGGAGGTTGCTCACCAAAATCCCTTGTGATCACATTGAATATTGTCTGTGACCTATGCAAGCAGCTGACGAAAGCATTGGCAGCTTGGTTGGTCTACCGTCAACGGCCCTCCTTCGGCAGGATATATGCAGCTGGACTTTTATCGTGCAGCTTTGGACACCTCCTCCTCTGCCTTCCAGGAGCACATGGGAACAGCTGTATTCGCTGTTTGGGAACATAGCATCGGAGTAGAACATTGGGTAAGGAGACGTAACACGGCATGAAAGAAGATACAATTTTTAACCAGCACAAGGAAAGAAGAGGGAAAGACTGGACACCGCACAAAGACAAAACATGAAAGAAAGAAAGAAAAGAAAGAAAATAAAGAAAATAAAGAAAGAACGAAAGAAAGAAAGGAAGAAAGAAAGAAAGGAAGGAAGGAAGGAAGAAAGAAACAAAGAAAGAAATAAAGCAAGACAAAAAATAAATAAAGACAGAAACAACATAAATAAAAGAAAGAAAGAACGAAAGACACAAATAAAGAAAGAAAATAGATAAAGACAGAAATAACATAAAGAAATAACGAAAGAAAGAAAGGAAGGAAGAAAGAAAGAAAGAAAGGACATAAAGAAAGAAAAGAATCAAATAAAGGCAGAAAAACAAAATACAGAAAATAAAGAAATAGCGAGCCTCTCGCAAATGCCACTCAGCGTCAGTTCCTTATATTATGTTTGCTTGCTGGACATGCTTTCTTCTTCCTTGCACTTCGGTTTTCGTGTTTTCATTTTTTTTGCGTGTCCGTTTCTTTCTAGGACCGCATGGTACTGGCGCGGCGCTTAATGGCTGCCGCATTTCCTATGGGTTGCTGGGAAAAGAGCGGCGCTTCTTCGCCCAGGTGGCGAATTTTGCAAACTGCATCAGCTTGACACTCGTTGGCAATAGGCGGATCAGAATTAACACGTTTCACGTGGAGGATCCTCTTGTAGCACAGCTGAGTTTTGCATGTTTTCTTCCAGACCCCCAGGTGAATACTTTGGCCAATCCGTTGCCAGTTTTTTTTTCTTCTGCCAGTGCCGCGAGGCATTCTTTACGCTTTCCCGTTGGAACATCCCAGGATCGTGTGCATCCTGATATTTGTCATCCCGCCCAAAGAGAAGCCCTTGTCGCATTCCCTGGCCTTTGTGCAGCTGGTGGTGCTGCCCGGCTTGGATCTGTTTTCGCTGCGTAGTTGGGTGAAAGGAGATGCCGCAAGTCCAACCCATTCTTGGGTTAGGCATCCCCTTTGCTTCCCCAAAAAGCCGGAATGGTGACTACTTTCACCCTGGTGTATCTATTATTACCTAGTTACTTGGCCTTCTGACCCACTTTTTTCTGAGGTGGTTCCTCTTGGATTTTTGCCCATGGGTGTTGCAGGCAGTGCTTCAAGAGTGAAATCCCGACAGGCGTTTCCTTCTTCAGGGAAGCCCCGTAGTGAGTAGAGGCTGTTCCAGGAGACAGAGTAGAACTCCAAACACCTCCAATTTTATTCAGGGGCAGGACCTATTTTGACAAGGGGCCACTGGAGGGGAGGCGACGCACAGGTTTGGCTACATCGCTTTCGCGGCAAACTTCCTGGAGTGTCATCCGAAGCACCATCCTCAAGGCAGTTTTGCAACGTCGCCCGCGTTTGGCGGCCATGTCTCAAAATGCAGCCGCTCGCCATTACTTGTTGGCCTGCCCGGGTAGTCAGTTTTTGCAGGAGCAACAGCAAGTTCGATATATTTCTTGGGCTAATCCTCGATTCTTTTCACTCACTGATCATCAGCGTTGAAGTTTTGGGATGTGCTACGAGAAGGATCCGAAGGAATGGGGATAATTTTCTGGACGCTTCCAAGCTTCCCCCCGCCAGGCTCGTGGGTCTTCCTGGCGGTCTTCGGCATGTTCTCAATCATGCGACTCGGCTCTTAGGGGAATGAAACATGCCCTAAACGTTTGAGCCCACCCTCATAGAAAGCTACACTTCGTGGGCAATTGGCAGGTTTGGAGCGTGCGTCGTCTTCCAACTGGTGGTATACGAGCAGGACAGCCTTTCCGGCTTTCTGTAAGATATGTTTTTAGTGTCTGTATGTGTGTGTGTGTGTGTGTTCAGCAGGGGTGTCCTTTGTTGCATAAGCATGTAGCATCCTGGCACCTGTGACAATAGCCGTTCAATAGCCACAATTAGGCCTACACAGGACGGTTTGGATAGACTCCTTCAATGCCAGGCTTTGATGACTCACAAGAGCTCAGTCGCTGCAGGTACCGCGTCGCTAGTTTTCATCTGCATTTGGCGCAGGAGACCGAGACACCTGGGCCCATCCCGTGCTGATCTTAGAGTTGTCGGCTCCAGTTGCGTGTCTTCCCCTGCCAAATTCACAAGCCCGGAAAGGGGACGGGTTGCCTTAGAAGGAAGTTCCTCGAACGTTGATGCGAATCTGCATGGGAGTGGGCGACAGACCGACTGGTTCTCTTGCTGCTCAAGGTGGTATATCACTGCCACTGGGGATTATGTGCCTGAGCTCAACCAGTGTCGGGGTGCATTGCGAGTCACCTTTCCGGCAGAGGCAGGCAAGATAGATGAGACCAACCCTTTGGAGGGCTCCCTTGATGCGCTCTTAACTGTTGGCGTCCTGTCTTGACTGAGGGCTGGTTTGCCTGCCTTGCCTGCCAGGGCCACTTGGCAGGCATGTGCCATTCGCGGTATGCATGCTTCGGGTGGATCCGCACATTGCGCGAACCCCCGGATGAGTCATTCCTGAAGTTTGGCTCAGCGAGCAAGCAGAGGCTACTTCCGCCCCAGAGCGCCGTCGGTCAGCTTGGACATGAAGCTGGTGAGTGATGACGACTACAAGGCAGAGTGCACATCTTCAGAGTGGCAGACCAAACCTCAGCCCCCGGGCCCCGAGGTGGAGCCTGAAATCTCCCGCTATGACACGTGAGTCACGGCAGTGGGGTCACCATGAACTCGAGGCGCACAGAGGTTGTGACCTCTGATGGTGGCCTTTACACAAATTTGTTGCAAAGAAAGATCCCCCAAAGAGGGTGACGTCTCCCTCTGGGGTGCCTTTAAGAAAAAACAAATGGGGTTGCTCCAAACCATCACACAGCAGCCGCTCAAAGCACAGCGGCTGCCAAAAATGATCGGCGCCGGAGAAAACATCGCAAACTCCGTGGAGCGCGGGTGCAGTGCTGGGTCCAAGCCTTAGCTGCCATCTTGTCAAAAAGGAGGAGCCCTTTTCGGTTTTTCCTTGCCGCTGAGCAGCCGGGGAAGTGTTCCTCGGACCACTGGAATCTTCCGGTTTGGAGAGCTCTTGCTGGCCGGCGCAGGGAGAGCACGACGTCTTCGATTGTCGGCTCCCTACGGGAAATCCTGCTTCCCGTGTCCTCACTTTCTCATGACCTGGAAGCAAGCTGACCTGGCAGAACAACCAGCCGTGATGACAAACGTTTCTCGGGATCCCCTATTTCGGGTTTGGGAAAACGAGTGCAACAAGTGCAGATCTCATCACAGGTTTTGGAATTCTTGCAGCATGTGCAAACCTCCGTGGTCAAGCTGACTTCACTGCTTCCGAGGCGACATCCCAACGCCTTTGGTACCGCAAGCGGCGTCGCCGGAGCCAGTGTGGGCCCCCGTGCCTCCGGTTGGGTTCCCCACAGTTGGCCCCCCGGGCGGTGACGCGGCTGCCGGCACGGCCGGGGGCTGAGGGACCTCGCGGATCGGGATTTGGAGGGATTCATATGGGACGGATCATGCTTTGGTTTGGAGGCTGGAGGTGTTTGGAGGTGTTTGGAGGTGCTTGGAGGTGCTTGGAGGTGCTTGGGGAGTTTTGGAAAAACCAGAGGGGGAGGGGGAATACCAGATGGAGAGTTGCCCCACTTTGAGCGTTCTGTGTTGTGGGGTGTTGGCGCATGGAGACTCTCGTCTGAGGCCTGTGGACATGTGGTGTCCCCGTCTGAAACTCAGCGAAGCTGCGCTGGGAGTTTGCGGGGTTCGTCACTGCAGAAGAGCCGTGATGGCAGAAAGTTGGGTTGACCACTTTCTGTGCTACGAGAAAGTAGTCCGACAACCGCCGTGAGCTAAGCCAGGCCTGCTTCTCCTGCGCAGCCTCACAGTCCGGAGCTCAGGGAAGGCCAACGCGGCCAAGGAAGCTTGATTGAGCCAACTCCCCGAGGAACCGAAAGGCGTTTGCTACGAAGGGGCCCTTTCGGGAGCAAGCCTCGGAAGCGGAGGGTTCCCGTTTCCGCGGCAGGTGCCAGCGCGAGGCCGTCTTCGGTGTCGGCGGTGCGGAGGCCGGCCCTTGAAACCCACTCGACCTGCGGGGAAAAGGTGGCTTTGTGTTTGGCCCAAAGTTGCCCAAGTGGGTTGAAGGAAAGTGGCTCAAACTCTGAATTAGCTTTTCATCGGCAGCCCTTCGGCGGACATTTGCATTTGGATTTATGGCCACAAAGCCATTTTCAAGTGTTCCAAGCAACAAAAGAGCGCCGCTTTTGACAGCCCCCTAACCGTCAAATCACCCAAACCAGGCCCAGAAAAAAATATATGGTGTGTTTTGTGGCAGGTGTGGCTCGCCGCCCCAGTCGAAGTCGACGGTTCCCACTCCGAGGACGCGCGGTCAGCGCAAAGGTGGTGCTCTGGGTTTCCCCGCAGCAGCCTTGCCCGAAAAAGCCACGGCCCATTTGGTGACACGGCTCATTTGGCACAACCGCAACGCCATCCCTCTCCCCAAGTCCGCGCAGGACCCGGCCATCCGGCAATCGGGTGGCGGCCCCAGGCGGTTTTGAGGTGACAAAACTGCGGGCGCGGGGTCAGTTTTGGCTCCCCTAAAAGGTCAAGGGAGATCATGCGTGTACACTACGGGTGCTTCATTTCGGGAGCTTTGTGCCTTTGGTTTGGTTTCCACCGCCATCGGGAAAGCTAGCAAGCGAGCGAGCGAGCGAGCGAGCGAGCGAGCAAGCAAGAGAGATTTGCAACATGATTAGATTGGAAGATTTGTGGCAATCTTTGCTGATTGCGGTATGCGCTCCAGCCAGAATATTCAGTATTTGACCTGGCTTAATTATCGTTGCTGTTTAGTCCCGGAAACTCAGGCTGACTTGGCACAAATCTGTCTGGACCAACCAGACAAGCAGCAACCTTACATGATTCCAACCCGCCAGATTTACTTCCAGACACCCAGAAGTTATTCGCCAAGGACTCACATGCAACATTCAACACGGGTGGTCCAACAGGATATTTGTCCGGAGATGTTTGCTTTTGGGGCTTCCATGCCACCGGCAGCCCCACCTGTTTGTAGAGGCTTGCTGGTAGCTAATTCCACCCATGCCGCAACTAAAACCGCCCCAAGCCACAACTAAACCAACCTCAAACAAAACCTAAGGCCGCCTTAAACCCACCTTAAGGCCAACCTAAAGAACAAGAAACCTTAAGCCCGCCCGAAAACCCACCCTAAGCCAGCCAGCTTGAAGCCCCAGAGCCAAGCTTTTGAGCGATTTAGAGGTGCTCAGCAGGGAGTTTGAAAAGGGTTTTGCGGCAGCGGGCACGCCTGAGGTTGTCCAACCAGCCTCCCCGGGCAGTGTGCCGGGCCCGCAGCCCGCAGGGGTGGCGGTTTGGATTCCTTTTAGGCCAACCCCAAAGAGGGGGGACACGTATTGATTTGCCAGGTCATCTCCGTTTTCGATTTTCAGATTTGCCCGTATGAAGGGCTTATGAATGACAGCGCGTTTTTGAGTTGGTCGAGAGAGGCACTGCGATTGACAACTCATTTTCCTATAGCTTTTGTTTGGGCGCGATTTTCCCCGACACGAGAGAGATGATTTAGGGCATGCTTGCTGAGGGGCCCTGTTCAGGTTGGTTGAAAGGGAAATGAAGAGGAAAGGCAACATTTTGGCGTCCCTAGTTTGAATGGGCGGGAATTTCACAACAAAAACTCGTACGGGTGGAGACGGCCTCCGCTGTGCCAGAGTCCCGAGCCTGAGGCCGCGTCCGGCCACGGGCGGGTATCCGCAGTCCGCGAGGCCCTTTGCACACATGGCAAGATCAGAGCTCGGACAAGTGAAGGTGTGGAACAGCTGCCTTCTGATTTCTTCACATCTTCAGTAGACTCCTCCAGGTTCGGCGCGGCAGCTGCCTCCCGTTTTTCTGTTTTGGGGGTGGCGGGACCCGGCCTGGCGGCCAGGGCGCGCACGTCCCGGTACCCGGTCGCCTCCCCGAAGGTCCAGGCCACTTGAAGCGTGGATCGATCCCGGACTGGGAGCCCCCTGAGAAATGGACAATCCCCAGAATTCGGATGTCCCAAGATGTCCCAAGCAGCGAGGGGGCGGGGGACCATTCAAATTCTTTGCCAAATCTGTACGGGCATGTTTCGCACGAAGCCCTGGTGCAAAACAACCAGCTTGTGCCCTCCACAGCTGTCTTCATGTGTCAATCGTGCGGTGCTTCCTTTTGGTGCGACCGCATGACTAGGGAGAACATCGCTTTGACTCCCGGCGCGCTGTGCTGCCAGGGTTTCAGAAAATCTTTGGCTGAGTCACGCAACCAATCTACTTTTGTTGACCCCCTCAAATTAATCTGCCTTTCAGGGTGGTCCAGGACAAACAACGCAACACCGTGGACCCCCCCTGCCTTAAGACATCAAGAGGTTCACGTTATCAATTGGGCAGCGCCGAAAGAAAGACAAATCAAAACACAGTACCAAATGCCAAAACACCCAGCGGAAGTTTGGCGATGGCACCCAAATAGTCAGGTGCTGATTCAGAACAGCAGAGGCAGCCATTGAAACCTTATGGTGTACTGGGGCCAGGAAAGACCCTTAGCCACCACAACCCTCCCATGGCTCCTCATTGCTGTGGCTTGGACTGGGTGTTATTGGGGTTGGACATGCAAGGGGCTAGATAATTACACGTTTTTATCTTGTGAGCATGACTGTGGCTTGTAGTTGTGGCTCTGAAATGGAAGGTGAAACCAGATGTGGCTCGGCTTTTTAAGTAGGAGACCCAACATGGTGTGCCTTTTGGTGTCCCTTTGAATCTTTGGATGGGCGAGCCCAGTGGACTTCCAATTCCGTAGGAGTCTCCTCCGGTGCGCCGCTGCGTGCCAGCGGCCGCGCCAGTGCAGCAAGATCCCCAGTCGGATTGGTCGTGGGTGGTGCGGAATGGGATTACTCTTTTTTCCCCCCCTCCGGCTTTGTTTAGTGCCCGAGAGAGTGGGACATTTGCTCTCTTGTGATTTCTCTTTTCTTAGAGCAACATTAATTATTTTTGTCCCTTTAGCCATGACTGTTGGAGGCGTATTAAATTGCAATGCTGATATGAGTTGGATTTGTCATAATAATGGTTGTAGTTTTTGGAGTTGGTACCCTGTTGTTAGGTTTGTTTCAGGGCAAGCCAAAAGGAAAACCACAATGCGCATGTGTTGGGGGTGCCCGCCCTGACCTAAGGTGGGGGAGATCCAGCAAACGGGGGATTTTAGGCTTCCGCAAGGCTCCTTAGTGCCCAGGCTTGAGGAACCTGGTTCCCTACAGCTCCCGCCTTTGCCCCGTTCTTGAATCCACCCCTCCCAATGGTACAATCTTGAAGCGGTACAGGTGCACATTTCCACTGAGCCGTGCCACGCACACCCATGGTCAATGCACATGAGCCGAAGCATTCGGCCAAAGGCGCTTCGATGAAAAGACCAGTTTGTTTAGGATTGGCAGGGATGGTCTTCATCCGAATTGTTAGCCGTTAGCGACTTGGGGCAATTCATCGAGCCGCGACCATGAGCGACATGATGTCGACCCCGATGAACAAGCTCCTGGCTGATAAAAAGGGGGTCAATACTTCTTCACTTACTGATCCGCCAGCTTTATTTACTCCCAGGCATTAAGGAGTTGTGACCATGACACAAGTGTGTGTGTGTGTGTGTGGTGTGTGGTGTGTGTGTGTGTGTGGGTGCGTGTGTGTGTGTGTGTGTGTGTGTGTGTGTGTGTGTGTGTGTGTGTGTGTGTGTGTGTGTGTGTGTGTGTGTGTGTGTGTGTGTGTGCGTGTGTTTTGAGGCCCCGGTCACACGCAGCCGTGGCTGCTGCTGTTGCCAGCAAGGCCGGGACTGCAAGTGACTATTTAAAGTTGGAATTGTTGGTTGAACAGTTTTACAGGAGACATGGGGGAACGGGCGCCCATTTTCCCATGTGGGTATGCTCTTTTTGAGGGTACCCTCTTCATGTTGGTTGAAAGGGAAGCCAGTGGGAACAAACACATTTTTGGACCCCCGTTTGATACATCATAATGTGAGTTTGTAGCAAACCGGCTGTGTTCCTTTGAGTTCCCCTTTGAAACCCAACCGAAAGGGGGCTCTTGGAACGCACGCGCGGGGTCAAAACCCAAGAGCTCGCGCAGGTGGCTGCTGCGCTGTCCCAGACTGAGCCCGGCACCAAGAGGTTCGTCAATGAAACCTCCGGGGAGATCGGGGACTCTTCCTTGGGTTTCCCATGTGGGGGTTGATCAAAAGATCCTCTACGACGACCATCAGGCAAGACCATCAACAGAATGCTATTTCTCACTGAATGGGAAAAGCTACCCCAGTCATTTGGGGGCCAGGAACATTGATCAACTCCCGTGTAAGTTTGTGTCTTTTTTGCAGGCCTGCCTTCCGAGACATAGCTGGGTTCAGAAATGATTTCAGGCCCATGTCCCGACCGACTGACCCGCGTGCCCTGATGGATCGAGGCGCAGCCGCATTCCCAGCAAGCAGGCGCGGGCTTGCTAGCCTCAGACTGGGAAGCAAATGGCTTTGTCTCTTTTCTGGGTGTGTCGTATTCGGGAACCCCAAAGTTGCGGGTTTCCCTTTGGTTTCGCTTAAACACCCCTCTCAAGAAGGTGTACGCTCAAAAAGAGAGACCCGAATAGGGGAACCCCCACAAAGCGGTGGTATCCTTAGTTAGACATTTCAGCCCCCCGACCTGTTGATGTGACCCACCCCCGTTTTCAACCTATTGATTCACAAGGGAGTCTACCAAATCAGGCATCTTGGCTTCCCAACATGCAGCTCAATCATACAGCTCCGGCGTATGCTTTCTCGTCCACCAGTCGACCTGCACTTGCCACAGGCGACCCCAAGCACATCCGCTCGTACGAGCGTGTGAGGGCGCCCAGATTTCACAGAGATCAAAATGGCATGTGTGTGTGTTGTGTGTGTGTTGTGTTGTGTGCTGTGTATATATATATACATAATATATATATATATATATGTGGATGGGTGGATGTTTCTGTGGGAGCGGGTCGCTTCGGGTTTCCCTGTTTTCCCTTCAACCCGCAGAGGCACAACGGACTTTCCTACATTTGCCCATTTGGTTACATCACCGTTTGGGCCAAAGTGTGCTTCCCCTGGAACCCACAAAATGGTTTGTTTTCCTTGGGCTTCCCTTGTAAAGCCACTCCAAAATAGATACCAACTTCCAAACACGATACACACATACATTACCCGTACAAGTTGTGAGTCAACACGGGCTCTCTACTTTACCCATGTCCACACGGATATTATCATAGATTTTGTCGAGGCCGTCGTTCGATCACCTTGCTCAGGACTCGGCCGGGCTCATCCCTGTCCAACAACTCGGGGGGCTCCTTGGTGCAGCGCATGTCCAACATGTCCAAGGAGGTGAGACCCGCGCTTTTTAGCGCGACGGATCGACTCAAGCTTTTGGTTTCCGATTTGCCCATGTTTAGTCAAGGTGCCAAAAGGAGAGCCTTCTATTTCCAGGTTCCTTGGCATTCCGTGGTGAGTCGTTCATGCCTTCCGTTGGCCCTCCCAAGCTGGCGCCCAAAAGAGTCGGCTCTGAGAGGAGCCTGCGAGAACCGTCCTCTGTCAGACTGCACGTGAATTCTCTTCGCTGTATGTTGGCAAGTGCTGCTGCGGCTTGATCTTATCCAAGGAAGTTTGCTGAGCGAAAGTTTTCCCAAGATCCCAACACCCGGAAGACCGAGCTGCCAGGAGCCATCACCCCCGACGCGTCGCTACACGTCTGCGGCACCGTCCGTCTCTTCCACCCCGGTGTAGCGCCCTGAGTTGGGCTGTCGGGGACGTTTCGGCGCGGAACACATTTGTTGCTTTCCTTGTTTCCCTTGACACCGGAAGGGGTTCAAATTTGGAGACACACCCATGGAGGTGTGGTAGGTGTCTTCTGGGCGGAGCGACTGAACCTTGGAGTGGGGCTCTGGTGCCCGATTCACAAGCGATCACATGAAGAGAACACGGGATCATATTGTGTAGACGGTTGCAACGATTCAGTCTGTGTTACCAACAAAAAGGCGGGCTTTGGTTGATGTGGGTTCGCCTCACAAGGGCCGCTTTCCCGCCTGAGGACGCGAGCCTCGCCGGCCCGCGCCACTACGGCCTATGCCATGTCACCCCGTGATTTGACGAGGCTGGGCCTTTGAAAGAAGAGGCTTTCCAACTTGCCTCAAACCAACTTCCAGGCACAAAGGGGTCCACATCCTCTATACCCAGTATATTGAGGTGTTTAGTTGTAATGGATGCCCTTTTTCATACGTGGAGCTTGGAGAAGTTGGTTCTTGCGAAGAGCATCACGTGTTTGCCCAGTCTGCTTGTGAAGTCTTCGCGGAGAGGTCAACGGAAAGTGCTCGCCAACGTGCAGTCTGTGGACCCAGAAGTGAGATTTTGGGTGTGGGAAGCAGTGCAGTGGCAACTCGTTTCCCTAAAGGGCCCCCCAACCTTGTCACCCCAGGATCATCTCCCAGACATCCGGACAACCTTTGTTTAGCCTTCTACGAACCCGGTTCTAAGAACCCGGTTCCAAGAACCCTTCCTATAGTGTGGTTCCCCATTAGCTCCTCGTCCGGGGGTTTTGTTTCGTCTGTTTGTGTGTGTGTGTGTTTTTGTGTTTGTGCGTGTGTTGTTGAGGGCACACTTTCCACCTGGGTTTCGAGGGACATGCAAGGGAGATCCGATTTTGGGGGCCAACTCCCGGACCCAAAATGGTCGACCCCCCAATGTGATAGCTAAAGGAAAACAACAGCGAACACCCTATACAGTTACATACCCATTTAAGCCCGGGTCGATTAGAATCATGAAAGTGGCTGCTGTTTGAGGGGTTCTGAAAATTACAGTAGTTTGCGCGATTCCAGTGTAGTCACCCGCCTTACCCACAAAAAGGACATGGCGCCATTTGCCTTCACCCTTCGTACAATTGCCGGTCCAAATGGGTACGTGCCAAAATAGGCCACCCGCAAAGTGGTGGTTTTGCTTTCGGTTTACTCTCAAACCAGCCTGAAAAGGGTACTCTCCCTATTCTTCCGCCTCACTCGCTGGAACGTCCCCGAGGCTGCCACCGCCGCCGGCCCCAACAGCACCCGCTCGGTGCCCGGTGCCACCCCCGGCACCGGTGTCGCCCGCACTCGCATGGGTCTGCGGCCGCCGGCGCGGGGCCCCAGGATTGAGTTCAAAATAGAATCCGCGAGATCCTTGCAACTGGATGGGTGGTATGTCTTTCCAACCGGGTTTTTCAGATCCATGGTATAGTCCAGATGGATTAAATACTTGTGTAGCTCCAAATGGCATCCTGTTTCGCCGTGGTCTTTTTTTGCCCCCCAAAGAAGGACCCGGTTGAGTGACGCACGTTTCGACTGGCTTGCGCTTCTAGGTCCAGTCATACCGCCGCTGATGAAAGGCTATAAATCAGGGGACCCCAAATCATTAAATGAGTAGCAGCTTGCACCAACAGACCGAAAGGAGCCCATTTGTTAGCGCCCATTCAACGGGTCACCCAAGCAAAGGCTGATTAAAGAAGGCTGAGCTTCGCCGCTAAAATGAGCGTGCAGAGCCAGCTTGAATGCAGATGGCCAGCCTTAAGGTTGCTCCGGGCCTGAATAGAAGTCCTTGAGTCAAGACGGAAAACCCGAGTCTGCAGGAATTAGAACATTGTTGGCTCCAAAGGTGCTGTTTTCCCCCAGTGTTCTACCTTCCCGGAGCATCTTGCCCAGACAGTTGCATGCATAGGCTGGACCGCTCCAGAGGGAATCTCTTAGCAGAACTCTGCCTTGCACAATGCCGGATCGCTGTTCTGATTTCAATGCCGCATCGCTGAACATCAAAATAAGGAAAAGGCGCTGCTGGCAGACTCAGGTATCCTCCACAATCGGGGATGGCTCACAAATGCTTTTTGATTGGACTCATACTTCCCTTGAACATCGGCCATCTAAAGGGTTCATGCAGTCCACTCCAACCTTAAGAACATAGTCAATCCAACCCAGGCCCAACATCCTCTAAGCCGTAAGGGTCAGAGGCCCTCTAAGAGGTCTCAGAACTGGAGCTACGTGATCACCCGGCGCTGGGTGCTTGCTTCCCATTGTTCTTGAAAAGCCCGGCTGAGACAAAAGATGAGTTCAGTTGCCGGCCTTTGAGCTTTAGGGCTCGATTAAAGCGCCCGTTTCTTATCCACTTGGACACGCCCGAGGCGCGGAAGGGGGGGTCAGGGGAGGGGGCCCCGGAAGGGGGGGGGTGAGGGGAGGTGAGGGATGGCTGCCCAGACCAAGTCCGTCAAATTTGGGCATCCTCATGTGCCATGGTTAAAGGCCTGAGTGCTTGGCGTCATAGGGAAGGTCGTTGACACGCGGACACATGGTTGTGGGTTGCTCACACAAAAAAGATCGTGTGTTTCCTGAAAACGGTCCACCGCACCCGTTTGGGTCGATCACCAATTATACTATCTTAAAGGTATCCGAATATGAAAGAATTCACCGTGAACAGCGCTCAACATTCCCGTAGCCTGAAGAGGCGCCTTGGGGGGGTCTTCTCAATCACCCCATCTTCCCAAGGCGGACGGGCATGAATGGAACACCCTCAAAATGGTTGGTGGTCATCAACCCCCCACGTATTTCTGATGTGGACCAAAGGGCTCCCGATTGCCCTGCCTCCAACGATCACGGAAGCTGGCGACCAGAGGGTGTTGGAAGACAGCAACCCCTCTTTGCGAGATTCCCAAAACGTTGAATTCCACGAGCACGTTGGACAGAGGCTAAAATGGGTATGCCTCCAAATAGGAAAGCCCTAGAACAGGGTTGGATTCCTTTGGTTTTGCTCGAGCACATCCCCAACTCGGAATTCCAACCAACTATCTGCGCTCAGCGCTCCGAAAGCGAGGCAGGCCGCGGCGAGCACCTGACCTTTGCACCATGTCCGACGAGGAGCCGGAGGCCAAGCGATTCGAATCGTCAAGCTGCGTGTACCATGGCAAACAATGCTTTTTTGCAACACATGCCCCCAAAAAGGGGTATTTGGAGAAAGGGGCAGATGAGGGTTGGTGAGGGTTCCTCCGCACCTGAAAAATGACCATGGGTAGACCATTAGTAGAAGGGTCCTTTAGTGTTTCCGCCAAGCTTCCTTGCAGCCGGGGGGTTTTGGGTAGAGATCTTTGAAGGTTCGGATCTTGCAAAGGCTCAGGCGGAAGTGCGGGGCGTTTTCCAACAGCTGCCGCATCACCTGTTTGGGGCTCTTGGGCTCATAATTCGCCCATTGCGCATGGGGTTGCGTTGGCTTTGCGCCAAGGAACGAGGAGATCAGTGACCTGTCCAACCCCGACGCCCGGATCCGAGTGAGCACTTTCTCGGACAGAACTTCGGGTGCATGCCATGCTGCAATTTCTCAAAGGACGGACTCCTTGGACTCCCTTTTTGGTATTTAAAGAGAATTCAAGAGAAACCAACTGCTTTAGGCTACCCCTTATTTCCAGAAATTTCCCTTGTTTGACACCATCCTTTGCGGCAAAGGTGACGACCAAATACCGAGCAGCTGGAGACATCGTGAACAAGGCGCAGAGGGTAGAGAGGGTGGAGCATGAGCATACGTGACTTGGCCGGGGAGCACGAGGCACGACCCAACTATCATTATAGCAGCTGGAATCAGGTATGTATGTATATATACATATATATATATACATGTATATGTTAATAGCTATTTTGCTTGCGCCTGGGCCCAGTGACCGGCCCCCACTTGCAACCCATGAGAGTGTGACAACTGTAATTGACAATCTGATAGTCTAGGCGTCAGGGTGTGCCATGGGGGGCACAAAGTTGGCGCCACTTTTTCGACATCCTCAATTGTACCCTGATGCTGTCCTTTCCATCGTTTGAGGCAGCTTTGAGGCGCTGTGGTTCATGCTTTTCACTGGTTTGATGGAGGGCTTGATGGTAGGCACTCTGGGGTGTTTTGAACTCGAGGCTTCTGAGGCTCCAACTTCTTTGCCGCACCGCGTGAGGCGCTGCAGAAGGTGCTGGAGGCTTGCGTTCCCGACGCCGACATTGCCGGATGCCCGGCGTCGGGTCCGGTCTTCGGGTGCCGAAACCAGGCCCTGGACCCCGCGATTTTGTGCATTCTTAGGTTTAAAGGGAACCCCCGTTTAAGCCATGTAGGCAGCAAACTAGAACAAGGCACATGATGCTTGAATTTACCCAGTGGGTGCATGGGCCACTCCAGGAGCGTGCACAGAGAGAGAAAGAGAGAAAGAGAGAGAGAGAGAGAGAGAAACAGGACAGTCTGAGCGTGAAGTGCCAAAGGGTAAGAGGCGGAGTGGCAGCATCATAGGATTGAACTTGGTCTCCCTCTGTTAGAGCAATCTTTGAGACGCCGTCCAGCCCGTTCCGAGGTGATGCTCTGTGAGATGGGGGACAAGATCATGGAGGAAGAGCCGCGGTCCCAGAGCCCGAGCCGGTTCTTTTCAGGTTGGGAAGCAGGACAAATGCCTTGGGCTGTGTATTTGGCAGCTACCCTTTGGGTCGGTTTAAAGGGAAGCCAAAATGAAGGCCACCTGTTTTTCAGGGTACCGGAGGCGAAGGGGATCTGTAAGAAAGGGCGCAAGCGGGCTGCGGAATTCTTTCCCGCTGAAGGCAGTCTTGGCCACTCAAGGCTTTGCACCCTCGCTCTGACACTCTTGCCCAGATCCCATGGCACGGATGATTGGCTCGCTGCTGCTGCTTGGAGGGTTGCAGCTGGTGGTGGGAGATGTGTGCCCGGATGATGTGGAGGTTGACCTTTGTGACACCAACCCTGGAGAGTTCTCAGGATCCATGGGCATGACTCCCAACCTCTCTGTGCAGCTTCTCGTGCTGGCCTTGGCCCAGCCGGGCCGAGCGAAGTCATGGGAGTTGCTGCTGCCTGCGTTGTGCTGCCTAGCACGGTGGCTGGGCTTACCTGCGGTGACGTCAAGGGCTTCTACAAGACAAACCAATGCCGTGGTTCCGCGACAAAAGAGCTGGGCACATATCCGGGCGCACCGACCTGCCCCTACAACTTTCAGAAGCCAGCATGCTCCATGGCAGACCCCCAGACTCCGCGGGACCTGACCGCCAACGCCCTGGGCGACAAGGTTCCCAAAGCCATCACCCTCACCGACAGTCAGGCAAATTCGCTGCCGCTGGGCGGCTGGTGAATGTGCACTTCCACTATGGGGACGGAACGGACTCAGCCTTCGACTCTAGCCGGCGCCTGGCAATTACCGGCACGGTGCGACCAGGCATGTGCGCCACTAGCGACCTGAACAGCACCCAGCTGCAATCCTACACCTTTCAGTACCGCAAGGGTCAGGTGGAAGTGGAAAATCTGGCAGGAGGTGCTGCAAACGGGCCGACTCTGTGATGTACTCGGGCTCAACCACTGGAACCTCCCATGACAACTCCGTGTGCTCGCCCTATGCGATCACCTGGCAAGTCGTTCGACAACCTTTGCAAGCAGATGAAGGATACTTATGGTGTCTCCACTTTTATTGGTCACATGTTTGCTGTAGATCTTTTGATGGTTGCTGTTAAGCGGACACCAGCTGATGGTTTTTTGCTGACCTGCAATCAGTAGTCAGGTATGGACAAGGATTTGTATCCACACGGTTCCCGCATCTTGGTCGACAAGCAATATGTCGTCAAGCCCGAGTACGTCGTGGTTTTGCAGTAAGGGTTAGATGGTGGCCACAGATGGTGGGAGACAATGCTTTTCAATTTTTTACCGCCCACGGTGCACTCAGGTGCACTCACCACGAAGGGGTGTTGAAGGGGTGACAGCAAAGCTGTGATCCCTCTGCTCCCCGAACATAGCTGAATCATTCTGAATCGGTGAATTGTTTGATAAAAAAACATTTATACAGCGGATTTTCAACTAGAGATTGCTCTTGCTCTTGCCTGGCAATTGCTGGCATTGTTCTTCTGCAGTGGAGCTACGTGCGGGATTGAAGGTGCTTTTCCTTGTTAGGTGAATGCAATAGGCGAGCTGCAGGGTCGTGCGGAGTCAATAGACCAAGGAAATCGCTTTTCGCCCCCACCCAACCTCAAGCTTTGCACGATTGCTGTTTGTTTGCTTGATGCTGGCCGACGATGGGGCGCACATGGGGGTTGAAGGGGGGACAGAGCTGTGATTCCTCAAATGCCTCAAGCCTGTTGAACCAATCTATTTTTTCAATATAGGCTTGTAGCGTGTCTCGAGCCTGCAATTGCTCGTACTTCTTCCTGTCAGGATGTGTTACTGATCGCTTGCGTTCATGGAATCAGTACACAACACTGTATCCACACCGCTATGTTCATGGCAACCAAGCTAACCAAATGTGCGAAAGGACAGGGAAGCTCTACAACAAGAAGGACAAGGAGGGCAAAAAGATGGAGAAGGCAGCCTGCCATGTCCAACAATTGCAGTGCAGACAGCAATCCGGCGATTCGGGGGAGGTGTCCACCCGTTTGCAAGTCAGTTAGACCCCGCCTCCCCCAGAAAAAAAAGAGCAGCACGCTGTGAGCGTACGCTTTTCTCACTTTCTGAGTGGAAACTCGAGTTGAACCATGTTTGCGTAATGTGTGTCCAAATGTTAGCTGAATTGTAAAGAATTGTGTTTGGAAAGAGCGTACTGTGCAAATTATCATTTAAAAGCGGCATATTCTAATTTGGTTTGTAATATGAAATAGAAGTGGCGTTTGGATTCAGTCCTGATCAAATTATATTTCCCTATTGAATCCCGTTTAAAACCTATTCAAATTCGAACTGAACTTTAGAGGGCAGCTGTTGGTGGAGATTTGAATCGAGAAAGAAAACACTACACAAGAACTGTGTTTTACGTTTTTTTTTTTTTTTTTAAGACCATGGTAGTGCTGGGGCTAGTAAACAAACACAAACACAATTTTGGGACCTCTGCATTCTTTCCTTCTGAGATTTGCTTTATATCTTTATCACATTCTACTCATTTTCTATCTGAAATTATATGGAAATTGTGAAGGGACGACTCCAATCAAATTTTCTATGTCAAACTGTATTTTTGAAGTAAAATTAGTCTATTTCAAAATTACTGCTACCCGGGAGTGCCTTTTCAATAGAGTTGCCGTTACAAATCAGTAAGCATCTAAACAACATGCATGAAACATATTTGGGACCTCTAGTTTCTTTCCTTATTAATTATACTATATATATATTTATCTAGTTCTACTTAATTGCTGTCTCACGTTAAAGAGAAGTTAATAAGGACATACTCCAAACACTTTTTTTAGTTTAACATATAACTCAAATGATGAGTATTCCATTTCAAAATACATGCAGCACAGGATCTCCTTTCCAATAGAATGGTCTTTGCAAATCCATAGACATTCAATCAACATGTGTTTAACAATGTTGGGACCTCTAATTTCTTGTACAGCTGTAACTAAAAATAAGAAAAAGTTGTAAGGAACGAGTCCAACCAGAGGAAACCATCTCCAGCTTCGTGAACTACACCAGCGCAGCTTGGTTTTCTGGGTAACACACTTTCAAGGCGCAGCCTTGGACACTTTGTGTTCCCTTGCAACACAAACCTTTGTTGAGGCAGCCTGTTGGTTTCGAAAAGGGAGGGGAGGTAGCACCTCGGCCTTCCTTGGAGATTTGCTGAAACTCCATAGGCAACATTATAAACTTGCACCGACATCTACTCTAAACACTTTGTGGGAACCGCCCCAAATCGCGATGTTCCTTTCGTTTCCCCTTGAAACAGCCCAAAAGGGTTGCCCCACGTTTCCCCCCACAAGCCACACCCTTATGGTTGTTTCGCGTGTTGTTCTGCTTTTTACCTGCTTGATTGCTCTACTCGATATGTATAAAGCTTTCCGCCTTTGTTCCGTTCCATTTCTGCTCCCTTCCACTCTTTTCCAGGTCACTCCCTACTCCACCCTGCCTTTGTTTCCTTGCTCCTTTGCTTTCCGGCCTTTTGACCCTTACCCAGTCGTCCCATTTTCCGCGCTCGCGCCGACTGTGTCGATTGTTTGGGCAGGGTGTGGCCTTTCCTACCTGCGTCTCGGTGAACGACATCGTGGGCCACTTCTCTCCGCTGCGCGCCGGGGGCCTCAAAGAAGGGCCGTCGGGCGGCTCGCGCGCGCGCGCCTCGCGAAGAACGTGTCGGGAGTCAGGGGGAAGGTCCGGACTCCCACGAAAAAACTTCCAAGTTTTGAGGTCTGTTTTGGAAGGCCAAGGCTTGGTTCACTGTCGGAAGAGTGCGAACAGCCAAGTTCGGCACCTGTCTCGAGATGTGGAGTGTGAAAGAGAGAGAAGTCTTGCCAGGGCGAGTCGAGGCTGGATGCGTGTGAAAGCGGAAGGTTTGCAGAGTGCCTTCTGTGGCCAGCGTCCTTTGCTTGCCAAACTGATCACGGAACCCTAAATCAGGTTCCAGCTTGCACCAACGGGCAATCCTGTGTGCACCCTCCTAGAACCTAGGGTCACCCAAATCGAGTCGATGATGGCCACTGCAACACCGATCCCTTGCGCAGGCCGCTGAAAGCTGGGGACATTGCCAAGATCGACTTGGCCTGCCATATTGACGGTGCGCTCTTTGTGCTGTGCATGTGAGCAATGACTGGCAATGACTGGAGCTTTTTGCGTGCCAGCCAAGTTCAGCGCTCAGACTAAGTGGGGATGATAGTTGCCAATCTCCTCAATCAAGGAAAGGCGATGTTACAAATTGAAGCACGAGTTGACCAAGTACATCAGGAATCCTACGAGTCGTCTTGGTTTTGAATCCGAAAATGCCAGCTGCACCTGTGGCACTCAATGCGCTACGTGTCAAGACTAGGAACACCAAACACGAAAAACATAGATCTCCGGATCCCATTGACACGGGGAACACCTAATTCAGAACTTCGGGGCTGGACCTCCAACGTCGGCATGTGTTTGTGTGTTTGTGGGTCCGAAAACCCTCCAATATGGTTGGTGCTTGGTAGAGACTCATGTTTCATTTCCACCACAGGAGCCATTTCCAATTCAAGTTCATATTCGGGTGAGTTCGTCTTAAGATACACGCCAAAAGAAGAAAGACGTTCTTCGGTTTCCCTTTGGCATCCCCTTCAAGGAACAAATGCGAACTCAAGGACCGCCGGCGTCCGCTTGTTTTTCCCACAGAAAACCTGAGACGGAACAGCCCAAAGCCGCAGGCTTCATCGCCGCAGCGGCCCACACCATCATCGTGGGTGGCGAGAAGGCGCTTTTTCGGGTGCGGCATGCTGGCCTCCGGCAACGTGCGCGGGTGGTTGTTTTTTGGCTGGTTTGTGTTTTGTTTGTGTTTGCTTGCCGTCTTTTTCTCTTGTACGATATTGTCTTGTCTTGTTTGTCTGCCTGCCCGCCTGGTTGCTGTCTGTCTGTTTTTCTGGCTGGCTGGCTGTCTGGCAGTTTACTTGCTATTGCACGCTTTTCGGCGCGGGGTTTTCCATTTGTTGGATTGCACGCCCCAAGGTAGATCGGAACCCTTGTGTGTTCAGTTTCGGGCTGGGCGGTGAAGTGCATATTTGTGGGCATGTTGGCTCTGATCACAAGGGATGGAGTCATTTTTTGTCGTCGCCAACCTCAAACTAACAGCAACAGGGAAACGCACAAATAGGAAGTTACCACTTGAAACAGCCCCACGGGCACCCTCAACGAAAAGACACCTTGGACTACTAGGGTTGTGGTCCAGGGTAGGAATGGCCTTTCTCACTGGCAACTGGGAACCTCCAAACTCCGCTCACCAATCGCGCAACACCCTGGACCTTGCGGCTTTGCGAAGGTTGAGGATAGAAAGGCCGATGTCATCATGGCTGCCTGGAACGCGGCGGAGGTTCGGCTGGGGGTGGTTTGCCTTTCCAGGTTCCACTAGCCAATGGTTTTGCACAAGTTGCGACTTGGTTGCTTTTCCTTTCATCATGCTCAGCACCCGGATCACGCGCACTCCGCACCGAGGTCAAGAAGCAAGAAGCTTTGATCCCAAGATTGTGCTTTGCCCAAGCAAAGCAAGTACCTTCATGCTCATGAATCCAAATTGTCAGGCACTACTACCTCAATCGAGCATTTTCCAAAATGGGGGAACGCTGAAAAGGCCTTGCTTCCTTTTGAGAGTTGGGGCGCTTCCCCGCCAGGCCGCCCTCCGGCTGATCCAAGTTGGCAACACGAACACCCAGGCGCGCGTGGCCCCACGAAAACGTGGGCATGGAACATTTGGAACCCAAAGGGGTTAGGTTCCTCTGTGAAGGGGTCCAATTCCCAAAAGGTTCCAAGGTTCCACATTAATTTCTGGGGATCTGTTATTGGGTTTGAGAGTTTGCTATGTCAAGCTCAGGGTGGATCCCATACGCGAGTCGGCGCTTTTGCGCGCTGGGAACCTCGCTCATCCAGATGCGGCAAGATGTCAGCTTCCCTGTCATGCTGAGATGCGCCCGCGAGAAAAGCCCTTGTGGGGCACCAACTTGGCTTGGCGCGATCATGCCATTTACCCCTGTCACCTGCGTTCCTCTTCGGTGTTAGAGCACTGTTTGAGCAGATGGTCCTTACGATCGCTTCCGAGTCTTCATACCGAACAATGCAATTGGGCCGGGCGTTTGCACAACCATCACCGCACCAGGGGCTACATGTGAAAAAGCTTTCCTGGGCTGCATCTCAGGATTTGGACCTCTCGACATGGCCAGACATTCCAAGAGACGCCTTTCCCTTGTCCAAGAAGTGTCCGGAACCCCCTCACAGATACCGCAGCTGAGTTTTTATCCAGTGATAAAACGTGGGAACCCTTCAAAAATGGATTTCGGCACACCCAACTTGCTTTAGGGTCAGAGCGCAGGTTACCGAAGCCTTCGGGAAGATCGCCGAAGACTTCAAGGTGAAGCCTATGCAAGGCGCACACTCTTTGCCTAGATGGGCTCTGGAGCAGTTTGCAGTGGCTGTGGGCTGGGTTTGCGGAAGGGTTCCGGCAAGGTTGCTGTTGGGGATGCCACCCGGGCTTAATTTTTTTGGGAGGGTAAACTTAAACAAGAAGCGAAGATTTTGGCGGGTTTGTGCAGTTTGGAGATGGGCCCTTTGACTCATGTCCACAACAAAGTCCAAGCAATTGAGTTCCAGATGGGTGTTTCTCAAGTAGGCAACCTCTAAAATTGTCTGTTTCCTTTTGGTTCCTCTTCAAGGCCATCCAAAAACCCAAAAGGGATCCCTATCTTGAGAAACTCCCCCGATTGGGAAGTCTGGAGCCAAAAAGCGTGAGCAAGAACACATTTCTCCTGGCCCATGGGTACCTGCATATTTCTGCTGTGGTTTTAAGGCCTTGTGAATCTTAGGGGAATACCTGAAAGTGCAGGCGTGCTTTCCCACCAGCTGAAGAAGCACGTCATCGACGGCAACCGCACCATCATTTGTGCGGAGACGCCGGAGGAGAAGGCGATGGTTTCAGTCTGCGGTGCGCCCTCTAACACGACTCCGCTGAACATGACGTCTTTTTAGATTCCAATTCAAGTGGAGCTTCGGCTCAAGAGCCCAGGGCCCTAGAAGCGATTCCCTCTGATGGCGATTTTGATAGGTGGTTTTACTACTTCATGGCGGTTACAGCAAGGCCTCCATGATATTTCTATGTCCATGCATACAATATAATTATGTATATAGTATACTCACATGCAGATACACGCCTTCATAGTCATGTTGGTAGCCAAAGGCAGTTTTTGCGCGTTGCTCAGGTGGAGGAGTTTGAATTTGAGCTCAACGAGGTCTACAGCGTCGACATCGTGATGTCCACCGGCGAAGGCGGGGCTGCATTCCCCAGTCTTGTGGCTGCGACCAGCAGCTGTATCGCGGGGCAGGGTTTTCCGAGCCGTTCAAAAACGATGACAACCCAAACAAAGAACGTGATGTTGTTTCCTCTAACCAGGGGCACCCTATTTCATCGCACTTCACTGAGGTTTTGTCGTTGGCTTGGGAAACAACTTTGCCAGGCAAAGGCAAGGAGACTGATATCCGAAATACGGTCTACAAGAGAGCTGCGGGGTCCTCAGGCTTGCGGGGAGGCCGCCTGGCGCCTGCTATTGGCCATGTAGGAGCTTGTGCAATCTGGTATGGGGATCATAGCCATGCCGACATCAATCTTTCCATCTTGGTAGAATCAAAAGTTCAATGCGGCTTTTGGGTAGTCTTGACGAACCTGAACATGTTTATGCTCAGAGTTGCACAAGCCGTCGTGTGGCCTTGGACCAATAGTCCATCAGGGGAGTCTTAAGGAGAATTGACTGTTTCTTGTCGCCTGAGGGTGACCTGTGTTCCCCGGGTTTCAACCATTTAAGTGGACTCAAGCCCCTCTTGGGTTTCTCCAGTTTGTCCTGGAAAAGGTGTGGGACTTCCAAACTTGGAAGCATATCCGTGAGACTAGGAAGACCTCCTCTTATCTTCATGACGACACCAAAAGGTATGGGAAAATCCCTGGCGAGATATTGCGGCCGCGGCCAAAAAGAAGCCTATTGCTGTGGTAGTCATTCTATTAATGATGTAACTTACACATGGCTGCCCCCTATGTGACCAAGCAGATTCGCGTGCGCATCGCATTTCTTGTTGCGCAGCTCTTCAGCAAGTGAGTAGCCAGTTTGCGAACAGCCGCTTGGCCGGTTTCAGCGTCAGCCGCTTGGCCGGAGTCATTCCGCGATCACTCCTGTGGCACCAGCCCACCTCTGTCTGTAACGTCACTTTATCTCACGGATGGCGTCTTCTTTCAAGGGATCGTCAGTGTACAGCTGCAGCTGTGGTTCAAGCAATCCCTGGCCAAGCCAGGTTGATTCCCTGCAGCTCATCCACGCTGCTGGCCAGGAGCAATCCGTTTTCCGAGCAGAGCTCTACGGCATTCTTGCTCTGAGCCGCTGACGTCTGCACAGAACCCATCCTTCTGCCAAAGCGCGCGAATCGCCTTTGTGGCGGCCGTCCAATGGGCCCAAAAGAAACTTGACATGCTTCAAGTATGCGCCAGCCAAACCATGGAGGCCTCGGCTTACATGCGGCCTACAAGTGGCCACCCTCTTACAGCCTCTCAAAGGGCCGCGGTCTCAATGTCGGTTTGCTTCTCTAAATGCTACACGACGCAGTGCTGAGGGGCTCAGAGCGTGTTCTCACGAAAACCAAAAGGGCGCGGCCCACCTGAACCTGGACGTTGCGTGAAGGGGGGCCCTTCATTTGCCAAGGCTCAGAGCAACCTGATGATTTGGCAGATTGCATTGGTTGCCAGGGTGTTCTGTTCAGGTGGAGACCATGTATAGCCTGAAGACTCAGAAAGCCAGACAATTCATCTCAGAGGCAGGGCTCCGCAGAATCGCTTAGGCGTGTTTCCGAAGTGGGTGAGCTTTTGCAGGGAGTTTCGAGACTGCTTGTTTGAAAGGGAGACGATAGGAAACCGCCTGTGTCGGAGGGTCCCCGATGAGAGGGGCCCCAAAACCAGTCCCATATCAGCTACCCAATTATTGATGCAGTTCCCCTAGTTACCCACTTTAGGGGAAATTGGATCCGCTGGGCTATCCTTTCACCTATCCCAGGCTGATCCTGAACCAACCCAACCATCGAGCCCACCAACTCACCCAACCAACCCAACCCACCACGACCCACAGCGAACCGCTTCCCGCGAGGTGCAGAAGCGCTTCCCGGTGCTGCCCTTCTCTCTGCGGGCCATCGAGGACGAGCAGGTGGCGCGTGTGGGGGTGTCCGAGGCCAAGCGCCACGAGCTCCTAGACGAGCCCGGGGCCCAGCTGCGGGGATTCTTTCAGGGCAGCCCCTAGGCCGGTCGGGTGAAGGCGAAACCAGGAGGAAAGCCCGGAATCCGTGTCTGGGTTTTTCTGGGCCCCAGTTTGGCACAAGCTCAGCTGTTGGCATCGGGGACCATGTTTGGAGCAAGGTGCGGGGTATTGCTCATTTTTGCCAAACAGGGAAACTCGAGGTCATCGAAAACGGAGCGTTGGCATGAGACTCCCCCCCCAGACAGAAGTTGCTTGCTGAGGTATCCTGTCTTGAAGGAGGCCAACAGTGCATCCTGGCATCGGAGTTTACCACTCTTTGCTCCAGAGGGTCGCCAAGAGCAGGGACAGCCCCTTGTGTAGCCCGATGCAGTCCAGGGTGCCCATGACTCCCCCAGCTGGGCCTTCTGGGCATCGGCCACCTGAAACCCGGCGCCATGCGCGACATCCAAGGAGACTGTAGCGCAATTCAAGTTCACCCTGTCGGGGGCCAAGCGTGGGTCATGGACCAGGCGTTCAAGAATGTTTTGGCATTTGAGACCCCCCACAGATATCTACAGATGGCTGGGTTCATATTGCTTGGCCCTTGTATGAGCCTCTTCAGGCTCAGAGGGGTCCCTGGCTTTGAACCATTCTCACTTGATTTCCTTGAACGCCTGGACTGAAGGACAGTAGGGCAGTTTCGGTACCAAAGCTGTTTCCGGGGGGTTCCGAAGCGGTTTCCGCAGGGGTCCTAATCGACTGCGACATTTGGCTTCATCCTCAAGCAGTCATTCATAAAATTCAACAAGGGTCGTTGAAGAGAGGGATCCTCAGCCAGATTTGACACCCTTTCACCTATAAATGGTTAGTCCGGTTTCTGCCAGAATCTATTCCCCACTTCGGCACTGGAGCAGCCTGGGATTTGCATGAAAAGGGGGATGGTTGTAAGCCAAATAGTCAAAGGGCACCCCATGTTGGGTCCCGTTTAACGATTCCGCTAGCTGCAAAAAGTCCCAACCAGCCCGTTGCAACGATTGAAAGAAGAAGCTTTCCCTGCCCGATGCAACAAAAACAATCTCAACCACCTTCACGTTTCAAATTCCAATTGGGGGGGAAGTGGGCTGGCCACCACATCCGTCCCTCTAGCAACGGCTAGCGGGTTATGAGCCTTGATGAGCGACAACCTGCCTACTAGCCCCCGCATAAAACCACCAGCACTTTGGGGATTATGAGCCTTACAAGGCATTTTGTTTCAATGGGGACCCCCTAAAGCGGCTGGTTGGGTTAGATCTTTGGATTTGAGCTTTGTGTGATGATTTTTGCCAATCAACAGCCAACAGTCAGGCTTCCTGCACAGGCCAAAACCGAACAGAATCCAAACCCAGAAATGTAAAGTGAGGTTGGAGTTGGTTTGGCAGGCTGTTGCTTCCGGGCGGCACCAAGAAGATCACGGGCCTGGCCCTGGGCAGCCTGCAGGAGCAGGCGGGGATTCAGGGCCAGGCGGCCAGGCTCTCCGTTTCAGGGGAGGGACACCCCTGCATGCACCGGAAAGGGTAAATCAACCCCCTCTGTCTGTGTGTTGTGACTTCAGTGTCATTTTTTTCAGGGTGAAAGTAGATAGCACTGTTCCGCAAGCAAAGAGCATGATGCAATGGGGAGGTTGTGCCATCCAACTATAAATATGGGGCGCCACAAAGGCGGGTCCAAAGAAGTGGTCACCCATCCTGGCGAGCGCTGAATGGTTCCTTGCTCGCGAAGAGGGTGAACATGTGCAAGGTTGGGGATCCAGCATGAGGTGGGTCTTCACCAAGAGGCTCAAAAGGAGAGATGATCCCATCCAATTTGTTTTGTCTCCTTGTTTTGTTCGCTTCAAAGAGTTCCACTGCCAGAGCCCTAGCAGATTTCGACCAGGCTGTGCCTGCTGCTTGCACACCGTCTCACCTTATCCAACCTTGCCATGCTCACCTTCAGCCAAGCATCTCTCAAGTGTATGCGTGCTTTCACACGTTCCGTTTCAATCCAAAGCGGCCCCTGAAGCATGTATTTCGAGACCCCTTGCACCATCGGCGCGTTCCCGGCCGAGGAATGTGGCCACGAATTTTGATAGGGAACCTCAAGGCTTGGTGCACATCAATCCCCATATACTTGTCAACGCTCCGCGCTGCCTGCCTCGGCTGTAGCGCAAGGCTCAGGTGTGTGAAACTGGCGGGAAGATCCTTGTCGGCCCGACCAATTCTCGCCTGAAGATCATGGCAGGCCGCTTCCACGCTGTCCGTGGTGGACGAAGACATGAAGAAATTGTTAGCCACCTCGGCCCCGGCCTCGCATTTTTGGCGCTTGAGGTGGTCTTGACAATTTGATATGGGCGTGTCTCAAAAAAGGGCAACAGCCCGCCTTTCAAACAATCTAAAGAGGTAATTTCCCTGAAAAGCGGACACCCCCAGATTGTGCCACTCACCATTTTGTTTCGCCGGGCACGAGCTGCCTGCAAGCTAGAGTCCCGGATGCTTGTTTGCACCAAGCAAACAAGAAGCCCTCAATACCCCAAAGAAGGTGATTATACGTACGATTCACACCCCAGCTGTTTGAGGGTTCCAGCAAAAGGGAATCGATTAGATGGATCTCTGACTTGGGACCAGCTCTTTCTGGCACCGAGGCAAACCCCAAGAAGGCCAAGAAGAAGAACAAGGGTGACAAGGGCGCCGAAGGGGAAAAGGCGTAAAGTGCCGTCCGCCCCTGCAGTGGGCGCTACAAACTGAAAACACTCCACGCGTTAAGCCCCTTTCTGGTTTCCAAGCAATGAAGTTGGCAGAGGGGAGTCCAGCGAACACAAATGCGTGTTTCATTGATGCTTAGGGCAAGCCAGAGAGGATTGGATGTTAGTTCAATCACAGAGCAGGGCGTGGGTGATTTTGAAGGCACTTCCGCCGGATATTTTGCTAAGATGCGCAGCCAAAAGTGCAGCTTGCGAGGATATGTTTGCGACGGTACGCAAGGAACGCCAGAAATCTGGGATGGCCAACTGCCAAAGATAGCGACACCAAAGATAGCAATCGGTGGCTTGGGAAGGCCCTGCCAGGTCAGTAATGTTGCTGCAAAGCTTGCGTTTAAGGGTAGAACCAAATCTTAATGGGCATGCAACATGCAGACGGCCATGAATCAGGTTTACATTGCACGGGCTATGGTGACCGTCCCCCCCCTCCCCCTCAAGGGAGAGTGGTAGTGGCTTGCATCTGACTTTGTCAGCATCTCTTCAGGTCGGCCAAATGTGCCATCCCACATGTGGGCGTGCTTAATACCGTTACCAAGGCTCGGGAAAGTTAGGTGTGAGATGCCACTTGCTTGGCATCGCTCGCACCTTCCCGGGCTCCGGGGCTCCGCGGCAGTTGACGTTTGAAGTGGCGATGTCTTCTGGCCGCCCCCAGAAAAGATCTTTTGTGGACGACCTCAACCACTCGGCTTTCGACCCGAAGCCGCAGGCCCAAGCCGTGACTTAGAAGGGAACCGGCCCGAGCGAGAAGAAAAGGGGCGAACCTTTGCCAAAGATCTGCAGTCCTCGTAGATTTGGCGGCTTGTCGAACTGTTGGCAGCGTATTCTTTCTGATTTGTCAGCAGAGGACGAGCGGACCCGGCCCTGAGATGGTTGCAAGCATGCTCATGTTCACGAACCGCTCGCCCTGTGATATCAAGTGAAAACATGAGCCAGGTAGCTGAATGCATTCGGAGGACATCAACCCTACGCTTGACCTCACATTTGGCATCACACCAACCGCAGCATGACAGCGGTGAGAGCATGGAGCCAACATGACACGACGAGTGACTCAGTGAAACCAGACGCCTTCCATGGATGACTCGAGAGACCAGAAGTGGGGTTCCAAGATGTGGACAACCCCCCCCTTCCCCCTCCTAGTTTTTCCTGCTAGAGTTTTCGACAGGAGTCAATTTTTCATCCACTTTCATTGGTGGTGGATATTGAGTGGTTGACCTGGGTTGAAGAGGTGGTTGAAAGGGAACGCCAGCTGGACAATCCTAGTGAACAACAATGACGCCTGGTTGTTGGAGTTTTTTGGGGAGTCGCCCATGCCGGAGCTTATGGGCTTCTGGCTATTGAAACACAAGCAACAGAGAAACCACTGTTTGGAGGGGTTCCTGAGTTTGAGGCGCACCCAAATCGCTTCGTCTTTTGGCCGGGGGGGAGGGGGAAATTGGGTGGCCTCCGTTTGGTTTCTCGTGCCCGCCCCAAGAAGGGAAGCGGCCGCAAAGAAACGAGGCTTCAGCGTCTCCTCCATGCCATTGGTGCTGGGGCTGATACCGACTTCGCCATTCAGGCGGCAGTTGCTCTTGCCGTTTTCCAGCCCGCACTAGTTTCTTGACTTTGTTGACCGTCCTTTTGGCCTTTTGGTTTGTCCAAACATATTGGGGCCCGAAAAACGAGAGGGTCCCGAAGATTCAAGCTGGTGTATCGTCTTTGGGCATCCGCGAACCCCTGGCCATGTTGATGGTTTGGCAGAACAGGGATTTTGTCCTTAGTTGGGATGGCCATGAACTTAACAAAGTTTGCGGGCCGCCGCAGAAATGGGACCTGACTACATTTTGCTGCAGCCACGTCCGACATGCCCAGGGTCCATTGGACCACAGCGGACATCATTGGTTGTAAACGGCTGCACCCTTTTGTTTGTTGTCAGGTCTTGCAAGCCAATAACTGGGACCTGCAGCTTGCCTTGAATGTGATCCTGGGAGATGCGGCCGGAGACTCAGAGTGTCATTTAGAACCAGGTCAGCTTCTCAGTGTTGGGCTTCTATCAAGTTCATGTGGAATTTGAGCGCAGCTCTGGAAGAGATTCGGATGTTATTCAAGAGACCCAGTGTTCAATCCAATGAAGGCAAGTGAGTTGAACAAGAGAAACAGATGAGCCTTCTACGGCTTCAGAGAAGATCTTTGAGAGGGGCTTGCCCTGTGGCGTGCCCTCGCGAAGAACAGGTGTCCAGCAGCGATTCGAGCTGCTTAGGGATGCTGGCCGTGGCCTGTGCGAAAGGGAATTCGGCTGAAGGTGAGAGGGTTCGAGAACCGAGCTCACCACGCGCCTGGCTTTCTTTGTGCGTGGAAAATGGCATACGTTTCTTGGATTTGGCACTTCTGGATGATGCCAGATGAACATATTTTGGCATTTTTCACAGCAATTGGCAATGGCCTTCTTTCGGCTACATGTCCAGGGTGAGTCACGTTAAGGGACATGATACTGTAGACACTTAGGTTGCTTTCTCCAAGGCTTTCTGCGCTCTGTCATTCGATCGCCCCCTCCAGATGATCCGTGGATCAGGCAACTCCCTTGGACTGGCAGGGCCCAAAGTCCAACTGGGCCCAAAGTAGCTGCACAGACTGCCGACCATTGCAACATGCCTTGCGTGGAAATCGTGGGTTTCAGAGGGGTCTTTGCTCCGCCCTGAGGGTGAAGGGATTGGCAAGGTTCTATTGGCCTCAAGGAGGAAGGTTACTGGTACACCTGGCCTGAAACGCGCAGGGAGTAGGATGGCCTCCGATGCCTTTCCCAGCGCGCCTAGGCGCCAGAGGCGCCCGTGGCGCCCATTGCGCCCAGCGCGCCCTCCGCGCCCTCTGCTGCGCCCTTTGATCCCGGGTCCCCGGTGGCGCCCCCGGGGCTTCCATACGAAGGCCCGGCAGTTTTCCCGGAGATTCGAAGAGGCAAGGGATTGGGCGACCCTAACACATGTCTGGGTTTTTGGATGCTGGGGCAAATGATTGCCCTTTGGTGTCCTCGAAGGTTAAGCATCAAGCCAAGCAGCAAGCCTAGTTACGCACGGCAATGGTTTCCGCCCTTTTGATCCAGAAGATTCGCCTCATTTCGCCCAACGAGTTTTAACGCGTCCCGTGCGTGCTGGCTGCCGTGCAGGTGGCTTCCGCACGCCAGTAGGCTTTGGGCCACTCGTGAACGACGATGTCCGCGCGCCCATGCGCACTGGCTTCCACGACCGAGGCTCAGGTCACTTCGTGGAGTCCCTGGTTCAGCGCCACGCGCTAAGGAGACGTTGCTGACAGACAATGCCGCGGAGCAGGCACGCCAAGATGCAGCCCGCGAGAAGTGGAGGCAGCAGGAAGAGGCGAGGAATCGATGGGATCGGATTGGTGACTTGCAGCTTCGAGGCTGGTTGCGGTGGACTTCAGTTGCTTTTGCCGCTTCCTTCTGCCTCTCTGCCTCTCTCTCTCTCTCTATCTCTCTGTCTCTCTCTCTCTCTCTATCTCTCTCTCTCTCTCTCTCTCTCTTTCTCTCTTTCTCTCTTTCTCTCTTTCTCTCTTTCTCTCTTTCTCTCTTTCTCTCTTTCTGCCTTTCTCTCTCCCTCCCTTTCGATGTGTTGTGTATTCTGTTCCAAATTCTTATTCACAACCTTCGGGCAAGGTCGAGGCCAGGCTGGGATTCTCGCTCCCTCGCCGCTAGGCGCGGAGGATCGCCGCAGAGGAGAGGGCGAGACAGGCGGCGGAAGAGCTCCACAAGAAGGCTGAGACCGAAGTTCCCGAGAGCCTGAAGTGGTTGGTTTCGTTTTGGTTTCACCGTAACTCTCGGAAGAAAAGCACAGATAGCACAGATACCAGCCAGTCTTCGCTTCTGATCAAGGTTTGAATATACCAAAGGGTCCACCATTTGGAGAAACTCCCAAATGGGTGTTGTTCGAGGGTATCCTTTTCACCTTGGGTTAAAAGGGAACCAAAAGTACAATCTTATTGTTGGCCCCCCCTATTTTGACACATACCCGGTTGGGTGTGCTCTCATTGGGGTCTTGGCGATCAGGGCCATTCCCACTCAGAGTAGTGGGAGCGCCCAGGTTTGGCATTTGGGTGCCCCTCAACGGGGGGGTGTTCAGCAATTGACATGGGGATGTCGGGATCCGCTTTGGTCTGGTGCTTCGGGAAGCCAGGTGGAAGCACACGCATTCTGTTGGGTCCCAGTATTTCGGGCGAACGCGCGGCTTTTCAACCCCTCCCATTGCCAGGCTCAACTCACAGTTTGGCAAATGGTTGCCCAAACGGCCCCCAAACCTCCCTTATATGTGTTTCCCATTCCGGCCACGAAAAAAAACAAAAAACGCAGGGACGTGAGATCCGTGTGCGTTACCCCTGACACCCTCCCCCCACACCCTCCCCCGCAGCCCGTCCCCCCCCTTTGCCGGGACCCCCGCTTCGGCTCAGAACATGGCGCGGCAAGCCGAAGAGCAGCGCCTGGCGCTGGAGAAGGAGGCGCTGGAGCGGAAGAAGCAGAAGCTGCAGCAGGAGGAGCGAGCTGTTCGCTGTTCCCCCCCGGTTTGGGGGGCCGGTTTTTTGGAGGAGGGGGAGGTTAGGAGGGGTAGGGGCTTTTGGTTGGGGGGGCAAATGGGGGTCAGCTTTTTTGTTGGGGGACAATGGTGGTCAGCTTTTTTTGGGGGGAAAATGGTGGTCAGCTTTTTGTTGGGGGACAATGGTGAATGGTGGTCAGTTTTTTGTTGGGGGAAAACGGTGGTCAGCTTTTTGTTGGGGGGGAAATGGTGGTCAGCTTTTTGTTTGGGGACAATGGTGGTCAGCTTTTTGTTGGGGGACTATGGTGGTCAGTTTTTTTGTTGGGGATAATTGTTCAGCTTTTTGTTGGGGAAAATGGTGGTCAGCACTTTGTTGCGGGACAATGGTGGCCAGCTTTTTGTTGGGGGAAATGGTGGTCAGCTTTTTGTTGGGGGAAAATTGTGGTCAGCTTTTTGTTGGGGGAAAATGGTGGTCAGCTCTTTGTTGGGGGATTGTTGGGGTCAGCTTTTTGTTGGGGGGATAATGGTGGTCAGCTTTTTGTTGGGGGAAAATGGTGGTCAGCTTTTTGTTTGGGGACAATGGCGGTCAGCTTCTTGTTTGGGGACAATGGCGATCAGCTTTTTGTTGGGGGGAAATAGTGTTCAGCTTCTTCAGCAGAGACGTTGCGGTTTGGGGTATGACGCCCATTGTTTGATCGCTTCAAGGCAGGTTTATGAAAAATACCCAGGTGGTTTGGGCCGTGTTTGGACATATTACATGGGACTATGGAGGGTATATGGGTGTGAATCTTAAGTTGGACTCTTCGGCGGATTGCCTTGCCCGTTCATTGATTTATTTGCGGATTGATGCAAACCAACCCACCCGTTGTTGACCCCCCGACCATTAAAACGACCAAAAATCGAACACGCAACTGAGGGTTCTCACCCTCCCACAAACTGTGTCCTGGTGCATTCACATTGCTACGAGGGATGCACCTTTCACGCATCATCCACAAAGGGGAGGTGATGCAAACATTTTGGAGGGCAACCAAACAGCGCCCTTTTGGCACCAGGTTCAATTTATTGGGAGCAAGCCGTTCCGAAGCGAATTAGGCCAGGTGTGAAGCTTACATGAATGCATTTTTGAGAAAGGACATGCATTTCTTAGATTGAAAGGCGGAAGTTAAACCGCCAGGACAAGACTGCAAAGGCATCAAGGCCGGGATCGCAAGAACGAGCAGAGAGGAGCCGTAAACGTGGGCCTCTGCTCACATGCGCGCATCAACCGGTACGGAGGTTTAGCCTTATGACCAACCCTTTGGGGAATCAAGGGTTCAGATTTGGTTTTGGAGTTGGCCCAGAGGAAGTGGGTGTTATTAATGGACATATCTAGTGAAAAGCGAGGTGTTGACTTTACCCAGACTCAATACCTAAATCGCACGGCGACTCGCGTCGCATGCACACCTCTCTTGCAGGGATGATGACAGCGACGAGGACTGGGACGACATTCCGATTGGACAATCCATGCTGCGCCTTGGCTGTTCCCCAGAAACACCGGCTTTGCATCTTTAGCGGCAAGCTGCATGCAAACATCGCGATTAGTTCTAGGATCGCCCATATGAATGCCGCTCCAAATATCCAGTAGTCACTAGTGTATGGTCCATTTGGGACACGAGAGAACGCAAAAAATGTTCCTCAACAATGTATCTTTCTATGTCTCCCATGCCCTTTGCCGGACTCAATTTCAGGTTGTCGGACCTCTCCGCCCAGCTCGCTGGCAAAGTCCCGCCCACAGTTTGCCGCGAATGAGGGGCCAAAAATGAATGCCTTTTTTGGGCTCATGGCGACCCCCCCTTTAAAGGGCAGATTAAGGGGTCCAAACTTGGGACCTGTTGTTTTTGAACGATCCTTAGATGACTTGGCTCAAAGCACTGGAACGTGTCGCACGAACATGGACAATCACGAACAGGCGGATGCTTAAGTATGGGTGCTATGGTCAGAAACATGCTTTGATGGGTTTCGACATCATGGCCCTCCACCTTTCGACGAGGAATTCAGACAGCCCTGGCAAGGCTTATCGAGGGACACCATGATGCCATGACTGACGGGTCGTCTCAAAATGTAGCTCCAAAATGATTCTTCACCATAAAAACGTAAATGGTCTCTCCTAAACAACACACTTGCCCTCTTTCCAACAATCATGCAAGAACTTCCAAAGCCCTCCTCGTCAGCTTCTGTGGTTGGGCCTTCTCCGACAAAAACAACCCAGACGAGGGGAGGCTTTTCCGCTTGATTCCCACAAGCACAAAAAGGTGGTTTCCTTCGGTTTTCCTAAGCCAAGAGGGGGCCCCAGAGTCGACCCCACACTGAGGACCCAGCGCCGCCACCACCCGCACCTCCGAGGCAGGGAACTGCCGCCCATGGAACTGGGTGGTGTCCTAGTGAACATCCCAATTCCCACTAAAATAGACTAAAATGGGTGGTGCACCTACCTCAAAATGGTACCATTGGTTTTTGACCCACAGCCATATGTTCAACCAGCTTTGTCAGTGGGTTTATAACTACGCTGGTTGACAAAGGCGGTACATGAATCACCTAAACGTCCTCCAAAGGTTCCCGAAGGAGAAAACTCATGCCCTCGTGGATGTTCAACCAGTCGACCAACGTCAGGTAAGTGGGTTACAATGTTATTGTTATAGCTGGGGCAACCTGGGTTTGTCTCCTCACTATGTACTCACCTGACGTTGGACGACGCATATGGCACGCCCCCAAACTCTGAATCTTTTAGCAAGGTACAGGAAGGGGTGAAAGCGATTGCCAACCTTTGCCTATCCGAGAAAACCACGCTGAAAGGGGTGCTTTGTTTTTTTTGGACACCCCCGATACTGAGTGGCCTTGTTTTTCCCCAAAATCTGAAAGCTTTGGGGTCTCAGCCCAGATAGGCTCCGGCCCTGAGGTAAGGTTCCACGAGGGTTCCACCAGGGTTCCACGAGGGTTCCACGAGGTTCTGCGAGGTTCTGCGAGGGCTGTGGGGTGGTGCGAGCACCAAAAAGAGAACCGTGTGCTGTTGGCTATATCACCTGAGCTTATTTTCTTTTTGCCTGGCCAAGCGCGAACCAATCAGTTTGAGTCCCCCGACGGATAAAATACATTCACTGGGCTGCCGTTGAGAACAAGGGATTTGTTTGCCCCGAGAAGCTCCTCAGACCGTTGAGGACCTTTCAGTCGGCTTCCATCGATCAACCGTGGCCCCTTGCTTTGTGGACTCCCATGGTTTCATCCATCCGAACTGGTGCGAAGCGGAGTTTGTCTATCCACAGTATTGCTTAGATCAGCGTGTCTATTTTTGAGGGCACCTTTTCAAAAAAAACAAAAGGACACCGTTTATGGGGTTCTCCATTTAAAGAGACAACGCATTTTCAAGTGAACACTCCTCGCAGGGACGAGGAGGAAGAGGAGTTCGATGTTCCTCCAGCTCCTGCCGTGCCGCGATTCGCCAGCAAGTTCATGCCTTTTGGGGGGATTTTTTGTTGGTTGCTATTCCCCCCACACCCCCCCCACCCCCCCACACCCCCCCACACCCCCCACACCCCCCACACCCCCCACACCCCCCACACCCCCCACACACCCCCACACCCCACACCCACCCCACACCCCCCACACCCACCCCCCCACCCCCCACCCACACCACTCACCCACGCCCGCCTCACCCCACCCACCCCATCCCACCCCACCCCACCCCCCCACGGCCAGAGGCGTGATTCCTCTTAAAATTGGTGTCTAAAGCAGTTTTTATGGTCTGGGGCGACTAGCCAAATGCAGGTCCAACCGGGTGAGGGGGGGGTGGGAGGGGGGGTTCCGCATGGATACATGCATGGGAAATCGCATGACACATAGGATACACATGATGCACAGATATGTTTTTTTGCTGTATACAACATATGTATGTATGAATTATAATATATATATATATATATTATCTACCTATATATATATATATACACGCACACACACCCACACACACACACACATGCACCCCCCGTTTGCTGCTTATGTGAGGGCGTCAGGTCATGTTAAACAGATGTTACCAGAACATGGGCTCATGCCACAATGTTGGCAGGCTTGTGTAGATGATTCATTAAGACTCTGCCACCCATCTGAATATTAGTTGCTTCTACTTTCTTGCAGGTTCTTTGTGTCAGTCCTCCTCTCGATCCTTATTCAATCTTTCACAGTTAAATGCTCAAATGTGGGTATGTTTATCTATCTCTCTCCCTCTCTCTCATATGTATATACATATATAAATATGTATATACATATCACACTCACGCGTATAAAGAGGTCGCGCGTGCTCCTTCAGAGTTTGCAGGGGGATTCTGCACCCAGCTGTTTTCGCAAGGCTGGGCGACTTAGCGGGGGCACTCGGAGGAGGCACAGGCCCGATGAAGAGAGGGATCAAATTTTAAATGGGGCTTTCTTTTATAACCCACAGCCTGTTTGACATCCTTGTAACCTTTCTTGTTTTGGTTAAAACCAGGTGTACCCAATTTTAAGTCGACAACTGAGCCACAATCAATCCCAGGTAGATGCACCATACGGAATTTCACCTCCATGCCGAATTCCAATCAAGCATGCCAAACCTCTCATTCTGGACTCCGGACTGACTTAGCAACTATTCAAATCTGCAGGGTTCAGCTCTGTAGGCACCGGCTTTAAAACACATTTCTTGTCCGCTACTGCTTTCTGAAGCCAGACAGTCAGGAACAGTCCGAGCCAGAAATAGGTGTGGCCGACTGTTGATTTCAATTTATACGATTAATCGTCTACAGTTTGGGGGAGGACATGGCACCCAACTTTCCACCCCCCCCATTTTGTGGCCTTTTGAGGAAGCAAGTGATTTTAGCCGGGTCTTAAATGGGCCACAATCACTTGACGTGGATAGACGAAGGCCACTAGGGCAGAGTCCGCTCGCCATACAGCAGAGCGGCTTTTTGATTCTTTGGCATGGGTTGAATGCTACGACCTTGTCATACTGGGTCCAAACTCCCTCCCATGGTCTTTGCAGGGGGGTGCCTTCAAGAGAAGAAAGTGGCGGGAACCCTTCCAGATGTGGCTCTTGGGAGGAAGGGTCACCGAGAGAGCCCAGGCTAGCGAAGCCCCGCCGGTGCCACCAGTGCCTGCACCGCTCGAAGCTCGGAGAAAATCGTTGAACTGGGAGGGGGGGTCAAGGCCCCCCGAGTTTTGTTGGAAGAATTCGCATCCAAGAATGGGCCCGGACTTTTTGACAGCCATGCCAAGCCTCAGCCAAGCTGCCAAATTCTGAGGCCACCAGAGGTGGAACCAGCGCCAGAGGCAGCACCGCTCAGCATGCGTATGCTTACGACCGCAGCCAGGTTTGTTTTTTGGTTTGGAGGCATCGAGCTAGTTTCCTTGAGGGCATGAAACAAGGGGATCGGTCAAGGGCATTCTCGGACTTGGAGATGTGCGTTGGCAGCTTCTGGTTGTCTTGGGGAGGGTACGGGGAAGTCCCATGTCCACTTCGAGGTTGGTCTGGAGGGACGCCACAGCACATTGAAGGCCAGGAGCCACAATCCCCACATTTTTTTCGAAATCAAGGGCCCCTTCAATCCCACCTCCTTTGGATAAACCTCCAAAATTGTGGTTGGTTAATTGGTGGGTCGGGTCGGTTAGATCCTGGTCAGGTGCCGGAAGCCCCGGCAGTGCAGTCGGAGCCGGAGCCGGCCAAGAAGGTGCCGCTGGAGGTATTCAAGTCTCAGGGCTGCAGGGGTTGCGTTTGGGAGGCTGGACTTAAGTTCAGCTGACTCCGGTGGTTGCCAAAAATGAAGCGCGGGTCTTTGCCCCAACTGTGTGTGTCTGTGTGTGTCCCTTGAAGTGCGAACCAAAAGGAGGCCAAATATTTGGAGAACCCTCGTGCTGACCACATGCGTGTTCAGGTGGAAGATCCTGTGATCCTGTCGCTGCGGGAGCTCAGGAAGAAGTACCGCGAGGCAGAGTGTGGATGGTAGCCGGTAGTGGGGAGGGTCAAGTTGTTTGGGGCGTTTGGACAACCCGCTGTCACATGCACCAAATGAGCTCCCCTTTCCGTTTCCCAAAAGGAGTATACATCCATTGTAAAGTTGGTTGGCAAAGAGGCAGCCAAGGGATATGAATGAGGGGTATTTTCTTCCACTCATGGCTATGGGGCTGGGGCCCCTGTGGCTGCTCTTTTGGTTTCACCGACGCAAGGGCTATTCCTGCAGAATCACACCTTGAAGGGCCCTCGGCCTTCGACAGACCCGCTGACCCACTGGCTAACCAAGCCAAGCCAGGCCAAGCCAAGCCACCAGACGAAAGCCAACCAGCCAGCCACCCAGCCACACAAACAGCCAACCGATCGCACCCCCCCCCCCTTCATGGCTCCTGAATTCAGGCGCAGCCTGCCGAGCTGGCAGCCTGCCTCAGGACTGTTGATTGCACAGGTCACAAGGGAGTCTGGCACTTTCCAGCCTTCCGTGGTGCCCCTTTTTCTGTTTTGGACGGACTGCACTGTAAAGCTGTAAAATACAAGGTGCCTTTCTTGACATGGCCAATATTAGAGGTGTCTGGGACTTGTGCGAGTCACAATGCCATTCAACAGGGATGGCGCGACATGAAAGGTCGAACCGATTCCGCCGGCCGACCCCCAAACTAAGTCACTAGCTGTCGTGCCATGTGACGGCTGTTGGCAACTTTGGCACTTCGAGTTCTGCCACTGGCTTGCAGGACACTGAGCCAATGCGTTGGCAGAGTGCTCAGCGACCCGCAGGCACAAGTGGTTTCGTGTCAGCAGAGCAGGTGGCCGTTCGGTTGGACAGTTAGCGCTAGAAGGGTTGGGGAAGCGAGGGAAAAAAAAAGACTGGGCGGGGGGTGGGCCTTGGCTAATTTCCCCCTAAAAATCGTGCGGGAGCAGGCCTCTGCCGGTAGTTGTGGCAACACGAACCCTTACAACTTAGGCTGCCTTTTGGTGTGTATCGAAAGGTTTGCCATTCGGGCAGGAGCCGAAGTACCAGCGCATCAATCATGAGAAGTTCAGGACTCCAGAGCTGGCAAAGGAATTCCTGACGCAGTAAGCTGCAAATGTCAGGGAAACTGGCGGGAGTTTGCAGGACAGTTGCCATTTGAAGGGCGGTTTCCTGGACGCCGCCTAGTCAACTGCGTCAAAGGTTTTTTGCAAGCTGCCTTCTGATCATGGCTGCAGGACCCGCGTTGGCCTAGAAGGCGCCGTCGCCGTGCTTGAGGCCCCTGCGCGGCCATGGTGAACGGACCTGGCTTTTCGGGACCAATGAAGGCACTCAATTCAAGTAACTCTTTGTTTGTTGCGGGTTTTGATTTTCTGGTCCGGTAAATGGAAACCACTCCCATATAACCTCCAATTCACTCGCTGATCAGTCATTGTGAGTGTTGTTCACGTCCGCTCAGATCCCCACTCAAAATCGAGGCACGCGTCCGCCTGGATGGTTGCATGGCAAAAGTCCGTATCGTTTTTTTTGGGGGGGGAGCGGGGGGGACGAGGCTTGCCTTCACTCGCTGTCAGGCGATCGGCTTCCTCCAGGAAGGCGAGTTCCTCGTGATGGAGGCGGACTATGCCAGGCGCACGCGTGCTCTTCAAGAAAAAGTTGAAGGAAGGAAAGACCACAAAATTTGCGGGGACGCTAAGAAGAAACTGGCAACTTGGAGAGGTGCCCAGTTTTGACGCATCCCAGCACTGTCGTGAGACGTCGTGAGTGTGTTGTTCAAATGTTTGTGCTAGTGTGTTATTCTTTCGACTGGAGATGCCAGAGAACGACTTAGCCTCTGATGCGCTCGGAAAGCATTGCGGCTCGAAGGACGCAGGGCCTTCGCTTGCGCGATGCGAAGGCTAAGATGGAAGCGCGCAGCCTCAGCGCCCCGCCGCCCGCGGCAAAACAAACTTGGGGGTCTCCTCCAGACCAAGTATGAAACAGACTCAACACATATGTTGTTCTGCGTACCCCAGATGTGGGCCAAGGTTCAAGGAACCTGAACAGAGGCCCCTTTAGCCAAGTTACGTTGTTTTGCAGGCACTCCCTGCAGGTTCTATGTTTGTTTTTGGGAGGATAAGGGCAACGAGAATCGCAGTGGCTTGAAGCGGGCCGTGTCCGACAGAAGGCAGAAGGTGCCCTTTTCAAAGGAAGCTGTCCTCAAAGCCCATTCATTCCTTTGAAATGAACTGGCTGCCAGGTTCAGTGGCAGTGTATTTAGGATGAAGGCGGCTCGTGGTGATCCTCAGGTCTTGCTCAGTGACTTGGAGAGAGCTGGCTTTTGACTGGCGCGCAGCTCGGTGCAGCTCGCGCCAAGCTGCATGTTCCGCGCCAACGGGCTTGCTACATATGGGAATCTTCCCCGCTCGAGGCCAAATGGTCGCAGAGCAGATCTGAGTTAGGATAAGTTTGAGCACTTGAGTCCGCAGAAGCGCAAAAGTCGAAGACCCCGGCGGATCAAGACGTTTCTGCAGCTCAGCAACTCGCGTTTTTGCCTATCCCGCTTGGGTTCAGGAGGGAGAGGTGGCTTGTCTCAAACTGAGGGAGCGCCCTCCATCACAGCTGGTTTCCCTTTGACTTCCCTGGAGCAACAACAGGAGCTACACAGCGGAAGCCCCAAGACAAGAACCCCAGAGTCACCAGGTGGTGCTGCCACGTGCTGCCGCGGGCGCCTGGGCCCAAGGGGACGTCTAGACGCCCCGTCAAGGCACGGCAGGAGGCCATGGCGCTCCTTGCCATGTCCGTGCTCGCGGTGCTGGGCGGTGCGCAGGCGCGGGCGAAGTTGCCTTGCACTGGCCGGGCGGTGATTTGCTTTGGTTGAGCGGTTGAAGGGCTTTGCGGGAAAACCATAGGGGTGGCATTCGCCCGGCTTGGGGCAATTCAAGACAGGCCCGGCAATTATGTTGCCTTCTTGCCTGGCCCTAAGTTCAGGGTTTGCAAGAGGAATTTCAAGGGAAACCCACGACCACGGTGGGGCCTTGTGGGGCCTTGTGGGGCCGTGTGGGGCCTTGTGGGGCCTTGTGGGGGAGGGGACGTGGGGCTGGTCCAGGCCTTTGTGGCGGGCCCGACGGTGCCTGGCATTGCCCGCCCCGGCGCCCCGGCGCTGGGCATGCGGCCGGCACCGCGGCAGGGCCTGGCGTGGCAGTCCTTGGGATGCGCAGGACCCGCGGGCGGTTCGGTCGAAGCATCCGTCCCGATTTTCCCCTCCACTTGGGAGGGACAGCAGGGACTCTTTCTCATTTTTTTATTCAGTTTTTAGTTGTGTCCATTCAGGGAGAGGCAAGACTCACAATAGTGCCATTACTTTTAGGGTCGTCGAATGTCCCTTAATATAAAGGACGGCTACTTGATATGTTGTTTTTGTGTTGGGAAGAGAAACGGGCAGTCTGCGACAGCCTGTTTGGTGACCTTCGCTGGCAGGCCTCGTGATTGCAGGCTTCATGCGCTCGCGGCGCAGAGAAACGGCCACGACCATGTTCTTCCACCGGAAGTATGGCGGCCCCATCAAGAAGGACGGGGCCTATTGCATGGCTCACCGATTCGGGGGGCAAAACGAGCAAGCCATGACGTAGGTCCTTTATTTCAGGTTTTGGAATCATGGCAGAATTTGCAGATGCGTGCTGTGGTCAAAACACACCTGTATTGGGGCTTTGGGCTGGCCATGAAAAACAACTAGGGTTCCAGACAACCACAAGGATGCCCAGAAAGGGCACCATGACCATGGGGGTATCTTTGGCACCATGACAGAGACAAACAACGACAGACAGAGAGAGACAGACAGAGCCTGAGCTGTTTCTTTGTAATTTGTCCGCTGTCTGGAGGGGCGCCTTGCGACGCCACGAGCGCGTCTCAGGACCCAGATGCAGAGTTCGGGCCACAGTACCACGGCCCCAAGGCTGGCTGACTGCGATTGGTCTAAGCCGAGTCCACACCCTACCTGCAATTGAAGCCTGGGCAACTTGCAAAGAACATTGAGGCGTCCGCATCTAGCTCGCGGGAAGGATGCGTTTGGGTGTCTTTCAGGGATACTTTTGGGGTTGACTTTGAGGGGAAGCAAAAGGGAAACTACACTGACTGAGGGGTTCCTCTCTTTGAACACCCGTTTCGGAGCTGCGAGGGCACGGGCGGCATCCAGCGCAGCTCGCGCTTGGGCTTCCCCAAGTGGGGGCAGCAACGCGTGATCCCTAAGCTCAGCGGTGCTTCCTACGCGCGCCTGGGCCAACTTTCGCTAGCACCCGGTACGTCAGCATTCGGCCCCAATCGGGGTTTCTTTCGAGCACCATGAAGGGTCCAAATCCTACCTTTGCTGGCTTGCTTCGGTTCTTCGAACCCAGACAGACATAGGGTTGTCATTTGGATGGCCCACAGAGGACTTTGACCAAGGCAAGTCGCGCGATTTTAAGGTACAGGAAGGCTATGATGCGGAATCTCACCACTCAGATCATCCGCCTGGGCCGCATCAAGACCACCCGAGCAAAGGCAGAGGCGGGAAGAGGTGAGCCTCACCAGTGGTAGACATGGTAGACGCACATCTCGGCGGAGCCAGACGCGTTGCTACAGACTCTATGAAGAGCCCAGCTTGCTTTGCCCATGCGGCATGCCGCAAGAGTTAATTTTGTTCTGCGGAAGGACTTCGGGGGTGGGGTGCTTTGACAGTCCATGCTTTGCACCTGACATAATCACCGCTCGTTTGCTTGGGAAGGACAGCAATCTCCGCTTAGGTCCAACAGGTCATGTCAAGAGCTACTCAGAATTTTGGCCTGGGCTCCAGGGGCTGTCCCTACCTTCTTGAACAAATGCCTGGCCTGTTGGTGCAAACGCTCTGTGTGTAATGTTGACCTGCACCCCAGGGTTTCGGCAATGAACCGGTTGGGATCCTGTAGGAAACCAGTGGTTGTTTTGGAACAGATTTCAGAGGTCTATCGGAATCTGACAACTCAGAAACCATCCCGCGAGGCTCTGACCCACTTTGTGGACCGCATGATCCTGCTGGCGAAGCGCGGGGACGACCTCTCCAGGCGTGAGGCAGGCGAATGGCTCTTCGACGAGAGCCCTGGCAAACTGGTCGGACGGGAGGGCTGTCCGAGAGGGGGAATTTCAAGTGCCCTGCCTCCAATCATGGAAGCTGGCAGGAGGGTTTTGGAAGACTAATTGCCTTCCTTTTGGGGAAGTCCCAAACCTCCACTTCCAGGATTATTGGAAGGTAGGGACCCCTTGGCGGACTTACCATTTACGTATATTTACGGTTGGGCTCATGCCCTGCTCACCAACCATACGGAGGCTTTCATTGGTAACATAACGAGCTCAGAATTTCATGAGAGGCGAAGAGCATTTGCCTTACACAGCAGCCCTCGCAAGATGCATTTGGTTCAAAAGAGTGTTTGCATCAAGACTCAACTCTAGGATCCCTATTTTAGGCACACGTTGAAACTTCACTGTGGAAACTCGGTGCAGAGGGTTGTGACAACCAAGGAAGCTCGTGGACAACCTCTTCAAGTTGGCAGCTTGCCTGCATTTCAGCCTTTCGAACTGAGTTATGAATCTCAACAGAGGAAGCCAACAGGGGCTGGACAACGCAAAATTCCCATTGTTGCAATCGGTTTGGCAATGCAGAAGGTCAAGAGAGCTAATGTGTGCCGAGGCACCCGAACGCTACCCAGATCAGGAGGGAGATTTCTGCAAAGTGACGCGAACCATGAACCGAAAGGGCGATTGGTCGGAGATGGCCTACATCGAGCTCCTCTAAAGCAGATTCTCAAACACATTGTCATAAAATATGCCATAATATAATATATATATATAATATATTATTATATATCTATAAATTCAAATAATACAATTTGAATAATTTAATATTTATATATATATATATTACTCCCTCTTGAAATACTTAGGTTTTGGGTTAGAATTGAGGTTTTTTTTTTAGATTGGGGATAATAAATTCCTTATAACTCTGAGATGAATTGATTGGACACTTAATTTTATGGAAATTCTAACTAAGCAGAAATTAAGCTGAATGTTGAAGGAATTATGAGTTGTATGATTGTTATATTGGTGTGTACGAAATATATTTTAAATTATATTGGAATATGCAAAATTTATTTTGGTAGTTTTATTTTAATAAGCATAATTATTTAATATAACAAAAATGTATGAAATATGTTTTGGTTTTATTATTGTGTGTTTTTTATTTTTATTTGGTTGTGAAATTTAGTATTTTTACTTTATATTTTGATATATTTGTATTTTTATGTTAATTTGAGTGTATGTTATAAAGCAATGATCTTATATGTGTGTGTTACTTGTTTAATTTGGTTCTATTATTATTAATAACAAATATTGAAATTCAAGTAAGGGAAGGATATTTAATTTAAAACGTTTTTGAGTTTAAACCAAATTTAAATTTATTCGTTTGGTTATTTATACATTTTAAGAGAAGATGGCTATTGTCTTTATCGAACTCTATGTGGTTTGAACTTAAACTAAGTCAATGTTTGGAATATACTTTCAATTATAAATCTTATTATTGGTATAAATTCTGTAAAACATAGTGTTTTTCAGCATTTGCTTAGATCGTATTGCCTTAGATCGAAGATCGAATATACAAAATTCCATAAATATATATTTAGAACATCCTAGGTTTTGCCCCTTACATTCAAGATTGAAGATCTACTAAATTTTCCATTAAGAATCTTCCATCCTAGTCACTCAAATCCACACAAAACCTGTAAAGATATCAACAACATTTTTCCCCCTGGCCAAATGCAGGTGCTTAGCAGTGCAAGTGCACATCCACAATTTGATTCTAATAACGTCCACTCCGGGTATGCCTTTTAGATTCTTCAAATCTGCACTTAGGGCAATCCAAGATCTAAAGATTGAAGATTCTCTAACAAATCTTTCTAAAATTCTCCAAATATGTACTTAGGGCAATCCAAGATGTGCCAGCACATGCTAGCACATCCTGGATTGAAGATTAAAGATTGAAGATTCTCGGGCCATTTGTTCTGAAAATCTTCAATCCTTAGCACAAATTGATATGTGCTAGCACGTGCTAACACATCTTGGATTCAAGATTGAAGACCAGAGAGAGTTGTCAAAGAATCTTCAATCTTCAGTCCAAGATGTGCTAGTACGTGCTAGCACATATCAATTTGTCCTAAGGATGGATTAAAGATTTCCAGAACAAGTGGTCTCAGAATCTTCAATCTTCACTCTTCAATTCGGGATATGTGTTAGCACGTGCTAGCACATCCTGGATTAACCTAAATACCGATACTAGAATTTAAGTCTAAAATGGAGTGCATTTTTGGAGCCTATTTTTTAGAAGCTAGAACGTGTGTTTTGCATGCATTTTTACAGCCAAAATGTCAATTTCTGGCCAAAAATTTGAGTATTCCAGGGGGGGGGGGGGGACCACATATATATATATATATATTTATTCATGATATTGAATTTATTTATCTTTTGATATTATAATATAATAAGCCCAAATTTTATGAGATTTATTATTTATTTAATTTTATATTCTGCTATAAATCGGTGCGGCCTCGGGGTCGCATTTCGCACCGGTGCGGCCTCGGGATCGCATTTCGCACGCGCCGCAGAGCCGTTGTAGCAGTACTCCGGCCGGATCGTCGTGCTTGCGGCGAGCGACTATGTTGTTCTCCGCGGCACAAGCTCCTACCTCTTAGCGCGGCCCAGAAGTCCCCGAAATGTTGCCGAAATTCGGGGGGTTCTTCAAATCTTCGCTTAGAGTTCTCGTTGTATAACCTAGCCAAATTTTCTCAAATGTTAGATCGTTTCCGGCCATACGGCTATCAGATCTCCAAACATTACCCCCCACAAATTTCTTCGGAATTTAGCGGCTTTCCGAAAAAATAATAGGTCAAATTTCCGGAAAATTTGGGGACCTACCCAATACGAAATTTCTCGAATATTTTGTGCTTTCCTTCTTTCCCTTTTTCCCTCTTTCCCTCAATCCCTCTTTCTCTTTATCTCTCTGTTTCTCTCTTTTTCTCTTTCCCTCCTTCTTTTTTCTCTCTTTCTCTGTTTCTCTCTAATTCTCTTTCTCTCTTTTTCTCATTCTCCTTTTTCTACGTTTGTCTTTTTCTCTCTTTCTCTCTTTCTCTCTTTCTTTCTTTCTCTCTTTCTCTCTTTCTCTCTTTCTCTCTTTCTTTTGCTCTGTCTCTTCGTCTCTCTCTCTCTTTAATTCTTTGTCTTTCTGTCTCTCTGCCTCTCAGCCTCTCTGCCTCTTTGTCTCTCTCTCTCTGTCTCTCTGTCTCTCTGTCTCTCTGTCTCTCTGTCTCTCTGTCTCTCTGTGTTTTTCTGGGTCTCTATGTCTCTGTCTCTCTCTGTGTCTCTCTCTCTGTGTCTCTCTCTCTGTGTCTCTCTCTCTGTGTCTCTCTCTCTGTGTCTCTCTCTCTGTGTCTCTCTCTCTGTGTCTCTCTCTCTGTGTCTCTCTCTCTGTGTCTCTCTCTCTGTGTCTCTCTCTCTGTGTCTCTCTCTCTGTGTCTCTCTCTGTGTCTCTCTCTCTGTGTCTCTCTCTCTGTGTCTCTCTCTCTCTCTCTCTCTGTGTCTCTCTCTCTGTGTCTCTCTGTGTCTCTCTCTCTGCTCTGTCTCTCTCTCTGTCTCTCTCTGTGTCTCTCTCTTGTCTCTCTCTGTCTGTGTCTGTCTCTCTCTCTGTCTCTCTCTGTGTCTCTCTCTCTGTCTCTCTCTCTGTGTCTCTGTCTCTCTCTCTGTGTCTCTCTCTCTCTGTGTCTCTCTCTCTGTCTCTCTCTCTGTGTGTCTCTCTCTGTGTGTCTCTCTCTCGTGTGTCTCTCTGTCTGTCTGTCTCTCTCTCTGTCTCTGTCTCTCTCTGTGTCTCTGTGTGTGTCTCTCTGTCTGTGTCTCTCTTCTGTGTCTCTCTGTGTGTGTCTCTCTCTGTGTGTCTCTCTGTGTGTCTCTCTGTGTCCGTCTGTGTGTCTCTGTGTCTCTGTGTCCGTCTGTGTCCGTCTGTGTCCGTCTGTGTCTGCCTGTGTCTGTCTGTGTTTGAAAGAAATGATTAAACAAGAAGAGAGGTGAATGAATATACCTTTCCCTTTCTCCTGGCTGTTGGCTATGTCGTGGGAAAGAATGATAGGTTTATAATAGTCAATTGTCTATCTGGGATTTTGGAGGTTGGCGAAGGAATAGACCCAACGGATGAAAGAAATTAGGGAATAAAGAATAGATTCTATATCAGCTTTCTCTTTGCTTAGCTGGAAATAAGAAGGACAAAAAATAAAGACAGAATAATGAAAAAGAATGGTATGTCCTAACAATTGGACCAAACGGTAAATTCATTACCTTCCATAAATTCTTTAAAACCATATGTAATTATTAATAAAACATACCTCCAATTAATTATTCTTTCCTCATCATTCATCTTTCTTTATTATTATCTGCCTTCAAAATCAAAAAAACAATTATAAATAAATAAATCTCATATTAATAAAATCAAAATTCATTTTTCATAAACATATTAATCCTTTATTCTTATTTATTAAAATTATCCAAAGATAAATAAACACAAGAAAATCTAATATTAAAAAAAAAAATCCAATTTATTAATGAGTTTCTATCTTAATCATATCCTAGTCAAGTAATCATAGAGATTATATAATCAATAATTATTATAATTCAATATAAAATTAATAATTAAATATTTTTTGTAGGAAGTAATATTAGAAATATAAATATTATTATTTGGATATAATTTATATTCTATAATTTGTACTTCTTTTATTGTTGTTTGTTCCTTTTTTTTTTAAAAAAAAAATATATATTTTATATATTTATAATTAGTTTTTTATAATATTAATATTTTATTATTTGTATTTTGTTTATAATTTTTAATTATTTAGTTTTAATTTTCAATTTATCGCCCAAAAAACAACCTCAAAACCCAACCCCTAATTTTGCGGGTATCTCAATACACAACTAAGAAATTCATCAATCCCCATATAATGATGTATCAATCTCCTATATCCTCTTTTTCCCTCTTTGGTAAAAAAAACATATTCCTACAATTTTCAATTATATTTTTTTCAATTTTTTAAAAAACATATATCAAATAATAATTATATATATATATATATATAAATTACCATACCATAGACCCCAAATAAGAAAACACATGCCAACGATTGCATGCCAGCACCTCTAATAACACTACACCAAGAACACCTCAACTAACACCCGAAACAACAAAAACCCTCCCAATATCAACAAGAATCCGCCCACACCATCTCTTCAAATACCGCCTCCAAATAATACTCCCAACCGTCAATCTTACAAAAATACACCCACGCCATCGCCATCACCAACACCTCAAACAACACCCCAAGCAATATCCCAAAACAACACCATACCAGCACTGCCCCCTAGCACCCCACCATCAATCTTGCAAAAGTGCGCCCGCATCGTCGTCTACATACCTCCTAGCAATTATCAATCTTGCAAATCATTTTTCCTTCTTTATTAGAAGCTAACACCCCTATAATCTCCGTGCCTAAAGTGGCGCTAAGTTGTGGGCAGGCGAGATTTCATCTCCCGACTCTGTCTTACTATTTATATTTTCCAGCATCCTGATTTAAAGTTACAAGCAGAATTACCTTTTGTACTTTTTAATAATCAATATAATTATTATTAGTTTTATTATTATCCTTCATATTAAGAAATAATATACTATAATGGTAATTATCGTCACCCATTATGAATCAATGCTAGGCATCGTTAGGGATACATGGGATGCTATGATAATTACCGGCCGTTCGGCCAGTTGGCCGCGGCTGGATAAGGCCTCGCCCCCTTCTTTTGTGCTGAAACGTCCCTGCACCCGCGGGCGAAGGCTTTGCGGGTTTGTTTAGGTTATTTTTGGCGACTTTTCTAGCATCTCCCCGCGGAAGCAAACAGCCAACTTTTTTTGGGATCCATCCACCCCTCCTTCCCTCCCTCCCTCCCTCCCTCCCTCCATCCATAGCTGTCCGGCATCCATTCATCCATCCATCTATCCTTCCTTCCTCCCTCCGTGCCTTCCTTCCGTGCCTTCCTTCCTTGGCTTTTTTTTCTTGCTTCCTTCCTTCCTTCCTTCCTTCCTTCCTTCCTTCCTTCCTTCCCTTCCCCTCCTTCACTTCCATCCCTTCCTTCCTTCACTTCCATCCATCCGGCATCCATCGCGTCCATCCATCCATCCCGCGACATGCGAGGCCGTCGCGCGGAGCGCGAAAATAAATATGTGCCAATTTCAAAATATATTTCCAACGGCCAACACCTATAACTATTTTCCTGTCCAATCCCAAAGGATTCACCCATTGCTCACAACATCTACGGCCCGCCTGGCGAATCCTGGCACAGGCAGTGGACAGCTCACACGCTGCAACCCTGATCATGCATGCAGTTCAGCAATTAAAAACGTATGCAGAAGAGGTCTCTTGGTCAAGTCTCTTGATTTAGAAACATTGAGATCCCGAGGCGCACAGTGCAACGCAGGAAGCTGGCAGGCGTGATGAGACTCGCACTGGCCTGTCCAGGCCCGTGCACGCCCTCTGCCCAGAACGACCTCAGAGTCGCCGGCACGCGCTGCATGGCAGGCCACGCTTTTAGGCCAGCAAGGCGAGTACTTTTCGGTCTGCAAACCTTTGGCGCAGCTTGAAGGGTCAAACATCGCCGACCGACTGTACATCAGCGCCATCACTCAAACCCTTAGGGCATGAGCTGGCGTGAGGGTATACCCCAGGAAAAAAACAGCGCGACAGCACAGCTTTGGCTGGAGATGCCCCAGCTTCCAGCAGCCTTCGAGGCAAGATGCATCCACTGACCAAACCAACAAAGTCGGCTTTGAGTCGCAGGCTGAAGGCAACAGGATGCTTTTAAGAAAAGCGACTACGGAAGGCTCTGAGGCATTTCCTGCTTGTGCTGGCACCTTTCCAGCAGCTCAGAACCCCTCTGAAGCTTGGGCGGGAAGGTGCTTGTTCATCTTTGATGCATTCAAGCCATGCATCGGTTACATTACATCTGGCTTGTATCTGCAATGCCCATGGCTCCACACGTGCCAATGGACCAATGCACAATCGAATTGGCATGAAAGGTCGACCCCTTCATACTAAAATCGTGCTAACCCCCAAGGGGCGTTTGTTCAGCTCCTCCGCTGAGGCTGAACCTCAGGAACTCATCCTGTCGCGATCGCACCCATGGGGCCCCTGCACCCAGGGAACTGCGGGCGCCCTTGGACACCGCCAAAGAAATCCACCTTTGTCTGGTCTTAGTCTCCAAGTTGGATCCATAGCTCGCTCGTGGCTACCCATGGGGTCTTGCTGCAGCCAAGCCTCTGGAGCTGCTCCCTCTGACCAGGAGCAAAGCTTCCTGGGATCGCAGCTGGTCACGCATGTATGTAGATGCATGTGTGCATACATTATTATTTTCTTCGGGGGGGCTGCAGATCCAAATACTTTTCTTGGGGGTGCAGTGTCGCTCATGTCTGCCAGGGCTCAACTATCTGCGGCTGGATTCGGAGCCTCACACGTACTGAAGAGAAACTCCAAGAAAAGCAGAATCAAAGCCAAGCAATTATGGGAAAGCGCGGGACACATGAGTGTGTGTGAAATGGGGGGAGGGGAGGGGGATCCCAGAATTGTAGTTTTTCGACAAACTAAGGACAGGACTCAAAAAACAAACCCCACATGCCACATGCCAATACGTGCTGCCGCGCGCTTTTTGCTCCCAGTGCTGCCACGGCGCCTGGATGCAAACTCCCGGACTTGGTCATCGGTTTTGCTTTGCAAATCCTGCACGGCTGTTGGCAACACTTCACCCAGCTGCGTGAGTGACATGCTGAGTCAGGGATATGCGTGGGTGGCATGATTCATGCCCACACAGGTTCACTTAGTTTGACCTGTGCAGGTGCATCATGTGCAGGACAGTCCGCAACTTCTTCGCTTCGCCTTAGCTCAGCGGACCATCGCGGAGAGTACTATACCGATATCGCTCATGGATTCTCCTGGGCCAAGAGGGCAACTGGGCTTTCGCCGCAAAAGAACATGTGTCGCCGTGTTGCCATGATCTTCGATCCTGCTTCTGCCTGTCAACCGGACCGGGTGGCTGCCGTACCGGCCATCCAAAGCAACAAGGAAATAGAGCTGCCCAACAATTTGCACACAGCAAATCCAGTGGGGATCAGCCGCATGAATCTGTGCCATCGCGTCTCAAAGAAAGCGCTGCTGGTTTCAAACCAAAACGGACAAAGTGTCCATTGGCGACAAAGTTTGGTTGTTGCCTTGGTTGAGCATGTCCCCCCAACTAACTTCCACGGGCAAGTTCAAACCCCAGGGAAAACAAGTTGACTGGGCTTTCATGCCCCCATGTCTGCCACACATGGTGCCAACGCCAGCGTGGCTTTGGTACCTGCGTTTTCCTACAACTCGCTTGCACAAGCAACACGACAGTAAGTCCAATTTCGCGTGGACGAAATGCTTACTGGCTTTGAACCATCGTATGGCTGGACCAAGTTTTGGCTGACCATGTTTGCTGAATTGAGTTTGGCAATGCATGTCACAAACTCAACAATCGATTATCCATCTCAACTATAGACAACATTCCATGATGTCATTTTGCCTCCAGCCTGCGTTTCACATAGGAGCTACGTGCAATGGCAGTCTTTGGCGCCAAATGGAAAGCGAAACTTTGCCTGGTCGCACATCTGCTTGTTTTCAGGCCGCTTTTGGCCGCTTTGCAAAGTTTGTCCGGCATAAGAAACAAGCTCTTATGGATTCACGGCATGTTGCTTATCACTTGGCGAGCAGGTGCGTGGTGGTCATGGCAGCTGTCATGAGCGAGCAATCTAGAGCGGGTCTGCGGTGCGCTCATCATTTTGCCAAACATGTGATGCAAACGAGGACACACAACACCTGACCCAAACATGTTCATCCCAACTAGCGAGCGTCTGCCAACTTTCGTGTTGTTTCCCAAGGCCTTGAATTGGCTTGCAGCTCAGAATGCTTGCCAAGGATTTGACCGCGCTAGAAGAGAAATAAGCACAGGTGATATCCCCAACAGCATGAGGTGCTTTTCGTGGAACCCTGGTGGAATGGTGGAACCCTTGTGGAACCCTTGTGGAACCCTGGTGAAACCCTGGTGAAACCCTGGTGGAACCCTGGTGGAAACTTACCTCAGGGCTGAGACCCCAAAGCTTTCAGCTGTTGGGGAATAAACTTGAATTTGGGCTGGGGACATTCTGGCGGACATCATCAGGATAGGAATTTCTGTCCAACACCTATTTACGCGGGGGTTCCCATTAATATATCAGCAAGCAAACACGTAGCTAATAGAAGCATGCAACACTTTTAGAGAGTTGCTTCACCTGCCAGCTTCGCCTGCCAATTTGTCGATTGCCAATTCACCTGCCAACTTCTCCTGCAAGCTTGTCGGCTGCCACTTCACCTGCCAACCTCTCCGGCCGACTTTTGGAGAGTTCATTCACCTGCCAACTTCGCCTGCTAACTTTTCGAGGGTTACTTCACCTGCCAACTTCAGCTGACTTTTCGTTTGCACCTTCTCTTCTCGAGTCGTATTTCTGCTTTGTTTCATTCCAGTCCGGAAGCGAGCTATCGAAACGCACCTCGGCAAACCCTCTGCGAAAATCGTGTGTGTCGAAGTGCTCTCGCTGTGGCGCTGTGTCAATGCGGTTCTATCTTGGCGAGCCCTCTGTGGAGATCGCGCATGAAGAAACGCTCTCTCTGTGGCGCCGTGTGAAATTTTATTGACCTCGGTGAACCCTATGCGGGGACCGGGTGTTCTCGCTGTGGCGCCGTGCTAATTTGCTCATGCTCCGGCTTGAAACTCGCAACTTTCTAAGTACGGAAGTAAGCCAAGGAACTTCGCTTCTCCAGCCGGTTGAAAATTGCAAGCGTTAGCACGAACGCAGTGCGCAAAGTACACTTCTCCAGCTGCCGCTCAACAATAGCAAGTTTCAAGCACGAAAGCAATCGCAACTTTCAAACACGAAAGTAGTGCTCTAGCGCACTCCCGCAACAATGCCAGCAAAAGGAGCTGAGGCGTTTCTGTTGTTTGTTTGGGTTTTTGGATGTCGCGCAAAGCCGATTGAAGCCAATCTTCCAGCTGCGGCTTAAACATCGCATCTGTTAAGTACGAAAGACGCAAGCAAAGTGTGCTCCCGCAGCTGAAGCTTGGACAGTGCAACACTTTTGAGTCCGAAAGCTGTATGCGAAGTACGCCTTCGCAGCTGCAGCTTGAATATCTAACTTGGAAATCGCGGCCAGCTTTTAGCTACAACAAAAGGAGCTGGACCATACGTAAAGTCATGTACGTAGATATACGTAAATTACCACTCACGCAATCTCGAGTTAGATGCGCAGCACTCGTCACCCAAAACCACATTTGCATAGGGTCGAGCAAAGGCCCTGGTCGCAACTAACGTGTTTCTATGCTTCCAGGCCAGCCATCGTATAGCTTTTTTTGTCAAATGAACGCAAAGCAAATCATCAAATCGCACCCCTTCTCACCCCATTGCGCATGCCCGATGCCCGCACATCGCCTCAACTGCCGGGCGCGCTTCACGGCCAAACGCCGCCTGATGGCAGACCTTGGCGACTGGTTCCTACATTCTCTAAGAAACCACTTGGAAGTTCTACAACAAGTCTGCTACCACACCCAAAAAGTGTTGGTTGAATCTCTGCAGTATTTGGCCCTGCGCAAGTTTCATGGCAGTGGGGCCCGAGCTGAATCCGAACCACCACCTGCATAAACTTTCGGAAGTTCATGGACAGCACCGGGCGGAGCTTATCCTCAGAAACATTTCCATGCTTTCCAGAAGGCATGGTCATAGCCCTCGAGTACCGCCCATGCCCTCAAAAGCGCGAAGCTGAGCAGGAGACATCTGTCATGTATTCCAGGACGAACTTGCGATACTCCTCAGGGTGAGCATGTGTGGGCAAGTTTGGATGGCATGGAGACTGGCAATCGGCCAATCGCAAGCCCTTGTTTGGGGTGCATATGGGAATGCGGATGGAGAACCAAAGGTGTCCAGTTCGGTCTTGATGTGTTGCCTGTGTTCGGGGGTCCATCACCTGTTGGGACCTTGGCACAAATGGACCACAACAGGGAACACCAATAGGTGAGAAGGTTGGCTTCACAGTCACAAGGCTCACCTTTGGGTTGGGAACCTGAAAGTTTCAAAAGGGCCGATTTGCTTTGGGCTGACCTGAAAGCGCTCGGCGAGTCCTCGAACTCGCGGCCCTTGGTATCCAGGATGCATGGCCCCAAGAACCTCGGGGCACAAACAACAGGGACGAAGGAGGCGATACCCACGGTGGCACCCCCGAAACACCCACCCCCCAAACAGAGGAGGTGTTTGGAGGGCAGGGGGGACGGTTCATCAGTCAAAACACCGGCCGGAAGTATGGCATCCCCTAATTGAGGCTCTTCGTCATGGGTGAGCTCATGTTGTCCCTGGACTCGTCACCTGGAGCCTTGGCCCAAACAAACGCTTGAACACATGGTGGCTTGAACGAATCTAAACTAGCATGGGTTCATCCTCAATGTCCCTTTTGAGTGGGGGATTCCCTTCCTTCAGGATCGCCCTCAGATGCCAAGAGTTCATCAGAGTCCGCTCATACCGGCCCGGGGGCCAGTGGTAGAACCGCATAAACTCTGTGGCAGCTTCCTCACGGCTGCTTGCATAAGCTCCACAAGCCCACAAAGGTCACACGTGGGCAAACACTTGAGTGGGGACATGAACACTGATGTCCAGTTTCCCACCCAAATTGAGGTCCAACAATGTCCACTTCAGCCTTGGTTCCCGGCCCACTAGTATGGAACCTGAGGGAAGCATCCTTGCAAACATTGTTTCCTGTGAGTTCCTCTTGCTGGGCACCCATTTTAAGGGGTTCCTACCCATCTTGACAGTCCTGGCTGGTGAACTTCGCATGCTCCGAGTACGCGAGCTCTTTGGCGCTGACAGACCCTCCCCCCAGGCGCGTGGCCTGGCTTGGGGCAGTGCACGGAGCGTGACTTGCCTCTACAGCGCCCAGAATTAGCTTTCCCCCCCAACCCCCAAAAACAGCTCTGCAATAGTCCATGGTGTATCTCGGTGAGGTTTCCTGCTTCGGGACACTTTGGCCATGTTGCCCTGCTTAGCAGCATGGCGCACCAAGCCGCAGCGTGGCTTTGCCAGCGCAGTTGGGCTCTCGTTTGCGGCTTGGCAGCTTGTGACAACCGCAACAATTGTCTCGGACCGGCAAGCCAACACAATGCCACATTGCGTACTATGATGTCAGAAAAAGTTCCACAAATCGCCCTTTCTGAGCCTGGATCGCCTTCCCAACGCCCAGCCTCTATGTGCGCCACAATGCTGCGAGTGGACGGCCATCCGTAGTGCAGTGACAAAATGCCCCGTGCCTTGGCTGGGCCATTCTGGCCCGACTGCGGAACCTTTCAAACGGAGTTGCCCTCAAAGAAAGGCCAAGGCAAAGCAGCCATGCAGCAGGGACATGCCAGAGAACTCAGTGTTCCGTCAATGTGCGTGCATCGGCAAATGGTCATCAAACGAGATGTTTGTTGAAGGGTCGAAATCCCTACTGATGAGCCTCTAATATGGCTGGCTCTGACCGTTGTGTTGACAGGTTGAGGACATCGATCAGCCGTGGTGCTGCCAAGCAAAACATGTCCTGACAAATGCTTCGCACTTCACGACGTTCATCGGTCTCCTGCCGGCAGGCGCGCGTTCCATTGGTGGCCAGCATCGCTCGATCCATGCTCGCCTGCTTCACCCTGAGGAAACTTTCCACAATGATGGCAAGCAGAATGTTCAGCGACACAAGGAAAAGCAGGAAAGTGTACCTTGCTTGCTGCGAAGCCATCCACGCATCTCCACGCGTTGCAGCTTGGAGCTTTTGACTTCGAACCCGTTGTTTGACAATGGCTCACTTGGTGCCCACTGAGAGTAGTAGGTGCTTGTGCTGCCAAGGTCACAGCACGTACCAAATCTTCTGCGGCCAACCTTCCGTCCATTCATCCTGGCAGTCACAGAGCTATGGTCTCGCAATCTCATCACTTGCCCAGATCGCAGCTTTCTGTGGCATCACAACAAAACCAAACAACAGAAGCAAGTGTGTAAAACGTCGACACTTATATAATTCAACTTCTGCCCAGGAGGCCACCAAGCCCTTTTGAGGAATATAAACCCTTTGCAACTCCCATTCTGCCAGACAATACAACGGAAGCCGCCCCAAGTCCTCGAATGGGTATTCTCCGATCAGCATCCTCGGTAATGGGCTGGCCCTCTCTGGGCCAATATGCTGTGTGCTATGGTGACTACTTTGAATTTGGCATTCTATCCCAAAAGGAGATTCATTCGGGGGTTGCTATGCTGAAGGCTTTGTGTGACAAGTTGAGGAGTACCCCCCACTCACCCGGAACAGCCAAACACCTTGAATGCCAGGCGGCTGAAAGCAGGTGTTTACAGAGGTCTGGAATGTGGAGAACATGATCCTTGGCGGGCCGTGCCAAATATGCCGAATACTCCAAGCAGCACGCAACGATGGAAGGACGGAACGGACGGGACTGAACTGCCAAGGGTCTTGTCTGGTCCGAAGGACCAATGGGCCAGCCAGGCAAGGATCGAAAAAACGGACCTGAGCTGCGCTTCCTGTCGCATCCGAGGGCAAACGATCGCATCGGAAGCCCTGGCTAGCCAATCAGCAAATGATACAGCCCACGGCCATCCCTTAATATGCCGAAGCTTTGGAAAGGCATCAATCTGGGGATGAGCTGGCGGGCCTGGTATTACAAGCTATAACGGATATTTTCCCAAACATCCCTGCAACCTTGTGGAATGCGATCTGCCGAGCATCAAGAAAATGAGGAAGAAGTGGAACATGTCCCCAGCGGCAGTCTTGACAGTGCGAGCGATCAAGTCAATGCGCGGGTGCACTTCCATGTACTGGATAAGCCCTGAGAGAGCCAACCAATACCACAATCCCTTGACAATGGAGGTGCGTGCCATTGCATCACCATGCACAGTGATATTATTGAAAGAGCGGAAGCCCTAGAATCGACTGCGTGGCTTTGAGCGCATCTGTATGCGGCCAAACTTCTCAGAAGGCACATGAAGACAATCACATACGCGATAAGCTTCATCATCTCCTGTGGATGCATGCGCGTTCTGGCCAGGAATGCAATTGCTGAGGCCCTCGGCGCAACCCTGAGGAACTACGCCGGCCTGTCGCGCCACGGTTGTCTTGATGACGCCGAGGGTGTCGAAGGAGCCGTTGATCGCCATCTCCACGGTTGCTCGACTTGTCGGGTCATCCTTGGGCAAACTTTGGAACTAGGGCGGATAGGCCCTGTGACAGGAGTCTGGGGGCACGGTCTGCGTGTGGCATCAAGCATTGTGGCTGCGGTGCCTTTTTGGCCAAGCTGCCACATCCAAGATCTGGTGTAGCAAGTCCAGCAGGCCGGTCATGGTCCTCAGGTGACAGGTTGCAAGCTGCAAGTCTGAGGCAAAAGCGGCAACACGCCAAGAGGCGTATCTTCACCGGCCACCTTCGAGAGCAGGTCAACAGCGCCAAAGGCACCCAGCCTCATGGCATTGTCCAAAAGTGGTCTTTGCTGGGGCACTTCATTAGCTTGGAATCAGCGCCAAGCCGGCCCTGAGAGCTCAGTGTGCCGAGGGGCATCAATAGAAGGAGGCCATCGAAAGAGAAGAAGCGCTTCTGCCCCCTCATGCTCTTAACAAACTTGTGGCAGATCTGGGCAGACACGAGCATCAGGAAAGCGGTCCTCATCTCAGAACCCAGCCAGACGCCATTCTCCAACGATTGGGGATGCGTTTTGATTGCCTATACGGCAAAAGCTGGCAGGTGACACAAGAGGGCTACCCCAACTGTCGTTCCGCGACAATGGTGGTTTACGGTGGGTCTCCCTCGAAATGGGTGCCTTCCAAAAAAGCGAACGCGCACCAACACACAGCAACACACTCACAAACAAGCACACACACAAACACAAATACGCCCACAGACCCATGAACACACCCACAACAACACAAACTAACAAACAAACCAACAAACCAACAAACCAACCAACCAACCAACCAAGCAACCAAGCAACCAAGCAACCAACCAACTTGCAAACAAACAAACAAACAAACAAGCACGCACAAACAAACAAACAAACAACCAACCAAACAAACAAACAAAGCAAACAAACAAACAAACAAACAAACAAACAAAGCAAACAAACAAACAAACAAACAAACAAACAAACACACACACACACACACCCACGCACACACACACACACACACACACACACACACACACACACACACACACACACACACACACACACACACACACACACACACACACACACACACACACACACACACACACACACACACACACACACACACACACACACACACACACACACACACACACACACACACACACACACACACACACACACACACACACACACACACACACACACGCACCAACACGCGCACACACACACACACACCAACACACACCGACACACACCGACACACACCGACACACGTATACACACGCACTAACACCCACGCACACACACACACACACCAACACACACACACACACAGCCGCACATACACACACACAAAGACACACACACACACACACACGCACACACACACACAGGCGCGCGCCAACACACACACACACGCACACCAACACACACACACAAAGACACGCACACACACACACACAAACACGCACAACTATAGGTACACGCTCACACACACAACACGCACGCACGCACGCACGCGCGTACGAACACACACACACACCAACACACACACAGCCCCCCACACACACAGAGACACACACGCACACACACACATGCACAGACACAGACACAGACACAGACACAGACACAGACATAGACACAGACACACACACACACACACACACACACACACACACACACACACACACACACGCACGCACGCACGCACGCACGCACGCACGCACGCACGCACGCACGCACGCACGCACGCACGCACGCACGCACGCACGCACGCACGCACTCACGCACGCACGCACGCACGCACGCACGCACGCACGCACGCACGCACGCACGCACGCACGCACGCACGCACGCACGCACGCACGCACGCACGCACGCACGCACGCACGCACGCACGCACGCACGCACGCACGCACGCACGCACGCACGCACGCACGCACGCACGCACGCACGCACGCACGCACGCAAACACGCACGCACACGCACACGCACACGCACACACACACACACACGCACCCACCTACGCACGCACCCACGCACGCACGCACCCACGCACGCACCCACGCACGCAGGCACACACGCACACACGCACAAACGCACGCACACACACACACCGCACGCACGGCACACGCGCGCACGCGCACACGCGCACGCGCGCACGCGCACGCACAGGCCCACACGCACACGGACACGCATACGGACACGAAAACGCACATGAATGCACGCGCAACACGCACACGCCCAACATCCACACACGCGCAGAATCGCGCACACGCACCACACAACACGCAAACCCAACACGCACGCCCAACACGCACACCCAACACGCACACCCAACACGCTCATTCAACTCACACACCCAACATGCACTCCGGACGACCAACACGCACGCCCAACGCGCACACCGAAAACGCACACGCAACACGCAAACCCAACACGCACACCAACACGCACACCCAGACTGCACACCCAACACGCACAACAACAAGCACACCCAACAAGCACACCCAACACGCATGCACACCCAACACGCATGCACACCCAACACGCATGCACACCCGAACCACACACACACACACACGCACACACCACGCACATGACACGCACCAACACACACACACACACCAACACACACACACACACACGCCAACAAACACACACACACACACACATACCAACAGAAACCAGCGCACACCAACGCCAAAAAAAACCACACACACACACACACGCACGCGCACAAATGCACGCAAACACACACACACACATGCACAAGCACACACACAAACACGCGCAGCAAGTAAACGCAACACGCACACGCATCACGCACACACGCAACACGCACACTCAACACACACGCAAACACACACAGACACACGCACGCACGCACGCACGGACGCACGCAGGTACGCAAGCACGCAAACACACACACACACACAGAGATACACACACACACACACGCGCGTGCCAACACAGAAACACACACCAACACGCACACAAAAAATGCACACACACAACACACCAACACGCACACAAAGACATGCACACGCACAAACACGCACAACCATAGGTACACGCTCACACACACACACAAACGCACAACACGCACGCACGCACGCACGCACGCGCGCACGCACGTACGCACACACACACACACCAAGACACACACACACACAAACAGCCCCACACACAGAGACACACACACGCACACACACACATGCACAGACACACACACACACAGGCACACACACACACACATGCACACACACACAAACATGCACACGCACACGTGCGCGCGCACACACACACACACACGTGCGCACAAGCGCACGCATACACACATGCACAAGCACACGCACGCGCACCACGCAACACGGACACGCAACACGGACACCCAACACGCACACCCAACACGCGCACCCAACTCGCACACACAGACACACACAAACAGAACACAACAGAACAAAACAGAACAGAGCATAAAAGAACGCAAGACATCCATTGTTTCTTTGAGTTTACAGCTTTTCAAACGTGTGGCTATAGGCTATCACGTGACAGCACTACAATTTCAATGACTGACGCAGACCCTTGCTTCCATGCACATCCGCATTGCCAAGAAGGCACGTTGTTGCCGCTTGAGCAAAACTATTCTACTAATCCTTTTGATCGGTGCCTCCTGAATCACATCTCCATTTTTGCCAGGCATCTGCAGCATCAGAAAGGTGCTCCAGCGGGAGGTATCCTTCATAGCAGGCGGGCCCCCTGCATTCACCACAGGTTTTGGCTTTTGCACGAAAATGGAGACAGGTCGCTGGGGAAAGAGTCTTGCCAGGTGTCCTGGTTGCTGGTCCCTGTTGTTGCTAAAGTGCGGCTACGATTGGCTTCGTGGCACGCTCGGAATGGAGAGAATGGAGACCTTTTCCGAATCCATGAGCCTTTTATGATTGCTGACTTAGCTGAGTACAGTAGTGTCTCACAAGAAGCACATCCCTGAGATGAGGTACGTTTTCTCAGGCAAGTCCTGCAGCACGCTGTGGGTGTTCATGATGCTTTCCGCCGCGATGCGACCAGTGTCTAGAAGCTGGAAGTTGAATCGCATCCTCAGGAATCCGAATCCAGCAAAGGCCCAAGCATGTCAGACTGCCATTCGGCAAGCCCCTGATCGTGATGCGGCCTTTCAATTCTGCCAAGGTGCAACGAGATCGCGTCAGCATTGGAAAAGTAGATGAAACTGGATACAAAAACTTCGCTGGTGAGGTCATCGATCCACTCAAACTCTCTGATCTTGACCAAAATGTCGGAAGAGGCGAAGACCTAGGAGTTCACCCATTCGCTTGCTACATGTTGAAACCCTCGGAGCCGTTTCGTCCAGAACAGGCACATCACATGTGACCTCAGGCACGCCAAGCTACACAGTAGTATGGCACGCCATCTTGTACTGTAGGTGAATATCCAAGATGCGGATCATTGCAATACCTCCAGTTCACGGTCGCGTTTACATCCCGATTGACTGATCAACTGATCTAATGAGTGAACATGGAACCCACCAGAGGCTCACTTTGTGCTAGGTTTCAAGGAACACGGTCCAAGTCAGGAACCCCCAGTCAGGTTCCATAGGGTCGACGTCAATCGGTCGAGTGGCTCGTCCCCTCTGCATCGCAGGATGGAGGAGTTCCTTGGAGCATTCATTGGAGCGCGGTAGACCGGGTTGGGCGCCTGAGGCTCATGCGCTGTGAAAGCCATTCTCTGGATGCCACAACATATTTCAAGCGGCACAGCAAAGCACATCGTTTCCCACTTGCACATTGCTCTCTGAATTCAACCTGAGACTTTTAAGGACACCAGGCCTGCCCCCATGCCATGCCTCGAAACTCCCTCATGTTGCCAGGGGCAGAATCGTTGCCCAGCTCCAAGGGTTCGTCATAACTCGCCAAGCCCCCCTCCCACTCTGGCCTGAGCGTTGTAGCCATCCACGAAGCTAGAGTCACAATCTTTCTCCACCCGCCGGGATTGACAAATCATGGGAAAACCGACCTGGGACGGCCACGGGCGTGGTTTCCATGAAACTCGGAACAATCTACTCTCTCTTTTGCGGTGTTCTCCTCCGATGCCGTGTTAGCAGGTTCTTTGCCATTCTGGGACGTTAGCCATCTCTCCTGGTTGTTGCGCCAGCAAAGAGACCATTGGGCCTTCAAATCAGCACCTACACTCTACTGTGCTGAGCCGACTCATCTCACTACCCAACAGGGGAAAGCAGGAAAGGCCCCATACCCCGTCTTGCAGCAAGGGAAAGAATTGAATCGTGGTACGCCGCTTCCATACATTTAGATCGGCGCAGGGTCTCCTTGGCTTTGGATCGCCCATGGCGCTTCGCCGAGGTGCGGCGGACGCAGACATCGAGAACGGCTTGTAACGTACGAAGGTCTTTGGCGGTGGAGGTGGGGGACCAGCATCAAAGCCTGGCGAGAGATTTTCGAGTTTCTATCCGGTCAATAGGCATGTGGCCACAAATAGGATGTGGAATGCCTCCAAGTGGTCTCGAATCAATGTGACAGTGGCTCATACTCCACTTTGCACCAGTTGGGATGGATGAAGCACGATGAATTTAGTCCACCCACAGTAAATGTAGAATCCCTCCAATTGGCGGTCGCTTATGGGTTACCTTTGAAGGCGGATGGAAACAAGCCTGCCTGCTGTTATCTTGACAGGAGGTGCAAGCAATGGACCTCCTGCGCCCCATGGAAAAATGCGCCTGCGTCGCAAGGATTGAAGATGTCAACGACCACGCACTCGCCTAAGATGTACGACGAACATTCCTATGCCCTCATGAGTGAATGCTTTCAGGCACGTCAGCCTCTTGTCAGCAGTTCGAGTTCCCCCCACACGCTGTCAGACATTTGCCAATACACCTGTCTGACCCTTCTGCACTTGAGCCACACGGAAGCCATTCGAGGATAGTTCAAAAAGAAACCACACAATGCCTTTTTGGCACCGCAGGAACAAAGAAAATTGGAACCAGGGTTCAAAATTGGCACCTTACTTTTTTGACAGTCCGAATTCAGCCAGAGTTCCGGCGCAGCAGCTACCTGACCAGCAGCCGCCGCATCCAAAACTGGCAAACCAGGTAGCAAAGGCTTGGGAAGACAGCAAGTAGGCAACTAAACGGCTCTGATGACTCATGCGAGATCAAGCGAGAATATCTACAAACCCTTCCCGCCAGCCAGTGCCACAGCCAGTGCCACAGCCAGTGCCGCAGCCGGTGCCGCAGCCGGTGCCACAGCCAGTGCCACAGCCAGTGCCACAGCCAGTGCCGCAGCCAGTGCCGCAGCCAGCACTACAGCCAGTGTGGCACCCATTCGTCCAGCCAGTGCCACAACCAGTGCCGCAGCCAGTGCCGCAGCCAGTGCTGCAGCCAGTGCCGCAGCCAGTACTGCAGCCCGTGCCGCAGCCCGTGCCGCAGCCGGTGCCACAGCCAGTGCCAGCATTGCAGCCAGTGCTGCAAGCAGTGCCACAGCCGGTGCCGCAGCCAGCATTGCAGCCAGTGCCACATCCGCCAGTGCAGCTCGTAGTGCCACCAGCACAACTGCGGGACACACGAGTCATGCTTTTTTGCATTCGCAAACTGCGCACACACAGACACAAGCATCCTGACCCTGAAGCATTTGCGTACACATTCTCTGTGCATGTGTTCAGGTCGAACCCTTTGGCACCAGGATGTGCCGCAGCCAGTGCAGCAGCCAGTGCTGCTGCCAGCGCTGCATCCAGCGCAACTGCAGGGTCTTAAGGAACACTCGAGATCAATCCGCTCTATCACTTGCGCTCAGCATCTTTTTGTTCTGCTTCATGCAGCGAAACAAATAAGCCACCAGTGAGTCCCGTTCTTGTTGACAGCACATGCGACAGGCTTGGAAATCCGAGCTTGCTCCGTCAAGCCAGGATACCAGGAGCTAGTGGAAGTCGAGCTTCCTGTCCAGGTTGCCCGAACAGAAAGCGACAGCGGGCAAAAAGCCGTTGAATGCAAATAGTGGAACATGCAGCGCGCCTGAGCTCACCTAAGCCGTACTCAAATCGCAAGTGCCTGCATAAACTTTTTGCCATGCGCAAGCTTGGGAGTTGTTCGTGCCAGTTGACTGCTCCAGCTAGCAAAGCATCAGTCCATCAAACACATCAAATCGACTTATCATTTGGGCAAGCGTCACCCTGCAAACGCCTCTGCGCTGCAAGCTGGTCCAGCACGTCAGCAACCTTGGCCCAGCCCGGTATGTGCAGAAGGCCAAGGGCACTATGCACTCAAAAGTGCTCCAACGTTCCCATCTTAGCGTTCGAGTCGCTTGTTTCGACCTCGTAGGGTTGGTGAAGTACGGATGGTCAGGACAGCCGTGGGACTGCAATTGCCAGGCTTGGCCCGCTGGGGCCAAGTGAGGGCCAAGCTCGCCTCTGACATTGCATGCCTCACCTTGGCATCACGGCAAGGGAGTGCTCGTTACCACCTATCGGCGTCAATACTCTTTTGCTCAAAGCGTCAGGTTTGTCACGTTTCTGGTATCAGCGGTGAGCTGTGACTACGCGGGTCTAACTTCCGGTAGAAGTGGCGAAACTCCAACTAAAATAACCAGAAGGGTCCCAAAGCGTGAAACCCCACAGCACGGACGGAGGGTAACGCCCAAGGCCCAGGTGCTGACGCTGTTCCGCTGGATTCGCGCCGGCTTCAGTCGAAAGCAGCGAGGCAGGAAGGGGTCCTGGACGGACCAAACATAGTGATATTCCTGGCGCAGGCGCGAGGCATTGCAAGTTTGCCTTTGCCTTGGCACTGCATCCAAATGGGGATCGTGACACCAAAGGACCCTGGAAATGATTTGCCTCCTTGTTGTTTCCCTTCATATGCGAACCCGAAAAAGTTCACCGTGGTTCACCATTCTCGGATTCGTCAATTTTGGTACCTACCAAATGTTGCTATCACATTCGTCTTGCCCTTCCCACATTGAGACATTGCCACTGTTGTGCTGTCCTGTTTTGTACAATTGATTTAAGAATGGAATGATCGCGATCAAAAAGCTCTGTGCACTCCCTACTTTCCTCAGCTCACCATGCAAACACCATAAACTGTGAACACATGAGTCACAAGCTTGGCTTACAATTCATTTCAATCATCTGGATGCTGAGTCAGCTCGTTTCGAGCCACCATTCAGGTTGGTTTTGACTGCCCCCCTGGGCCTCCTTGCCATTTTCCGTGACAGTACGTCCATTGCACTCATCGAGCTCCGAAATGTTCACAAGGCGTCCATCTGCCCCGTAAGGCCCGTGGATGGGGATTCCGTCCTGATGGAAAAAGCAGAGGTTTCGTTTTGCACTCAGCTCCACTCAGCTCTCTCTCTCTCTCTCTCTCCCTGTCTCCCTCTCCCTCTATCTCTCCCTTCCTTTTTTCTGTTCCGTTTGTCCGCCTGCCCGGCCGTTTGCCCACCCGCCAGTACGTCTGACAGTTGGCAGCTTGCCACATGTTGCCATGCTTGCTCTTACCCCACTCTCAAAGCTGAGGCTTTGTCCAAGGCATACCCCAGAATCGGTGATGGCTTCGAGCGACTTGGCCAGAAATCGACGGGATCTTCTTGGGTCCACCAATCCGCACGCCCAGGAGCCACATGGCCTGGAATGGCAGAGAAGCATCACCCTGCAGAAACCCACACTTTTGTAGCGGGGACTTGGGATGCATGCTAATGCATGGTTTAACTAAATAGGCACAAATAAGGAACACCGCATACACAAACTAGAGTCGATGAACATAAATGATTATTCATAAACAAAATAACGAATGTCTGAATGGCCCAATGGCTGATTAACCAAAAAAGCAATGAATGAACAACCACACACATAAATGCAAACAAACAAACCAACAAACCAACAAGCCGAGCACGCAAACAAACACAACAAATTCGCACGCAAACAAGCAACAAGAAAGCAAACAAGCAAGCAAACAAGCAAGAAATCATGTAAACAAGAACAAACGCAAGCAAGCAAAGCAGGCAAGGACACACAAACAAACAAACAAAGAAAACAAATAAGATGAACAAACAAGATGAGCCAGGTAAACAAACACATAAATACACACACAAACAAAGCACACAAACAAAACCAACCATATAATAACCAAACACATCACGACAAAGCAACACAAACAATGTAGACGCAACAAAACAAGCAACATGCAAGCAGCTATGTATGTCAATACGTGAAGCAACAACTCGTATGCATGCATCGATCTCTCTCTCTCTCTCTCTGTGTATATATATATATGTATATATATATATATGCATGTTATGCGCATGTTATCTGGGCAACCGTTTAACTAAGGAACCAACGCAGCATCCCAAAAACTCGTTGGCCAGTGGGTTGCACGTTGTCGGCCCAGCAGGCCTTGATGGCCGAGGAAACAGGAAGGCGGGAAGTGGTAGTGGTACTGCCCTGCGCGGCTGGGAAAAGCGGCACCCGCAAAGAAGCCATGCCAAACTGAAAGGCTTGGGGAGAGGCTTACGCCTGACTCGGCAAACAAACATTGAGGCAAAGCTTTGCCCATCGTTCAATTAGAAGCGGATGTTTACCAAATGAGGGCTCCCTCCAAATGCTCAATGCTGAGATGTCCTGGTTCCCTCAAAAACCGGCCTGCAGCATCCACATGTCCGCCACAGTCATCGAAATGCCTTGGTGGAAGTATGCAAACAGCATCAACTTTCCCTTCGCGACCTCACTCCAGGTGTGGCCCAAATAAATACTGAGATGAGAGGAAGCCGTAGGCTTGAGCTGGGCGGAGCATACGCTGAACATGCACAGCATGATGTGCAAAGATATGGCACATGGCGGCCAAATGGCAGCAGCCCAAATCTGGAGACTCAGTTTTCCAGGACTCATCCCACCCCCTCTTTTGCTTGGAGCTGCCACGATGTGGGGACCGCTTTGCCGCGATGATGGTGGGCACCCACAAGCAAGACACCGTTCAAGGCCTCGAGTTGGCAGTCCGACGCAACACACAAGTGAACCTCTTACATCCACTGGAAGTACACATCCTCTATTCACCTGTGCTAGTACCCCTTTGGCCCCATGGTTGCCAACCCACTTTGTCTTGTTTACGCAACTTCCCTTTCGGAGAGGGTCTGACAAAGGTTCTTGGGCTCATTCACCCAAGGGGCCATGGAGTATGTGCAAACACCCCTTACTGAGCTGGACACGAAGCCCACCACACCGGAGGTGTTGACTGACCACGCGGCGGGTTGCCGGGCTGCCGCCTCAGCACGTAGCAAAACTGCGGGCACAACAAAACCTGCTCAAAGATCTGGGCATTTTTCCTACAATTCACCAGGGTGTCCTGCTGGCATACCTCCAGGAGCAAACCTGCACTCTTGGGTAATTAGTCCACATGTTATCTAACAAGGACCACGCTTCACAAATCAAAAATAAAGAATCCCCAAGGGTTTCACCATGGGCAAGCTCATTTTGTCCCCAAGGCTCGTTACGAACATATTCCCGGAAGCCCTTACTACGGATTGCCTCGATTTTTCAGCGGCTGTAGCAGGGAGCAGGGCTTCATCTGCTTGATGACTTCAACGCAATCTCAAACCCAGGCACCCCTGGGTTTAAGTCTACCTTGGCGAGAAACAAAAATGGGCTCCCGGTAAAGGCCTCCCGTGCTTCCTACACTTGCGGCTGGGAGGCCGCTTCTTGCTGCGCTTCCTCTGGGCTTCGCAAGGTCACCGTCATGCGACCTTGGGGGCCACGGGCACCTTCACGGCTTCAAATCTTTGGATCCTGCAACACTTGACCAATCCCAAATGCAAGAGGGAGGGGCCCTTGTAGTTTGAGTCCTTTGCAGAACTTTGGGGCTCGGAGCTTCAAAAGAGCCCGGTACGTGTCCTCGAAGTTTGCAAACGATCCAAGCGCCATGGGCCATGGCCATTAGCTGAAACATCGAAAACAATTTTGCCGTTATTGGGGCTTTCTTTGGGCATGCTTGTGTTTACCCATAGAAAGCTGATCAACACCGATAAGCTTCAGGTGGAGCGGCTCTTCTGCGGGAGGCGCCGGGAGGTCGACTTCTGGCTGGTCGCCTATGCCACAGGCACACACACACACACACACACACACACACACACACACACACACACACACACACACACACACACACACACACACACACACACACACACACACACACACACACACACACACACACACACACACACACACACACACACACACACACACACACACACACACACACACACACACACACACACACACACACACACACACACACACACACACACACACACACACACACACACACACACACACACACACACACACACACACACACACACACACACACACACACACACACACACACACACACACACACACACACACACACACACACACACACACACACACACACACACACACACACACACACACACACACACACACACACACACACACACACACACACACACACACACACACACACACACACACACACACACACACACACACACACACACACACACACACACACACACACACACACACACACACACACACACACGCGCGCCTGCACACATGCATACGTGCACGCGCCCACGCGTGCCCATGCACGAGCCCGCGGGCCTGCACACACACACATATACACAAATACACACACGCACCCACTGACGCACGCACAGAGACACACACACACACAGACGCATCCATGCGGGAGGGGGCTGGCTATGCGCCTGCGATGTATTTCTCGGAGCTGTTGCCTCCAGCCGCCGCGCCGTTGCGTCGCGGATCTCCTTGACCATGGAGTACATCGCTGCGCCTTGGGTGCTGATTCAAGTCTCAGAAACGCCCGTGCTGTGCAATTTCAGTGTTACAAAAATTGGCTCCGGTGGCTTAGGCGCGGGTGAGGCTATCATGATGCTCGGGAGAACAGCTACACAATGAACAGCTGCACATCGGGCAAGGCAGTAATTTCGGCTAAGCAAAAACCAGCCTCAAGACCGCGAAGCTTGGCCATTTGACGTCCCAGCCGAAGCACTTTCTGCATCCTGCAGTCGCATGGAGCTCATGGAGTAGTGCTCCTGGGAAGGAGTGCGACCAGCAAGTGCTTCAGAAGCTTGAGACTTTGTTCGCGCATGCAGCCAAGAAGCGATGAACGCCTTGTCCTCTAGCTGTCCTGGACGGCCCAGAGGCACGGCTAAAGCTCGCAAAACGCGATAGTACCGGTCACTGCAGCGTTTTTGTCTCTCCCAAGCACCTGCCGGCGAGCTGGCGCTCGAGCACGGTCACTCAAAACAAAGCGACCCCACTATGGAGATGGGGTGGAGAGGTCTCCTATTTGCATGTCCCAGGTGAAGGGTCATTCAGTATGTTCCAAAGACATGTTTAGTGCGTCGTTGCCTTGGTTGTAACTGGCCAGGCTTAACTGTTGGCTGGCTGAAAGGAAACATGAACATCAAAAGATGTTCAGTTAAAAACATAAGCTCAGTCTGCGATGATATGGGAGCCTGGATGCACCATGCAGCTCCCTGGCTCCTTGATCGCGGCGGCATCGAATTCGGTTGACCTCAGCCCAGCCGTACTTCATTGCCCAGCGGCCGGCCATGCCGCAGCTGAACCACTGCTCTTGTATTTGTTCTGAAACTAAACCTTTGTTCACTCCCGCTGCTCTCCTCAGCCCTCTTCGCTGTTCACACCCGTGGTTTCAGGCCCCTGGTATGAAGCTCACATACGCTTGGGAGAGGGGTTGAACAAATTGCGCAAAGTCAATCCTCATCTCAAGCCGGGCCGCGGGAAGTGGTAATACATCATCTTCAGCACACCAGTGGTAGATGTCCAACGGATTGAGCTGCACCTCACTATCTCGATCTCTCTGCCAAAATCCGTCAACACTTGCGTGTCCTATGCGCACGGACATGAAGCTAGCTGAACCACAGGACGTGCAATCTACATGCGCAGGATTTGCGATCCCAGGCTCGGTGGAGACTACGTAGGAATCCAAATATTCGATCAGCTCGGGGATTTGAGTGACCTTGTAAACCTCAGAAGCCACTCGCTCAAGAGTCTCGGACGAACAGCCAAGCATTCGCAAACGCAATGTGTCTCCACTTGATGAATCAAGGCAGTGGAAAAGGCAGCAGTGATGCAACCAATGGAGGGCAGTCAAACAATCCAATCTGCTGCTGCACTTTTAAACCACTCGTCTGAGCTGAGCTCCGGAAAACAATCTTCGACATCAGAGTCTCAAATGCCGACAGAGTTTGACCAACGAGATATGCCGAGCCGCATCTTTTACGTGAAAATGGTCGTGCAGGCGCAAGTGGATTCCCGCAAAGCTGGCCGGATCGAATTCCACCCTGGAATGCCACAAGCAAGCTCACACACAGCGATTTGTTTGCTTCTTAGACGTGAGATATCAGTCATGCCATGTCGTGCCATGTCATGTCATTTGTCAGGAATTGACATCCCATCCTTTCTCTTCACACCTTTCTGCGACCAAAGGACTGTTGGATCGCGATGAACAAAAGAAATGTCGCCTTCGCTCACTGCAAAGCCGGCACACGACAGGCTCTGTCAGATTCACCCTGGTCGATTAAGTACTGAGACAGTGCTGATCGTGCCAAGGAGCGAGAAAAGCCACGAACCGTGGCAGCATGTTGACCATTTTCGATTCCAATCTAAGCACAGCGCTGGAGGTTGGCTCCAAACCAAAGGACCCTTCACAAACTGATGTTGGGGATCTGTCAATTCTTTGGTCCCTGGCCATTGACGGCTCTCTGTGCGGCTTGTGAGGCTTTGTTTGGACAACACGGTGCCTTCAAAATCGGTCTTTCCACTGAATCAACAAAGGAATTGCCAAAAACATGACAAGGGAGCAGCAATTGCAACTGCTCCTGAGTCTCAGGCAAAATTCGCTTTCGAAGCATCTCCCTGCGGATGGATCAAATGCAGCAAAAGCGAGTGCGGCGCAGGCAAGCTTTGGCGGTATGATCGGAAAACCTCTGCTTGACATGCAGTTATGCACCCAGCCTATCCAGCCTAGCAGCAGAGTCAGCGGTGTCAGACTCATCGGTAAAGAAGCTGGTCATTCCTTGGGGAACAAGGTCCTACACAACCGTGACATAACCAATTCTATACTGGGCCACGGCCACAAGCCGGGCCAACCATGGCTAAACATGAGTCGTGCAACCACTGCCTCTCGAGGGAGAGGGCTGCCACTCCTTTTCCGTCTGCCAAGTTGCCAGACTTGCGTAATTTCATCACATTGGTTGCCACGGATGCCACCTGGCTGCACGTCGACATATGCTCGATTGGTTCCTGCTTGCTCCCCTGAAAAGCGACTGACAGGCCTGTGTTCAGGGTTTGAATGGCCCCAAGGCACACGTTGGCAATCCTTGCCTTCGACACCCTGCCACTGCGTGAGTCCGGGGAGCCATTGTGCGCCTTCCTGGGCTTGTCTTTCGCAATTGCAAGAGCTACGCAAACATGTGACACACGACCCGTGGCGTAGCGCCCTGACTCCACTATGCGGATTCGACTGCACCCAGTTCGGGGCCCCGGCGAGTGCGACAGGTGCAAGCTACTGAAGTCACTGGCTAGCGCCATTGCCCGGAAGTTGCAGTTTCGGCTGTGAACTACTGCTGACCTGTGACGCGGTCAGGATACATCTGCTCAGGTGGCTGCGCTTGTTTCCTGTGTCGCAAACTTCAAGAGCTCATGAACTACTACCACAACTCTACAATGCCTGCAGCCACATTGAAAGTGTCACGAACTGCGCACTCTGACCATCGACTCCAACCAAACTGGTTTGCTCAGTTTGACATTGAAAGCCAGTACCACCTAATAATATCTAAGGATTAATGGGGGCTCCCTGAAACAAGTACCATCTGGCAGTAGGATTGCAGATTGACTTCGAACCCAGCCAAACGGCCAACCGCCCACTTGAATGGCCGGGGCCGGGGCGGCTGCCGAACTGGCTGCAGCTTCTCCAGCCAAGCCTCCCAAGTCACATTGCCAAACCGAGTTGCTGTCTTCCTGCGGCCTTCTTTTTGAACCGGGTTGGACAAAGGGTAGCTTCATTTGAGTTTCCTTAAGTTCCACAAAGCAGGCCCCTTGTTGTGACATCTGTTCCCACGGCTTGAAGCATACGGCAGTTGCCTGCATCGTCGTCGTCCAAGATCCGGAGCCTGTGCTCAATGTTTCAAACTGGGTTCCTTTAACAACACTTTGAGGGCTGTCAAAATTACAGTTCGAGTGGTTTGGTTTTAAATTTCCTTGAATCACGAATTGGAGCAATTTGGGGGATGTCACCTTTTTCGAGCCAGTGGAAGGATTAGGCTCGGCTGTCTGCCTGTAGGCCAAGGAGCTGTTTTGGAGCCACCACTCCGAGCCAAGTGCGCCCCCAGCCCGACGACACCTCGCAGCCCAGGGACCTTCATGGAGCTTATCCCCCCCTCGGTGAGCACGTCATATTGCTTGCCCAAATCTACCGCTCTATCCTCGAACTGTCGCATAGCTGCTGCCTGTCATATTTGCCCATATAAGCGTATATTCACTTAAGTTACTAACAGGAAATAAATAACCAAAACACAAACAACAGCATCCACTAAACATGACAAAGCACAGCTCTGGAGGCTTCCCATTGTGTTTTGTTTTTCTTCTTCTTTTTTCCTCTTTTTTTCCATATCGAATTTCCAAGCTATGTTCGTTCATGTTAAGCTATATTGAATCGCGGCGCTAGGCCATATTAAGCCGTACTGCTCCATATTACTCTTCCGTGTGAAGCCAAATTAAAGTCATACCAAACCATATTCTGCAGCACTAATTTGTATGAAACCACACTAATTTGCAATGCTCCATATTAGTTAATCCCGAACTATGAAGAAGATGAGTAGGCCATATAAGGACAACTGAAAGCATAAACCCTATATAAAGTCATAGCATTACAACCTGAATGAATCCCAAGTTCATGACTTAAAGTCCGTAATAAAGCTTAAACACAACATGATACACCATACACATAATAATTCAAATGAAAGGATCACACATCATATTCATCCACATTGAGCAAAGCACTATTTGCGCTATATTGAGCCATAGCAAGCCACAATCAGCCATACTAATCTATGTTCAGTCATTATTGGCTATATTAAAAAACCTATATAACACATACACATATACATATACATTCTCAAAGTATACATGACTCATACTAAATCACACCAACCGCACCAAACCACAACAACCTACTAGGCGAATTCATACTCATTTAATTTCTCACACACATATATATATATATATTTACACAAGTAGCAGGCATGAATAAACATACATGGAACCAACTACAAATATCATTCTGTTCCAACCAGTGCACATCGTATCACACATGACAAATATTGTCGGCCATCATTTCGGGTGTTTAGCCGTTTAAGCAAAGCGTCAAGCTTTTCGCGCGGCACCACGGTCAATCCACCGCCCAATCTACCGCTCAGCTTGTGTCCATCTTCACCTGGCAGGGAGCTGTTTGAGCCAGGCTTTGTTGACACCACGAGCTGAGACTGCCTTCAGTGTCCGGCGACCGCACCAACGCACCGCAAAACTATGGTCCAGCTGTATCCAAGGAGTCTAGCATGGCTTTTGTACACTGGCTTGCCAGCTTTCTGGCTGTTTTACCTCCGCCTCCAGCTTGATGTCAAGAAGCTAAATGAACAACTTTGCGAGGACAACTTTGCGCGGACGATTCCCCTCGGGTGAGCAGCAACTCCAGGATACACGCTGCCTTACCCCTATCAGGCTGGCTAGAGCAATATATAAAGGCGAACACCATTGCACAACATCATTGTCCTAGCCCTTTCAGTATTGCGATGCTCCGCAACAGTAATGCGCTGAGCGGCGGGTTGATTTCCAAACCAGACGCCCGCGCTGCTCGCATGACTATACCAAGGCGGCTGAGAAGGCAGGCATCGTCCTTGTGTCCTTCCGTTCGTTTGACGAATCCAGAAATCAGTCTTCAAACCAGTTGGCGGCCAAAGGTGTCCTTCAATGAACCCCGCTCAATCAAAAGCACCTTAACATGCTCTTCCCCTTTCAGTTCGCGATGTAAGAGGACCCATCGCACCTGCCAACCGCAACCGCCTGGCGGCCTGCCAGAGCAGTGCCAAACATGGTAAGGGCATGAGTCCTCTCTGGTGAACTTCATTTAGCTGCATTTGGCTGGCATTTTCCTTCATCAACCAAATTGGAGGGAGAGCCGAAACAACCATAATTTCTGCATTTAGTTGTGCAATGCACAAGTGAGCGTTCGGATGGCCCCCCTGCAGATCCCCAAAATACAAGCTCCAGCAGCGGGAGGCAATTGCTCTGGAATCCTCAGCCATCGGCCCCAGCCCAGCATGCACACTGGGCCCACTCCACTAAAGTGGCACCCGCTACAATGGTACCCTTGAAACACGACGTCAATGGCAGCATCCCCCAAAGGCTAGCTTTTTTATTGGGCGCAGTGGCGCAGTGGCACGTCGGTCAACTGTCAAAGAGCGTTACCGCGAGGCAAATCCTGACCTGCAGACCCCTGCAAAGTTGAACATCAACCACGTTGCTCACAACATCCACAGCCCGCCTGGCGAATCCTGGCACCGCAAACAGCGGGACAACTCACACTCCGCTGCAACCCTGATCGTAGTTTTTGGGGGGTTCATGTTTCCTGGCTGGATCGTCCTGAACATGCCCACGCTTTTGTTCCCCATGATGTCCCAAGCAATTGACGAAAGCCCAATGTGAGCCACGGCCAAAACTTGCTGCTACTCAAGGGGACAAGGAAAACAGTGTCCCCAGCATGGATCGGCGGCCTCCAGGCATCGCTAGCGGCGGTGGGGGCCTTGACAGGGAAAGGCCGAGCAGCGTGTGCAGGATGAGTGGTGGGCAGTGAAACAAGTGCTCGTGTTGGGCGCCTTCAATTCTTGATGGGGGTATGCCTTATGAGCACGTCATTCAGCAACAAAGATCTACACAAGAGTTCCCCTGGTCACATCTCCTGTCTTGGAAGACACTGTTGAGATCCCGAGGCGCAGGCATGAAACTAGGTCCTTGGCTGGCAGCATTGTCCAATACTCATGGCTCTGGGTTTCGGCGCTCGATTCTGAGCTCAGGCCTGCACCCCCCGGGGGCCTGTGCGGATTGGGTTCGGTAAGGAATTGCAGGGCCCTGGCTGTACTCGCTCTCCTTCTTGCAACTTTCAGACTTAGTCACTTAGTCTTCCCTCCCCTCCCCTCCCCTCCCTTCCGCTCCCCTGCTTGGCAGTTCCGAGCGCCTCGGCATGCCCACCTGTGGCGATGCGATCTTGCGTGGCAAGCTGCTCGGCATGCGTCCGAGGTCCCTGCTTGAGGCGGCCCTCCTCAGTCAAGTGAGGAGCCAAGACCAGTCGGCCCAAGGGGCATCATGTCCAGTGCCCTCCCCGCCACTCCCGGATTGTCCGCGCCTCTGTTGACCGGTGGTCCCTGGGCAGGAACAGAGTGTGTTTACAGCAGTGTTCGGGGCTGACTTCTCGCAACGGATTCCGCAAGCGGTCCCTGAATTGCCATGTTGCATATCACGCATTGCGTGGGTATGTGTCAAAAATTGAGGGACCCCAACAAATTGGTGGTTTCCTTTTTGGCTTCCCTTTAGATCGACCCAAACCGGGCGCCCTCAAAAAGCACAGCCCATAAAGTGAGCACCGCCCTGAGATTTCCATGTCGTCATGGACTGCTTGGCTCCTCGCCCTCCTGCCCATGGCTTTGGTATTTGCCATGGCCTGGGCAACGGCCGGCTCACGTTGATTCTGAAAACCCTTATCCTCTCCACTGACATGGAACCCACCAAACGGTGCCCTTGAGAGGACAGCATCTTACAAACACCCCCTCCCAAGTAAAGTGCTGTGCGCAGATCTCTGCACATCTAAGAAAGCCAAGACATTGACCCTCTGCACAGCTTCTGCTCGCAGCTGTTGCGTCTCCATTGCATCAGGCCTCGTGCGACTTGAGCAACGCAACTGTGCAAGAATGAGGGGTGGCTTAGGCCTTGCACGACTGAGCATGGCACACTTCAACTAGCGCCCACAGGAACCGACCATGCCATATGTAGCCTTCAGGCCAATGGCCACTTTAAATTGCCCCAGGTGATGTTCAAAACGGGTTTCGGGCGGGAAGGGCTGGGCCCCCGTGCGGCAAGGCGGGCTCCAGGCTGAGTCCCAGCAGGAACTGCGCATGCAGCAGGGCATAGCCTGAGCATTGAGGCGCCCTTAGCTTGAGACATCTGGATCCGCGAGTTTCATACCCCGACAACTGCAGTTTTCCTTTTGGCTTCCCGTTAAACCAACCCGAAGAAGGGTACCCTGAAAAAGAAGGAGACAGTACCGCAACTTGTTCCCAAAGCCCCTGTGAGGCGAGATCCCTGCGAGCTCAAGGCTGAGCACACGGCACAGCTGTGGATGCTCCAGCAAGGTGGCGCGGGCACGTTCGGGTCTTGGATTGCTCCAGGAAGGCGGATGAGATGAGGCAACAAATTGTCAAAATCCAAAAAACTGTCGAGAGATCATATGGGTGTGGCTTGACTGTGGGCTGAGGGTGGCACTGGCGCCAGCAACAAATGGAGTTTGGGCTTTGCTCATCAGGCCTTCCTGGTGGTGCTATTCCAGGGTAGTAGGATCCGCTAGGAAGGCCAACGGTGTTGGGCGCTTAGCCTTCCCGGAAGAATGCTCAGCGCGCCACGAGGCTTTTGCAAGCTCCTATGGCAAGCTGCGATAGGGCTGCAATGCATACATGTACTATTACTTCCCCCTTTTTACAACATCTTTTTGTCATGCTTAGCTTGTCTCAATTTGCAATCACTAATCCACTTGAACAACTTGTATGAATTCTAGCTTGACAATTGTATTCACAGGAGCAGTTGGTTTCCGAAACCCCGTAAGTCCTCCCCCCACTTATCGCAAGGAATCCAGCAATCACAACGCAGCGGCTTTCAGCCGAGCTTCAACCTTTATGCCTTGAGCCCAGCCAGCAAAGCTTCTTGGAGTTTTCTTAGGAGGGGTCATGATCGATAGGTTCCTTTGGAACCTTCCTCGGAACATGGGGAAGCTAGTGTCTCTCCTGACCTGAGCTGCCTGAAAGCATTCATGCAACTTCTCCTGCATCGTGCCCAGGCATAGCTGGAGGTGAGCCTGGCTGAAAAGAAAGGAAAGCTCAGTAAATACGTCTCCAGAAAGGATTCGCAACCACTTTGTTGTCGTGTCCTGCAAAACCATCCAAATCTCGACTAGCCGGGGGGCACTGGGCACGTGGTCATGTTCCTTGTCAAACGACGGTGTGGGCTCGACTCAGCGTAAGGGCCCTCCAAATGGGCTTGATTTTCTTGGCCGAACACTTACCACAACGAAGGCTGGGAAGCCACCCTTCATGCGGCCAAACCGGGCCGACCTAGTGACCTATTGTGGCCCACCCAATTGATGCTGAGCCATACCACCCTACTTATCATGATGAGACCGGGTAGTGGCCTGTGGCATTGCAGCCACCGTCTGGGCAATCTCCGTGTGCGCGCTCACCTTTCAAAGTCGTACAGCAGGAACGTTGAACGCAGGCAAACATACCACATCCTTGTTGCAAACTTACCAACTCTCGGCAACAAATATGCAATATTCGTGTAGCCAACATGCAGAATCCTAGTATACTTCATCAGGACGCAACGTGTAGTTTCACAACGCAGCGCCGCTTCACTTGAGGCGGGCACGCTCGCCATGATGACGTCGGCGGAGGCGTTCCTAAATGCAGCAATCCTTCAAGAGTACATGGAGGGAATGAGTTCGGTTCTTCATGGGTTTGGGCAGGCCGCCCGAGGAACTCAGGGGGTGAAGTGTGTTGACGATAGCGCATCTTCAATCTTCCGTCTTGGGCGTGCGACGGGTCTGCTGAAGCTGCCGCTGCTGCTGTGGCAGGATCCACTTGACCTGCGGGCGCGCAAACCGTCCATCAAGACTTTTGAGGAGGAAACCAGGGCCCCCTGCGCCCCCGAACCTTCTTTTGCGGGGCTCTTGGACGGGTTCTGTGAACCTTCTCAGGGGGCCCTAATGCACCGCCAGAACATCATTGCTCCTCGTCACTTCCGCCTTGCTGGGCCAATTGCCAGTGTCATGCGGGCCCTTCGCAGGCAGGAACCCCTTTTTTACAGGGACGCGCTGTTTGTACAGGAAGCCGGCAAGCGTGATGAACAGACTCGCATTGGCCTGTCCAGGCCCGTGCACTCTGCAAATTCTCTCACAAGAAAGGCTTGCAAGTGCCAAGGCGCCGCGCCTCAGACACCTTGCCCAAACCTGCAGATCTTGGCCACTGCTGCCCAGCACGACCTCTAGAGTCTCCGGCAGGCACTGCATGCCAGGCTACTCTTCTAGTCGCTGGTCAATAGCAAGGCGCGCATATTTCGGCTGGCAGCAGTCTAGCAAACCTTGAATGTGTCATCATCGCCGACCGACACATTGGAAGCTAGTACCACCTAGCCAAGGACGAAGATATCTAAGGCAAGGGATCATTTTGAAAACACCCCACCGGAATGCTTAGCCGGGGCAAGGGCGGCAGCTGACGCACTGGCTGCGGCAGCTCCTCGAGCAAAGCCTCAAGAGTCACAGACCAAGTCTGCTTGCGACCTCCTTGGGATGCGTCCCAAAGGCAGGCCCTTCCTTTTTGACAGGGCTGGACGGGTAGCTTGCATTTGTTTTCCTTCAGCTCCAAAAGCAGGCCACATAAGCATACACCCCTTGCCTGCGCGACGTCGTCGTCGGCCAAGATCCGAAGCCTGGGTGCCCAAAGAGCTTGATGGCTGAATGCCTCAAATTGGGTCTCTTGGGGCCTTTAAAGATTCTTATGGCATAGAGTGGTTTGCGTTTCAATATCCTTGACTCACGATTTGGAGGATGTCACCTTAATGGACCCCTGAGGCTCATAGGCCGCATGTAGGCCAAGGGGCTGCTTTGGAGTCACCACTCCGGCCAGCCAAGAATCCCCCAGCCCGACGATCACACCTCCGCAAACCTTGGCTTTAAGCCAAGACCGACCTCACAAAGGGAGCTTGATGCATAAGCTTGTTTGCCCAGATCTGCCGCTGCATCCTCGAACGGTCGCATTGCTGTCCAGTCGCATGATGGTAAGCAGTCTCAGCACCCCCGGCGCCACTCGCCACCGCGTTTGCCAATGGCGTCCCTTGCGTGGCTGCTAGTTCACCCGAGCTGCACTGGTGTGACAGGCGAGGGTCATGTGATGTCGGCTGTTGAGATTGCAAAGAGGTCCTATCAAGATGCGCATGATTTGAGGCTTTGTGATGTCTTGGGATATTCCACACACACCAAATGGTCATTGACAACCCCAATGCCGCAGACTTGTCCAAGGCGTGATGGAGACAAACCAGCAGCTCATCGGCATCAAGGAAGCACGCACTCAAGTCAGCTGCGTCATTTCCGATGATTTCAGTGAAGCCGCTTTGCCCCAGGAAACCCGTCTGGAAAAGGGAGCCTTGTTATGTTATGTTTTCTTTCTTCTTTTTTTTTTTGGGGGGGGGGTTGTGGAGTATTGAACAACTACCGTATGAAGGCACACAGGTGCCACTGCCTTCCGTCAAGATGGACTGCCGATGATCAGCGCCTTGGCCGATTCAAAGGCACGGCTTCATCACCAGAGTCTATCACCAAAAATGGTATTGACTGTATTCTAGGTCCTCCAGAAGAGAGGTTAGAATAAGGGTACCCTTTTTCTGTAGTCTATTTTAGTAAGGGAACCCTTCCCCAAAAAGGGTAACATGGCACTACTGGGGGACCTAGGATTGATCCTTGAGATGTTGACTAAACATGACTTTGAGCCAATAGTCCTAAGAGGCTTACTCAAAACCCACAGACACGAAGGGGCGGGCGCACCCTCAGCTGGGATTCATTGTGGCTCAACACGTAGGCAAAGCCAAGGTGCACAGGAGGTGACGCAAGAGCTCTGACCTAAAGATTGGAAACGACGCGGCCGAGAAAGGAAGAGGTGAAGCTTCCCTCTCAGTCTCTTCACGTTGCCCCTGATGGTGGTTTGGAGTTTAGGGCACACCTTTTCATTGAGCTTCAAACCGAACTGCACTTCAAACCCCAAGCCAACAATCCAAACCACCAATTGACGGGTAGCTGCCCTCTGGTGGAAATCCAGCCGGCTCTACTGAGATGGCGGCGTCAAAGTAATCCGCCGGCTTCGCAGAATCGATGAGAGGTGGTATATTCCCTGGCCCAAAACAGTTGCCCCGGTGCGAGAGAGAAGGTGATGCAGAAAGACAAAAGCAGCAAGAACATAAGTTAAGGCTGGGGACAGCAAGTCCGATAACCGCACTATGACGTTGGAGATGGGGCTGGGCCATCTGGGGGGTGGCGGTGGTGGTGGTCAGAGCGACAGTACATGATGCGTGAGGTGAGTTGGTGGGTGAGTGACCGAGTGAGTGAGAGTGCAAGGCAGATGTGGGTGGAGAGCTCCTTGCCGTCTTCCACGCTTGCCACATCTCACCAGGCCGCCTCTGCGTGCAATCGCCAGCGGCAAGGTGCCAAGCCGTTCATCAGGCCCTGGCCCGCAACAATCCGCAATAGCTCAGGGCAAACAACAACTACGGTGTGGACGTGCAGAAGTGCAAATAGGGAACAAGGACTTCCTGTAGCTTGATTGGACATGATTTTGTTCACTTGCAATATCTGGGGCATCAACTGCACCTTCATATCAGCCAATATGTACATTTCCCTATTCAACCCTCCCTGCTCCTCCCTAGGCGCAGCTGGTGGGGAAATTCACCAACCGAACTGTGTGGTTGTCCTCATCCCCCTGGCTTTTGCGGGAGATGTAGTGAGTCCTGCAGTGTCCCTCTGCGGTGTCCCTCTCATATTGACAAGAGACTACTGAAATATTGGACCATGGACTGCTATTCAAAGGAAGTTTAACAAGAAACTTCCGTAGTACTGGAACTAAATGAGCTAGCTGCTTTGACATATAGCTATGACAGGTAGCTAGCATGACAAATAGATAGCTTTGACATATAGCTAGCTTGACAGATAGATAGCTTTCCAATAGGCTTGCATGACAGATAGATAGCTTTGACATATAGCTAGCTTGACAGATAGATAGCTTTCCAATAGGCTTGCATGACAGATAGATAGCTTTGACATATAGCTAGCTTGACAGATAGATAGCTTTCCAATAGGCTTGCATGACAAATATGATTGACAGATAGATAGGCTTGCATGACAGATAGCTTTGAGCTTGACAGATAGATAGCTTTCCAATAGGCTTGCATGACAGATAGATAGCTTTGACATATAGCCAGCTTAACACGTAGATAGCTTTCTCAAGTATAGATTTCGTGGCAGGCGCAGCACTTTCGCAAGCACTCTCTGCGAGCTGGGGGATGGCAAGATGCAGAAAACGTTGGCGCTGTGCGTGAATTGGGCTTCCGGACTGTGCGCAAACCACCTCGGCTGCGACGCCTGTACGGAGGCGGTCTCGGAACGGTCTCGGAACGGTCGGAACGGGTTCGGAACGGGTTCGGAGACGGGCCCATTGGCACGGCCGCGCGAAGGTTTCGCAAGGTTTGAATTGCGTGGCAGGCGCAGCACTTTCGCAAGGTCAAGTATAGATTTCGTGGCAGGCGCAGCACTTTCGCAAGGTCAAGTATCGATTTCGTGGCAGGCGCAGCACTTTCGCAAGCACTCTCTGCGAGCTGGGGGATGGCAAGATGCAGAAAACGTTGGCGCTGTGCGTGAATTGGGCTTCCGGACTGTGCGCAAACCACCTCGGCTGCGACGCCTGTACGGAGGCGGTCTCGGAACGGTCTCGGAACGGTCTCGGAACGGGTTCGGAACGGGTTCGGAGACGGGCCCATTGGCACGGCCGCGCGAAGGTTTCGCAAGGTTTGAATTGCGTGGCAGGCGCAGCACTTTCGCAAGGTCAAGTATAGATTTCGTGGCAGGCGCAGCACTTTCGCAAGGTCAAGTATCGATTTCGTGGCAGGCGCAGCACTTTCGCAAGGTGCTGCGTCCACTCTCTGCGAGCTGGGGGATGGCAAGATGCAGAAAACGTTGGCGCTGTGCGTGAATTGGGCTTCCGGACAATGCGCAAACCACCTCGGCTGCGACGCCTGTACGGAGGCGGTCTCGGAACGGGTCTCGGAACGGGTTCGGAACGGGTTCGGAGACGGGCCCATTGGCACGGCCGCGCGAAGGTTTCGCAAGGTTTGAATTGCGTGGCAGGCGCAGCACTTTCGCAAGGTCAAGTATAGATTTCGTGGCAGGCGCAGCACTTTCGCAAGGTCAAGTATCGATTTCGTGGCAGGCGCAGCACTTTCGCAAGGTCAAGTACAAGCACTTTCGCAAGGTCAAGTACAAAATTCGTGGCAGGCGCATCACTTTCGCAAGGTCAAGTACAGAATTTGTGGCAGGTGCAGCACTTTCGCAAGGTCAAGTGCAAAATTCGTGGCACGCGCAGCACTTTCGCAAGGTCAAGTACAGATTTTGTGGCAGGCGCAGCACTTTAGCAAGGTCAAGCACAGATTTGGTGGCAGGCGCAGCATTTTTGCAAGGTCAACTTTCGCAGCCGGGGCTCGAAAATCGCAACTTTTAAGTACGAAAGTAGTACGCGAAGTCAACTTTCGCAGCTGGGGCTTGAAAATCGCAACTTTTAAGTACGAAAGTAGTGCGCAAAGTCCACTTTCGCAGCCGGGGCTTGAAAATCGCAACTTTTAAGTACGAAAGTAGTACGCAAAGTCCACTTTCGCAGCTGGGGCTCGAAAATCGCGACTTTTTAGTACGAAAGTAGTACGCGAAGTCCACTTTCGTAGCTGGGGCTCGAAAATCGCAACTTTTAACTACGAAAGTAGTACGTGAAGTCCAGTTTCGCAGCTGGGGCTCGAAAATCGCAACTTTTAAGTACGAAAGTAGTACGCGAAGTCAACTTTCGGGGATTGAACATCGCAACTTTTAAGTGCAGAGAAAGATGGGTAGATAGATAGATCAATAAACAGATATAGAGATAGCTAGAGAAATAGATAGAAAGAGATAGAGAAACAGAGATAGACAGAGATAGATAGATTTGTAGATAGATAGACAAATAACTAGCTAGATAGATAAAGAGATAGAGAGATAAATAAATAGAGAGGTAGATAGATAGATAGGAGATAGAGAGGTAGATAGATAGGTAGATCTATAGATAAATCGCAACTTTTAAGTACGAAAGTAGTACGCGAAGTCAACTTTCGCAGCTGGGGCTTGAAAATCGCAACTTTTAAGTACGAAAGTAGTGCGCAAAGTCCACTTTCGCAGCCGGGGCTTGAAAATCGCAACTTTTAAGTACGAAAGTAGTACGCAAAGTCCACTTTCGCAGCTGGGGCTCGAAAATCGCGACTTTTTAGTACGAAAGTAGTACGCGAAGTCCACTTTCGTAGCTGGGGCTCGAAAATCGCAACTTTTAATACGAAAGTAGTACGTGAAGTCCAGTTTCGCAGCTGGGGCTCGAAAATCGCAACTTTTAAGTACGAAAGTAGTACGCGAAGTCAACTTTCGGGGATTGAACATCGCAACTTTTAAGTGCAGAGAAAGATGGGTAGATAGATAGATCAATAAACAGATATAGAGATAGCTAGAGAGATAGATAGAAAGAGAGAGAAAGAGACAGAGAAACAGAAAGAGAAAGAGAAAGAGAGAAAGAGAGAAAGAGAGAAAGAGAGAAAGAGAGAGAGAGAGAGAGAGAGAGAGAGAGAGCAAGGGGCCAAGGACAGTTCTCCAAACTATAGTTGTTCACTGCTTTGAAACTTCCGCCCCCCGGCTCTGCCGGACCTTACTTGTATATGATCGAAGCTAAGGTGACCTACCGTGCTCCAGAAAGCTCATTGCCAGCCTTTGGCAGCTGCTCGAAGAGGAACACACCCAAGCGAGCCCAAGCGACCTACGCTGATACATGGCCAGACCGCATGTGGGCTTTGAAAGTTACATTTTCTCCGTCTGTGGGACTTATTTGGTGGATAGCCGCAATACACATACTTGTTTGACTGCTTGCTGGCCAAGGGTACAAACACTTGTTCTACTGCATGGTTGGTTCCATCGTTAATCGCACAAAGCTGTACGCCGTAAAGAAAGATGCCGACACTGACGTAGGTCTTCAGGTTGTTCCTCCCTTCCCCCACTTTGCCTCCATTGCTATCGCAATTGAATTCATTTGCCTGGTGGTTCAACGGTTGTCACGTGTGACCCACCAGAGGGTCTCTTGAGGAACATGGCCTTCCAGGCCCCCCCCCCCCTTCCCCCCCATCACATCTCAGCGCATATTATTCGCCTGGCCCCGCCTTGCGACCATCACTGGGCCTTGCAGCCCACAGCCGTGCCACCGCCTGGGCCATGGACAGAGCCTGAACCAAACTTTGGCATACCAAAGCATCGTCGCCTGTGGACATGGGTGAGGGAGATCATGACAGTGCTCAACAAAACGGCATGTGGGTGTGTGTCTTTTTGTGGGCTCCCTTATTTTGGCCCAGGCCAGCGTCAGAACAACAAGCAAAAAAGCTCTCTGGCAAGACCTGATGGCTCCCCCGTGTCCAGCACCGAACGACAGCCCCGGCCTCAGAGACCTCAGCATGCGGCATACAAGGAGAACGCCGACTCACAGCTGCCAGCCAGGGCGCAAGGGTCACCCGCTCCGGCTCCGTCTTGCCCTTCATGGTCTGCCAGAAAAGGAGGCCACGCTGCAGCTTGTCCTGCGTCTTGCAGAGCAAGCAAGTCGCTTTCAAGGGTAACCAACAGTTAACAGCATCACTGGAAACTGACAGGGGCCTAGCCAAAAGCAATACCCCCATCATCTCGGAGCAGTCCTGAACCCACGCAGGATCCAGCTGAAAGAACCGGGTCAGTTCCATCCAAGCGCTGTCGCCGACAGAAACCGGGCGGAACTCGGAGCCTCAAACACCGGCCAAGGCAGTGAGCAAACTTGAAAATAACCATTGACCCCCGCACCCTGGCAGTAAATCAAAGCACTAAGGGGTGCACTGGCTTCGATTGCATCCCATAGGCCTCCTTTTTCCCAGGAGCGGAGCAAGGTTGTGGAAATACAACTGCGTTTCTTGGCATTGGCATAAGTCCCCAGTTGAGATGCCTCATTTAATCGCCTGCCCAAAGGGCCAGATCTTTTCAAAGCAGCATTAAACATGAAACAGCACAAAGATTCTAAAGGCACCCGCGTGACAAGAGCTTCGGGGATAATCCAAAGCCAAGCTGCTGAGCAGCGGATGTGCGCCGCGTCCCTCGATCTGTGAGCTGGGCATGGAATAGGCCGGGCGTCCTGTCTGCCGCTTCCAATCCGGCACCCGCCCCGTGTCTCATGTGGCATGGCGAACCTGCGCTTGTCTGCGGCGCTTTCTGAAACATTGCAACCTCGGTGATGGCAGTGCCAAGCTCATGCAGAAGCTGTGCACACCTCCCAAATTAAAATCCTGTTGCACGCTTCAATGCTTGCTGAGAAACACCACCGCGGAAAACAAAAAACAAACCTTTGGGGGGACGGAGTGATGGACACGTGGGATGCCAGGATCAATTGAAAGCCTTATCTTTCATCATTCTGGTTTACATGCAGGGCGCGATGCCGGAGGCCAGTTTTTTGCTTGAGGCTTGGGTTTCCAGGGTCGCCAGCCATTGCCCGAGAAGGTTTCATCCAAAGCATTTCTTTGGTAAAATGGGCATCTCATGCGGGGTCTTGCTTCTGACCCAAGCTTCGGACCCCATTGCGGCACATAGGCATTGCATAGCTCTCTCTCTCTCTCTCTCTCTCTCTCTCTCCATTGTGTATGCGTTTGTGCACACATACTTCTGTGTACACACATGGAATCACACAAATACTCCTGAATCGACCCATCAGTCACTTCTTGCTTGTTCCACCCCTCCCCCAATCACAGCCTAACAAATGTTTCGTAACAGGGCCTCCAGCAGGAACCAGGAAATACACTGAAGATCCTGGGAAGACCGGTCTTCAAAATGACCAGAGTGTGCCATTCACCGGAAATGACCGCGTGCCGAAACCATGCATCCGGTGTATCGGGGTTCTTTGAGCTTTGCATCACCCCCCTAAGAGGAACCTCACTTTGAACTGGCCCAATGACAGCTGGACAAAAAGGGTTATAACTTTGGAGCCTAAGGCTTAAGGTTCAGGTGCTCATGTTCCTTGACAAAGCGTGCCTGTCCAGCGGAAGAACGAGGCTCCCACAAAAAAGCCCCCGGTGTCGCTGCTCTGCGGATGAAAGCGCGCGCAGCGCACCAAGTCCTGGCCGCGATTGGATCGGCCAACCAGGTGCTTCAGGCAGCAGGCAACGCGGCTACGAACGTGCTACTGTATATCAATTGTAAGCTGGAATAAGTTTCTCTAGGGCATAAAGCTCTACGCCGGTGTGTGCCGACATGCTCAAGAACATCGGAGCTGCTAAGCATTTGACCATGCTGAGGCTTGCCACGGCCGACCGCAAAAACTGCTGCATTCACGTGGGGACATGTCAAAACCAGGGTTTTGCAAAGGGGAAAAATGAAAGCAAGCATTTCCAGGGTCCCTGGTCACGCGCATCCGGAGCTCGTTTTCCCCTCGCTTTCGCCAGGGCGAATCCGCTGTCATTTCTTGAAGAAGGGCTGCTTCCACCAGGGGAGGTTCGAGCTCATGAACTCGATGTCCTTCACGGTTTCTTTGGCTGCCCTTCTAAAGGCACCCAGGGGTTCAGGTTTGTTGCTTGCGTTGCAACTCTTCCATTCTCAAAATCAACCCGAGTGGTAGAAAGGGAAATGACCTCAGTTTCTGACTGTGACAGCCCCTAAATTCCATTGGAGTACTGGACCTTTTTTTGGCCGCGTTGGAACCCCCTTCAACGGGGGTAGTTCTGCTACTGGGTTAACATCGGCTGAAAGGCATTCCACAGGCCCCCCGTTTACGCAAACAACCCATGTGGTAAACTCGGTGGAACTCAGAGCTAAAATTTGGGACCTGCGCCGGCAGTTCTAATCAGCAGGGTTTCTGGAATCCCATGCCCGAGCTTCACGTAGGCATAGACAATTGGCAACAGTGACTGCTTACATTGCCGGCATGTTTGTTTGGAGGAACGTCAATTCACTGCCCTGCCACTGCAACCATGAGGGAGTGCCCACTTGCACAACGACCCTGGCAGAAAAACCTTTTGGGGTTGGTTCCATGCTTTGCGGGGAACCCACCAAACAAAAAGGAATTTCAAGGGTAAGAAACTGAAGCTTGACAACACCAAAAAGGCAACAAGAGGGAAGACTGCTTCCTTGATGCCAACAACTCCAAAATTTGTGCTCGCCGCTGCTATGGTCCGGACCCAAAAATACAAGTCCCACTCAGGGAGTGAGAATTGGTGCATCCACCAAAGAAGGTTACAGAGTTGCCCAATCAAAGCAATCAAGTTGTTTTGAGGGGGGTCTGGCCTCACATCCACAATAACTACACCAGGATGAAACATCTGATAGCACAATTCCCTTCGTCTGGGGTTGCTGACCGAGCCATGGCGGCAAATTGCCCCATTCACTTTCACCCAGCCAGAAAAACAATACCGGAAGCCATGCACTTTTGCCCAACAAGTAGTGAAATGAAGGAAGCGGAGTGCTCCCCGCTGCGCCCAGTCCGCTCCTTCAAGTCCTTCTCCAGGTGCCGGATCAGCTTCTCCGTGGGGATCCGGCCGGGCGCCGTGTCGCTCGCCACCGCGAAGGGCTGGGCGATGCAGACCGCCACCTCCAGCAAGGCCTAAGGCTTGCGTCAGGGACACACGTGGGTTTTGCACCCCCTTGAAGGGCACCCAAACATGTCCCACAGACACCCTCTGGGGAAGACTAACAAACGTGAGTTGGCCTCTCTTCCTGCACCGGTTGCAAAGGGAAACAAAGAGCAGGGTTGCCCCTCTCAACATCTGCAAGGATTCAACATTCCGGTTGGTTCAGTTGTAAAACCTCTGCCATTTGCCCAAATAGGTGGCAAAGTCAGGCTCTTGGGAATCACCACCTTCCCTGATACCGGCCGCTTTCTGACGAATTCTTCGCTCCGTCACCGCAGTTTTAGTGGAAGGACACCGCCCAGCCTGGTACAAGAAGGGGCCCACAGAGGACAGGACCATGCCCACGGCCAGGTCTTGGAGGCTGCCTCACTTGCAAGGCCCCTTGGAAGACCCAGGCATTCTGCGATGGTTGAGCTCAGAAGGGCAAGCTTCAGGCAAGCCTCCAAAACTTGATGGGGAAAAGGGGCAGCCCACCCTAAGGGGGAAAAAGGGGTATCGGCAACCTTGCAACCCGGAGGACCATAGGTTACTAATCAGGCAACTCCCTTCCTGGGCCGTCTTTACCACTGAGATGGTCTTCCCAAGTTTGCAGTCCAACTCGTGAAACGGAGTCTGGGCTGCTGGACACCTGCTCCGACTTCACCCGCCCCGCGAACATGCCGATCTGGGCGTTGGCCAGGCAGATGCTGATGGTGACTCCTGAGGTCATGCCGATGCTCACCGCGTTGATGAGGTTGTTGACCTCACCGTGTAACCATCACCGCGCTTCAGGAAACGAAGGGCTGGCATCAAGATCCGTCCTTTGGCACCGCAAACGACAGGCAAAATAATGATGGGTAGCTTCTTGAAAGAGAGGGGACAGGGGCAAGCATTTTCTGCTTGCCATCTTGATGAACCGTGGTGGGAATTGTTGTGGCCGGGCAGGGGGGGGGGGCTTGCACACACACATCGCCGACTCCTTTGGGAAAAAGCTCTTGCTGCAGTGGTGTGCAAGTGCAAGTGAGACACATGTGCTGTTGGGCCGCACCAAGCGTTTCTTAAGGAGGAGAATAGGCGAGCAGCACAACGCGGGGTTGAGCTCGTGAAGGTTTTGACCCAAGGCCCTAAGACCATGCCCCCCCTCCTTTGCTCCTCGCTGGCTCAAGCCCGCGACTTCATGGCCCAGTCCCATGAAATGACATAATTGAAATCGCAAGAAATGGAAGGCATGGCCCTTGTGCATTGAAATTAGGCTTGTTCGTAGTGAACAGAAGCCGGTACTCAGTTCTTCATGTTTTTGTTGCTTGAGCAGGCAGTTCAGCTCTTGTTTGGTCCGTATATGTTTTGGGTTAAGCCTGACGTTTTGAGGTGCAAACCACTCGCAACGAAAGAGAGGCAGCTAGATGAGGGAACTTGGGTAGATTATGGAACGCTTTTGAAGTTCAAGAAACGCGACCGGCTCTTCACGTTCAGGGGGGAGAGCAACCAAGCGTTTTGAGGACAAAAGTACGCCAAACCAACTGGACATTTGCCCTCCAAGTGGCCAGGACAAGCGCGGCCATCATTTGCACGTGGACATAGGGAGGCTGGACACGGACGGATGCTCGGACGGTGCGAATTCCCTGGAAGGCATTCTCTGCAATGGTCATGATGCGGCCGTAGGTGGGGGTCGCCATGGCAGGGACCTCCAGGGCGATTCAAGTTGCTTTGACCATATACTAACACCTGCTGAAGCAACCCCATTCTGTGCCCCCTTCAAAAGAAGCCTTTCGGTTGCTTCACCACATTTTGCCCACCCTCACCTCCCCATCTGCGGCCATGCGTGTGAGCAGGGACGTGATCCACACCCAAAGCGCTTGGGCGGGATCTTCGGTTTTGGCCAAAGCCTCCTGCTCGTGGGGCAAGAGCTGGGCGAGGCCGCTCTCGGGCGTGCCCCAAGAATCCTCAAGCGGAAATTGCTGTTTCTCGTTGAGGGTGGCCCCCTTTTGAGGTTGGTTTAAAAGGAAACAAAAGCGGCACCACTCATTGTTGGGGTCGCCCTTCTTTGACACATGCCCGAATGTGCAGGCTTTTTCATGGGCTTTCAGTCATAGTGAACTAGACCAACAAAAGCAAACGAATTTACGCTTTTGCTGCTGCTTCCTGCTGCTTCACGAGAACTTTGCATACTTGGATCTGGCACCAAACATGCCAAGCATCAGTGATGGTCTCGCGTGTCAGATCCTGCCAGCATTGCTCCACAAAAGCTTTGCGATCTTCTGGAACCATGGCAGATGCAACGAGTTCGTTCGTCAGGCAGTTGGCTGACCTGCACCAAACATCAACTTCAGCCAGATACCCAAAACCGCCCCAACAGAGCGGAAAGACAAGCACACACGAAGTTTCTGTGCCACTGAACACACACCCATTCTGTCCAATAGCACCTCGAGCAACAGTATGACAGCTGCTCGAGAATACTTACTTTTCGTATTGTGGAAAAGCTAGAACGGGAACCAAGGGATACTCAACCTTATGTTGATAAATAGGGTGTCCCATTTTCGAGGGGAGACTTCACTTTTTGGCCCTTGAATAAACCGCCCGGTTGATTTATGCGGTGTCGACATTACTGCTGTGTGCCTTGTGGAAAGGCAACCAGTTGTTCACTCTCCACCTTCCTCCTGGTTCAGGTCCCAAGAAGCTAGGCGGGGAGCCGGAGAAACAGGATCCCATTGTGGTGTAGTGCTGATCGAATGGGTGTCGGACGTGGCAAGATGCATGCTTCATGCCAAGCAGCACGCAGCAGTAACGCAGGCATAGGCGAATATGCTCCTCAGCACTGGTATGCCACGGCAAAACACACGTGACAACGCATAACCCTATTGCGCAGTGCCTCTGACAGAAGAACAGAACCTCCTTCGTGGAGTAAAACGGTAATCAAAGACTGGACCCTGCAATCAGCTATTGGAGGCTGCGCCGCAATCACGTACAGCCAAACCCGGCAATCACGTACAGGTGAGCCCGGCAATCAGAAACGGGCTGCGGTGAGTTTAGGATTGGTTTGCGGTTAGTTCAGGGCTGGGTTGGGGTCGGTGTAGGATTGGTGTAGGGTTGGTTTAGGGCTGGTTTAGGGTCGGTTTAGGATTGGTATGGGGTTGGTTCAGGGTTGGTTTGTGCGCGGTTTAGGGTTGGTTTAGGATTGGTTTAGGGTGGGTTTAGGGTTGCTTCAGGGTCGGTATAGGGTTGGGTTTAGGGCTGGTTTAGGCTTGGTTCAGGGTTGGTTCAGGGTTGGTTTAGGGTTGGTTTAGGATTGGTTTAGGGTAGGTTTCGGGCTGGTTTAGGGTTGGTTCAGGGTTGGTTTAGGGTTGGCTTAGGGTTGGTTTAGGGTGGGTTTAGGGTTGGTTTAGGGTGGGTTTAGGGCTGGTTTAGGGTTGGTTTAGGATTGGTTTAGGGCTGGTTCAGGGTTGCTTTGGGGTTGGTTTAGGGTTGGTTGGGTTTGGGGCTGGTTTAGGGACGGTTTGTGCGTGGTTCAGGTTTG